TGGGTGAAAAGAATATGGGTGAAAAGTATGTGCAAGAAAAGTTTCTGAGTGAAAAGTCTGTGCAATAAGAGTTTCTGGGTGAAGAGTCTCTGGGTGAAAAGTATATGGGTGAAAAGCATGTGCAAGAAGAGTTTCTGGGTGAAAAGTATGTGCAAGAAGAATTTCTGGGTGAAGTGTCTCTGGGTGAAAAGTATATGGGTGACAAGTATGTGCAAGAAGAGTTTCTGGGTGAAGAGTCTCTGGATGAAAAGTATATGGGTGAAAAGTATGTGCAAGAAGAATTTCTGGGTGAAGAGTCTGTGGGTGAAAAGTTTCTGGGTGAAAAGTATGTGCAAGAAGAGTTTCTGGGTGAAGAGTCTCTGGGTGAAAAGTATATGGGTGAAAAGTATGTGCAAGAAGAGTTTCTGGGTGAAGAGTCTCTGGGTGAAAAGTTTCTGGGTGAAAAGTCTGTGCAATAAGAGTTTCTGGGTGAAGAGTCTCTGGGTGAAAAGTTTCTGGGTGAAAAGTATATGGGTGAAACGTATGTGCAAGAAGAGTTTCTGGGTGAAGAGTCTCTGGGTGAAAAGTTTCTGGGTGAAAAGTCTGTGCAATAAGAGTTTCTGGGTGAAGAGTCTCTGGGTGAAAAATATATGGGTGAAAAGTATGTGCGAGAAGAGATTCTGGGTGAAGAGTCTCTGTATGAAAAGGGTGAAAAGTATGTGCAAGAAGAGTTTCTTTGTGAAGAGTCTCTGGGTGAAAAGTATATGGGTGAAAAGTATGTGCAAGAAGAGTTTCTGGGTGAAGAGTCTCTGGGTGAAAAATATTGGGGAACATAGGGATAGATGGGATGCTGGCTTTCGTTCCCCCCTTCTCAGGTGAACCTCTCGACATCTCTATGGAATTTGAGTTTGATCAAGTGCTTTACTCTCAGACATTTTCAGCCAAATTCTGAGCAGATGTTACACATGTTCCAGATTGTTTGTGGGAGGGAGAGAGATTCAACATGAGTGAAGCAGCCTTTGCATCTTTGAAGTCTTGGAAGACATGAGTATCAACTTTCAGATTCATGCAGATTCCTTATGATGCAAAGTTTAAGAAAGCTGAGGAGAAGATTTGGCATCACACCTTCTACAACGAGCTGCGTGAAGATCCGGAAGAACATCCAGTCTTGCTGACTGAAGCTCCCTTGAACCCAAAGGCCAACCGTGAACGCATGACTCAGATCATGTTCAAGACCTTTAAGGTGCCTGCAATGTATGTTGCAATCCAGGCTGTGCTGTCCTTGTATGCATCATTCCGAACCACCGGAATGATGGTGGACAGTGGTGACGGTGTGAGCCACACCGTGCCCATCTATGAGGGCTATGCTATGCCTCATGCCATTCTGCGTTTGGACTTGGCTGGTCGTGACCTTACGGAGTACATGATGAAGATCCTCACTGAGCGCGGCTACTCCTTCACTACTACCGCTGAGCGCGAGATTATTCGAGACGTCAAGGCCCGTTTGAAGAATTGAGATTTAGAGGTAGTATATAAGGGGATGTGAGGTGTATGTAAGAGAGTGGTATCGACCCCCCTGCTAGTACCATGGTTGCATTAATGTATATTGTAAAGTACAAAGGAATTTAAAGGATAAGTCATGATTAGAATCAGGATGACACATGCTGATGAAACATGCTGATGAAAGATGTTGATGAACGATGTGAACCACCCTTCGGATATTGTGATTTCCACTACATTTTTTTTGCAGTTTCAGCGGCGCCGCTGCCACAAGTTCCAACAAATCCATCAATTTCCAGGAGAAACTTTGCTACATCGCCTTGGACTTTGACAGCGAGATGAAGGCTGCATCTGAGAGCAGTGACAAGGAGAAGACTTACGAATTGCCTGATGGCAACATCATCACCGTTGGATCTGAGCGTTTCCGCTGCCCGGAAGTCCTGTTCCAGCCAAGCTTCCTGGACAAGGAGGCCAGTTGCAGCCTCAGTGGCATTCATGACACCACCTTCCAATCGATTATGAAGTTCCTTGGTGGTGTTCAGCCGTAAGAAGGCTAAGAATTACTGAGATGTTTAGAGATTTAAAGATATTTTAAGTTTTTTTAGGGATTTCATAGGATTTCACAGAATTTACCTCATATCCCACAGGAAGTTTTTTTAGGGATTTCATGGGATTTCACAGAATTACCTCATATCCCACAGGAAGTTCGACTTTCAGCATTTTTGGCCGGGGATCAACCGATCAAGCACCCAGGTGCGATGTCGATATTCGAAAGGATCTCTATGCCAACGTGGTGCTTTCAGGTGGAACCACCATGTTCCGGGTTGTGATGCACTACCTCCACGTGGTCAGCCCGGGCTCCTGCGATGCCAACTTGGGTCAAAAAGGAGTGCAGAGTGTGCAAAGGATTTCTTTTTTCAACAGCAAGCTTGATCTTCGAGATCTTAGAGGAGGGAGTTCTAAGAGAAAGAAGAAAAACATTGCAAAGAAATCCAAAGCGCAGAAATCTAAGAACATTTGTCATGCTTGTCTTTCAGATGAGGAAGACGCCACTTGTTCTGAAGGATACGTGAGCGAAGATGCAGAAGCAGTCGATTCCGAGCGAGAAAGCGAAGTCAAAGTTGCGAATGAAAGCTGGCTGTCCAATCAAATCAGTGAAGAGGAGATCGACAGCTGGTTGAGCCCCATTTTGGAGGACGAAAATGAATTCATTTTTTCAAATGTACAAGAAGCATGTGAGCATTCCCTTTTAGAGGAATGCACCGATGAAGATTTGAAGATCATTCACGATCAGGAAAAGGAAGACCGCGGGAACTTTGTGCACCTTTTTGCAACAGATTTCGCCAAAGCCGAGGACACAAGCACTGAGGCAGACGAAGCTGTTGGAGCAATTTTGATCCAGGAGGACTCAGCTATAGAAGAACTTGCGGAGGCGGACCAGATCATCAAAATGTTCCTTGAAGAGTGTGATGTTGACTGCGGTGACATCACCAATCCCAGTTTTGAGCACACCTTGCAAGACATGATCAGCTACTACCAGGGTGCAGACTTATGGATGACCCAGGACGAACAGTGTAGCCTTCAGTGGACCTATCATGGCCTTCAGCCGCATCAAGGGGATGTCAGTGAGGTTGAGAAAGAGTCCATTTCTTGCCAAGAACGAAGCTCAATCAATCTGCGAGGAGGAGCCGAAGAAGAGGAGGAAAAGATAAGAGGAGGAGCAGGAGGATCCAATAGCACTGCAAAGAAGCGAGAGCTCAAGGAGTTGATTGGAAACTTTCAGCAATGGCTTGATGAGGTCAAAGATGACGACGAGCTATTTGAAAATGATGACTTGACCAAAACCATGCAGAAGATGGTCGACGTCCTGAAGGGGAAAGATAAGAGGACAATCAAAGAAGCAGAGGCAGCCAAACTTATCGACATTGCCAGCGGCATCTTGGGCAGAGGACATCAAAGTTTTTATGAGAAAGACAGAGAAGCGAAGAAAGAGCATGAAGGAAAAGGAGGGGCAAAAGGAAAAGGCAAGGGGAAAGGCAAATCAAAGTCATTCAAAGCATTGCCACGCTTTGACCTGACGAGATCTTTCCCGAAAAGAGAGATCACAACTTGGCAAAGCGTGATGAGAGCTTTGGAGGGAGGCTTTGAACCTAAAGGAGAAGTAGCCATTTGCGAGGATGAGCAACAGATCATAGAGCTGCAGATGATGCACAAGGCACTCAATTTGAAGAAGGAAGTTATTCTGATTGCCAAAGCAGGAGATGAGAAAGTTGAAGGCGGAAAGGAGGCGCTTCTTCCCTATATCGGGAATCTGGCTTTGGTCAAAGCCACCATTGCAGGCATCACTGGAAAGGAGCCAACAACTTTGAAAGGCGAAAAAGCAGACGAAGTTGACATGGTTCAGAAGGAGGCCACGCAGACCATCCGCATCACTATCCCTATGAAGTATGTCAACAAGCAGCACCATGATACTCTCTATGCGAAGCCTGAATTTGCTTTGAAGTTGGCAGATATCGGATGTAAAGAAGTGCGGACTTACAAGTGGGAAAGCGTTGGAGGATGTTTGACAGGATATGCATGTTTGCCTGAAAACCAAGTTGAGGATTTTTTGAAAAAGAGCGGAACTGCAGGAATTTTCCTGAGCCGCCTTGCACAAGATATCATACAAAAACCAGCCGTCAGTTGGATCGATCCCGACAAAGGTGAGAAAGCAGAAGATTATCTTGCGAGAGTTCAATCAGCCGCAAAGAAGGAAGGTGTACCGATGTGCACCAGAAGAGGAGGAGGGGCAGATCTTGGACTTCAGATGGAAGGAGAAGCAAAGTTCAAAACTTGGGCTCTATGGGGATGGCCGGCACATTTTGGTCCGGAAACTTTGGAAACCACTATGACCAACCTTGGATGGAAATTTGGAGCACGAGCCAGTGAACCAAGGAATCGTGGACCATGGAAGATTTATGCAACATGCACCAAAGATCCAAAGAAAGAAAGCTATGCGTATCACTATGAATATGAGGGAAAGGGAAGGCACATCAGTGTCGTCCCTTGGAAAAGCATGGGGAAGAAGGAAGAAGAAGTTCCTGAGAAGATTGCAAGGCAAAGGTGGTATGATGAGAAGAAGGACTATGATGATGCGATGGAAGTGCAAACGATTGCGCCCACAGTACCGGATACTCAGACCCAGCCCACTCAAAACGGTGGGAAAATCAGCGACAATGGGGAGAAGAGGCAAGGTGCTGCAGGAGTTTCTCCTGTGAAAAAGAAGCACAAGTGGGTCAAAGTTCCTGAAGAAGTTCAGGCCAAAGGAGGCATCCCAGGGCCCAATGGTACAACAGTCCTTGATTGTGGAGGACAAGGTGACTGCGCATGGAGGGTCTTGGGCATGAGTATGGCGTTGCGCAATGCTGCAAAAGAGATCACTCTGGATGAGATCAGAAGTCGAGTTGAGCAACTTGGAGCGGCTTTGAAAGCACAGGCAAATCACTATCTTTTGCACAAGGACACATCATGGCAGCAAAGCTGGGTGCAAGATCCGGCTGCAACAAAGACCACTGAAGGCGGGGAGGTACCTCAAACTTTGGAGGAGCACATCGCTGCTATGGAGCGACCTGCGAGGTGGATCGACCATTATGGATTACAAGCAGTTGCATGCCTGAAGAAAGTCCACATTGCGATCTACAGACTCAGGGTTGATGGGTGGATTCAGATTGCTTTGATCTCACCACCAACCTTCACTGTCAAAACCCCAGTGATTCAAGTTGCACTCAGCAAAGGTCATTATTTTGCTTTGAGACACGAAAAAGCAGCAAAGCCTTTGGAAATCAAGAACATGAACACGAAGACGCTATGGATGTCAACTGGTTTGGAGCAAGAAGTCATTGAGGACAGTCAAGATTTTGATAAAAGCATGTTTAGAGGAGCGGGTGAGAGTTTTTACACGCCTTTGAGAAGAAAAAGCGGGAGCAATATTGAGGATTTGTTGCGCAGCGCCTCAACATCAAAGTCTGAGGAGATTCCAAAGCTTCTTCGAAGCGTCTCTTCGAAGAAGGAAGAAGATCTTGAACGATTCCTTCGTTCAGCAGAGGAGGAGAAAAGCATGGAGAAGGGAAAGTTTTGGCGATGTCCACTTTGTAGCTATGAACTGGAGATTCAAAAGGGAGTCAGCTCAAAGATCACTCAGCACATTTTTTCTCTTCACCGAAAGGAAAGACAGGAAAAGATGAAGGAAAACATTGAGGAGGGCGCATCTAGCAGTCATGCTGGCTTGGGTATCAAGACTCTGTTGAAGCCAGTGCCATTTGAGAAAATTTCAGCGAAAGAAGCCACACTTTTTTGCCCATATTGCAGAAAAGGGACCAACCTGGAGATCAAAAGTAAGTATTTGGCAACAAAGACCAAGCTGCACCACATCAAAGTTTGTCGCAAAAAGCCTGAAGGAATCAAGCTGAAGAACTTCATTCTAGATGGACGAAGTTGCAAGACTAAGACCAACATCCAAAAGTCCAAGGCGTACCAGCGAACCAAAGTCAAGCAGACAATCCAGAAGTATGAAGCGAAAGGTCACAGCGTTGTCACTTTGAGGTGTTTGAGGAGTAGAAAGAAGCATGCCTACATCTGCAAGAAATGTTTTGCTTGTGATGATCAGAAGACTTTGATAGGAAAATGCATAGGGAGCCACCTGATCACAAAGAATGGATGCATTTCACCGGGTCCTGCGTGGTGGAAGCAATGCAGAAAAGCCAACGGAAAAGCCAAGATTGAGGAGACTTGCGAGATCAACAAAGACACCACCCAAAGGATCACTGAGGAAATCAAAAAGCATGAAAGCAAGGCCAGTATCAGAGCCACGTATTGGCGTGCGAACATCAAGAAAAGGAAGCCAGGCAAGGCCAACACCATCTTTTTCAAGAAGATTTGCGAAAAAGCTCAGAAAGATGCAACTCAGAGAAGGCGAGCAACCTTCAGAACCAAGGTCATTAAAGCAGCACAGAAAAGAGGACATGAACCGATCATCATTTACAAGAACAACCTCAAAAAGAACATCTACGTTTGCAAGAATTGTTTGGTAGGCAACAAACAAGAGCGATGGAGCAGGAAATGTCAGAAAGAGATCAAGCCTGTCCGTGGTGTCATTCCCCCTGGAGTCCAGTGGTGGCGAGACCAGCGAAAGACGATCGGCAAGGAGGAGTTGGACCAACTCTGCGGCATTGAGGCGCAGGTTTCCAAAAAGATCACTCAGCAAATTCGAGACAGCCGTCAAGAATGACTAGGTTCTTTTCAAGTCATGGAGCAAAAGCAAGGGAAGAGTATGGTAGATTTTTGCGAGGTTGAAAGTGAGGAGAATAAGTTTGAGGAGAATAAATTTTTGAAAGGAAGGGAAAGTATTTTTGAGGGGAGAAGTTTACAGAAGGTTTGCACGAAAGACACACAAAGACCAAATCTGCGAGGAGGATCCAATGAAGTTCAACTTCAACTGTGGTCAATCAATGTTGGAGGACTCCCTGGTTTGTGGAGGCTCATTGACCATTTGCTGACACGAAAGTTTTTACAGCGCCCTGACGCCATTTGCATACAGGAGGTGACATGCGGCTTGGAGGAATTCAAAGCAACCATCAACAAAATTGACTGTTTGGGATACCAGATTTATGCCAATGAGGGCATCACTCAGGGCAAGAAAACTAGAGGCTGTATGACCTTAGTGAAGCACACAGTATCTTCCAAACTTCAAGGCGAAATCCAAGACCAATGCGGAACCATGGTGGCGGTCCAGTTTGCAGGCGCTTTGCTCTGCAATTGCTACACGCCTCCACAAGAACATAAGAATGCAGATTTCAGTGCGAAACTTGCCACCTGGCAGGAGATGAAACATTGGGAAGGAGAACAAATTTGGTGCGGCGATTTCAATGAGGAATTTTCTGATAGTTGGATCTCTGTAGCAGCTTCTGCGTTTGGTTTGGGGCAAGTCAGTTTTTCTGGAGATAGCACAAGATGGAAAGGACGCAGAATCATTGATTATTTTTTGACCAACCCTTGGAAACAAGACACAACTGCAGTATCTTTGGAAGAAGTTTTTAGCGACCACAAGGTCATTGTGACCACTGTCAGGCTTGGCAACTGCACTTTCGATGAACGAACTTTTAAAAAACAACATTCCTTGCTCAAGCCTGCATGGATTGTGAAGAAAAGATGGATTGAGCTCATTGAGGAAGCGTGTAATCATGGTATCCTCAATGAGTGGGCGCCTGCCTACAACTTGTTTGAGGACTCACAGCAAACACCGGAAGATCTTTCACAGGTAGACCTCGATCAGCACATGATTGATTACACTTGGAAGCTCTGTATCACCAAGGTTCTTTGGGTGCATCAGTGCGCCTTTTTCCTTGCTTTACTTGAGATTCCGGCTGAGTTTGACAATTGGAAAGAAGAAGCACGAGTTCGACATTTAGCTAACAAGATTCAAACTGGAAGATGTAATGTCGAACAATCCAAAAGGCATTTCCCTGTCGATCAGACCAGAACACCTCAGGGCATCAGAAAGGCTAAAAATCAGCTTGGTCGCGCTTTGGAACTTCAGAAGGAGATGACCAACAATAGGATGGGCAAAAAGACTTTCAACTTGACCAAGAAGCTCTATGGCGAAGATGCAGAAGTTACATTTGAGAGGCTGCAGGAAACCATTTTGACTTTGGAAAGCAATATCCAGAAATTTGAATCGGACACAAAACAAGATGCCTATAAAAGCTGGAGAAACCGAATGTCCGATCCCACTCAAAAGTCAGCGTGGCTCAAGAAGAACAAGATCTCACATCATCCCAATGTCGAACACGAGGGCAAGATCTCGACCAACAAGCTTGAAGCAACGACTTGTCTGTTTGAATCTTGGGAATCCCTTCACAAGCAGAATGAGATGACAGAAACTGAAAGACAAACTTTGATTTCGGATCTCACTCCTTTCTATGAGCGTAAGTTTAAGAACGTGAAAGGATCTGGACCAACAAAAGCTATTTTTCAGAAGATTTTGCAAAAGAGCAAAGGAGGTGCAGGCTTGGATCAATGGAGCAGCCATGAACTGCGAAATCTTTCTGCGGTACCGGTTCTGGTTGAGATGATTTGGAATTGCATGCAAGGCTGGACCGAGTGGCAGAAGACACCCAGTATTTTGAAAGAGGTCAAGATGGTTTTTATTCCCAAAGTTGGACGAATTTGCAAGGGCAATGCGGGCGCAAAGACATTGCGCCCCATCACTGTTTATAGTTGCTGGTGGCGAGCTTGGTCAAGTACATGGATTAGAAGCGATTGGATCAAGAATATGGTGGATCAAATGCCAACTCAAATGGCAGGAGCAAAAGGGCGAGGACCTGAATCCACTGCAGCGGCAATCCATAATATCCTCAAGCGACGCAAGCATGGAGCATCTTTGGATTTTACTCAGTGTTTTGACACGGTTGATTTGCAAATTATGCGGAGAACTTTGACTTCATCATTGAAAGGCGAGATCAAGAATTGGTGCGCGACATTGCATAATCACTGGCTCCAAACTAAACGATGGTTTATCTATAACAAGTTTGCACATCCTCAACCATATGTTGCACGGCAAGGACTTCCCCAGGGAGACCCAGCAAGTCCATTATTCTTAGCTCTCCTTCTCTGGAAAGGCTATGAAGACATTCAGCAGAAGTTTGGTTGCGACCTTGTCCAGTTCATTTATCTGGACGACAGAACTTTGCTTGGCAATTCGAAGGAAACAGTAGAAGCGGCTATACAAGAATGGGATCGATTTTCATCTGAATTCCACTTGATTAACAATGACAGCAAAACTCAGCGCGTGGATCTCACTAGAAAGACTGGACCAAAGACTATGGAAGTTCTGGGATGCCTCGTTGGCGAAACCAAAGTCAATGACTTCAAGAACAGCAAGCAATACAAAAGGAACGTCACAGCAAAACACCTTGCCAAAAGAATTTATTGCCTTCCTGAAGGCTTGACGGGAAAGATGAAAGACATGGCCATTTATGTGAAACCCTCTGTCGATTATGGCTGGGTTCAATCAAATCCACCTGATTCTTGGATCAACAGCCAGAACACTATCACTTGGAATGCACTTGGCAGACTGAGATGGACACCTGAAGAAATGCGAAAGATTTTTGGTATCACCATCAATGCGCCTGCGACGTTGCTCCTGCGGCGGCTTCGGATGAAGTGCTACAGGGATGAAATCTTGAACAAAGTGGGAGAGATGCATGAAGACGAGCTTGATCTTCTCATCAAGGATCATATGGAGCTCTATGGATGGTTCAAAACTGATACGACTTGGCACCACTCTGAGCTGCCTTACCAATTTGAACAACATGCCGTGATTGGAAAGAAGCGAGGCCAAGTTGACCATTTCATTAGACAAAGTCAGAGGAAAACTGCATATGATCATTTAGCGCATTCTCATCGACACGAATTTCAAGATCAAATACCTGCATTCGATGTGAAACGGATCGACATGGTACGCAAACTGGCATACAGCAAACCTCATTTTCTGCCTTTTTTCATAGGAGCTGTCAAAAGCCCAAAGATGCGGACTCTCAGGACCAATAAGCGCATGGTGTGTCCATGCGGTGCCCTCAATCCGGACTGGGAGCACATTTGGCAATGTGCTGTTGGAATAGTGCCGTCAGATGTTCTTCTTCGAAGATTTCTTTGGCCAAGGACGACAGATGATTTGGAAGCCATCAACAGCTTCACCCAGGCGATGAACAATTTTTCAACTTAGGCTGCTTATTTGGCAAGTGTCTGTTTTCTTTGGAAAGCGACCCATGTCATCAGAAAGAAATCCACTCCAACCACCATGTTCCAGGGCATTGGTGAGCGAATGACCAAGGAGCTCACTGCTTTGGCACCGTCCACCATGAAGATCAAGGTGGTTGCTCCTCCTGAGCGCAAGTACAGTGTGTGGATTGGTGGTTCTATTCTGTCTTCTCTGAGCACTTTCCAGCAGATGTGGATCTCCAAGGGCGAATATGATGAGTTTGGCCCTACCATCGTCCACCGCAAGTGCTTCTAAGCGCATGCAGATCGACGCGCTAGATGTGTCCAAAGGCAGGCAGTGTAGCTTCAGTGTCGTACTGCGACCACACACCAACCACTGATGTGTCACCGCTGGAGAGCCAGGTCTATTTTTAGTCGTTTCACTTGTTATTCAAGTCACAGTCTGTAGTTGTTTCTCGTACGTCGTAGGTGTTTGCAATGCAAGCCTCATGTTAACAGTTGCACTGTGAGTTCCTTCGTGCATTTGTGCACATGGATTCAAATTCATTCCTTCCCGGGGCATAGGGCAGGCTGTGTTGCAGAGGGCTAAGCCTTCAGGTTCACATCTGCTCAAATAGACAGAACAGTCCGAGTGAGGGTGAGCGAGTGGCAAAAGCGAGAAGAGACATGACCATGATCTGCATATCTGGGTTGCATTCTTCCACCTTCTCCATGCAGTGCAGAATCTTTAGAATGTTTTTTTTGATTTTTCTGCAAGAAGCGGGAGGAGCTTAGATTCCATTCATTTCCATTTACAGTGTCACTATCTGAGAAGTGAGTGACATGTGGACACCGAAGTTGCCCATTTGAAATTTCGGGCTCCAGTGGTTTTGCACACATCATTTCGTGACTCTTTTTAGCACTCCTTTATTCTCGCAGCCATGGGTGACGAAGAAGTTGCCGCGCTTGTGGTGGACAACGGAAGCGGAATGTGCAAGGCCGGCTTTGCAGGTGATGATGCTCCACGAGCAGTTTTCCCATCCATTGTTGGCCGGCCAAAGATGCCTGGAATCATGGTTGGCATGGACCAGAAGGACAGCTATGTAGGAGACGAGGCGCAGAGCAAGCGAGGTGTGCTGACCTTGAAGTATCCCATTGAGCATGGCATCGTCACCAATTGGGATGACATGGAGCTTTGGTGAAAAGCACGTAGAAGACTCTTTGTGAATCGTTTTGATTCTTTTTGAACCTCTCGGCATCTCTCTATGGAATTTGAGTTTGATCAAGTACTTTACTTTCAGATATTTTCAGCTAAATTCTGAGCAGATGTTATACATGTTCCAGATTGTTTGTGGGAGGGAGAGAGATTCAACATGAGCAAAGCACCCTTTGCATCTTTGAAGTCTTTGAAGCTTTTGAAGTCTTGGAAGCTTTTGAAGTCTTGGAAGACATGAGTATCAACTTTCAGATTCATGCAGATTCCTTGTGATGCAAAGTTTAAGCAAGCTGAGGAGAAGATTTGGCATCACACCTTCTACAACGAGCTGCGTGTAGCTCCGGAAGAGCATCCAGTCTTGCTGACTGAAGCTCCCTTGAACCCAAAGGCCAACCGTGAACGCATGACTCAGATCATGTTCGAGACCTTCAACGTGCCTGCAATGTATGTTGCAATCCAGGCTGTGCTGTCCTTGTATGCATCTGGCCGAACCACCGGAATTGTGATGGACAGTGGCGACGGTGTGAGCCACACCGTGCCCATCTATGAGGGCTATGCTTTGCCTCATGCCATTCTGCGTTTGGACTTGGCTGGTCGTGACCTTACGGAGTACATGATGAAGATCCTCACTGAGCGCGGCTACTCCTTCACCACCACCGCTGAGCGCGAGATTGTTCGAGACGTCAAGGCCCGTTTGGAGAATGAGATTTAGAGGTAGTATATGAGGGGATGTGAGGTGTATGTAACAATGTAAGAGAGTGGTATCGACCCCCCTGCTAGTACCATCGTGGCATTAATGTATATATATATATTAATGTACAAAGGAAATTAAAGGATAAGTCATGATTAGAATCAGGATGACACATGCTGATGAAACATGCTGACGAAAGATGTTGATGAACAATGTGAACCACCCTTCGGATATTTTGATTTCCACTACATTTTTTTTGCAGTTTCAGCGGCGCCGCTGCCACAAGTTCCAACAAATCCATCAATTTCCAGGAGAAACTTTGCTACATCGCCTTGGACTTTGACAGCGAGATGAAGGCTGCATCTGAGAGCAGTGACAAGGAGAAGACTTACGAATTGCCTGATGGCAACATCATCACCGTTGGATCTGAGCGTTTCCGCTGCCCAGAAGTCCTGTTCCAGCCAAGCTTCGTGGGCAAGGAGGCCAGCGGCATTCATGACACCACCTTCCAATCGATTATGAAGTTCCTTGGTGGTGTTCAGCCGTAAGAAGGCTAAGAATTACTGAGATGTTTCGAGATTTTAAGATACTTTAAGTTTTTTTTTGGGATTTCATGGGATTTCACAGAATTTACATCATATCCCACAGGAAGTTCGACTTTCAGCATTTTTGGCCGGGGATCAACAGATCAACCGATCAAGCACCCAGGTGCGATGTCGATATTCGAAAGGATCTCTATGCCAACGTGGTGCTTTCAGGTGGAACCACCATGTTCCAGGGCATTGGTGAGCGAATGACCAAGGAGCTCACTGCTTTGGCACCGTCCACCATGAAGATCAAGGTGGTTGCTCCTCCTGAGCGCAAGTACAGTGTGTGGATTGGTGGTTCTATTCTGTCTTCTCTGAGCACTTTCCAGCAGATGTGGATCTCCAAGGGCGAATATGATGAGTCTGGCCCTACCATCGTTCACCGCAAGTGCTTCTAAGCGCATGCAGATCGACGCACTAGATGTGTCCAAAGGCAGGCATGCAGTGTAGCTTCAGTGTCGTAGGGGTTTGCAATGCAAGCCTCATGTTCACAGTTGCACTGTGAGTTCCGTCGTGCATTTGTGCACATGGATTCAAATTCATTCCTTCCCGGGGCATAGGGCAGGCTGTGTTGCAGAGGGCTAGGCCTTCAGGTTCACATCTGCTCAAATAGACAGAACAGTCTGAGTGAGGGCTCAGCGAGTCTCAAAAGTTAGAAGAGTTAAGAGTCATGACCATGATCTGCATATCTGGGTTGCATTCTTCCACCTTCTCCATGCAGTCCAAAATCTTTAGATATCTTCGGAATGTTTTTTTGATTTTTCTGCAAGAAGCGGGAGGAGCTTAGATTCCATTCATTTCCATTTACAGTGTCACTATCTGAGAAGTGAGTGACATGTGGACACCGAAGTTGCCCATTTGAAATTTCGGGCTCCAGTGGTTTTGCACACATCATTTCGCGACTCCTTTTAGCACTCCTTTATTCTCGCAGCCATGGGTGACGAAGAAGTTGCCGCGCTTGTGGTGGACAACGGAAGCGGAATGTGCAAGGCCGGCTTTGCAGGTGATGATGCTCCACGAGCAGTTTTCCCATCCATTGTTGGCCGGCCAAAGATGCCTGGAATCATGGTTGGCATGGACCAGAAGGACAGCTATGTAGGAGACGAGGCGCAGAGCAAGCGAGGTGTGCTGACCTTGAAGTATCCCATTGAGCACGGCATCGTCACCAATTGGGATGACATGGAGCTTTGCTGAAAAGCACGTAGAAGACTCTTTGTGATTCTTTTTGAACCTCCCGACATCTCTCTATTGAATTTGAGTTTGATCAAGTACTTTACTTTCAGATATTTTCAGCTAAATTCTGAGCAGATGTTACACATGTTCCAGATTGTTTGTGGGAGGGAGAGAGATTCAACATGAGTGAAGCACCCTTTGCATCTTTGAAGTCTTGGAAGCTTTTGAAGTCTTTGAAGTCTTGGAAGACACGAGTATCAACTTTCAGATTCATGCAGATTCCTTATGATGCAAAGTTTAAGAAAGCTGAGGAGAAGATTTGGCATCACACCTTCTACAACGAGCTGCGTGTAGCTCCGGAAGAGCATCCAGTCTTGCTGACTGAAGCTCCCTTGAACCCAAAGGCCAACCGTGAACGCATGACTCAGATCATGTTCGAGACCTTCAACGTGCCTGCAATGTATGTTGCAATCCAGGCTGTGCTGTCCTTGTATGCATCTGGCCGAACCACCGGAATTGTGATGGACAGTGGCGACGGTGTGAGCCACACCGTGCCCATCTATGAGGGCTATGCTTTGCCTCATGCCATTCTGCGTTTGGACTTGGCTGGTCGTGACCTTACGGAGTACATGATGAAGATCCTCACTGAGCGCGGCTACTCCTTCACCACCACCGCTGAGCGCGAGATTGTTCGAGACGTCAAGGCCCGTTTGGAGAATGAGATTTAGAGGTAGTATATGAGGGGATGTGAGGTGTATGTAACAATGTAAGAGAGTGGTATCGACCCCCCTGCTAGTACCATCGTGGCATTAATGTATATATATATATTAATGTACAAAGGAAATTAAAGGATAAGTCATGATTAGAATCAGGATGACACATGCTGATGAAACATGCTGACGAAAGATGTTGATGAACAATGTGAACCACCCTTCGGATATTTTGATTTCCACTACATTTTTTTTGCAGTTTCAGCGGCGCCGCTGCCACAAGTTCCAACAAATCCATCAATTTCCAGGAGAAACTTTGCTACATCGCCTTGGACTTTGACAGCGAGATGAAGGCTGCATCTGAGAGCAGTGACAAGGAGAAGACTTACGAATTGCCTGATGGCAACATCATCACCGTTGGATCTGAGCGTTTCCGCTGCCCAGAAGTCCTGTTCCAGCCAAGCTTCGTGGGCAAGGAGGCCAGCGGCATTCATGACACCACCTTCCAATCGATTATGAAGTTCCTTGGTGGTGTTCAGCCGTAAGAAGGCTAAGAATTACTGAGATGTTTCGAGATTTTAAGATACTTTAAGTTTTTTTTTGGGATTTCATGGGATTTCACAGAATTTACCTCATATCCCACAGGAAGTTCGACTTTCAGCATTTTTGGCCGGGGATCAACAGATCAACCGATCAAGCACCCAGGTGCGATGTCGATATTCGAAAGGATCTCTATGCCAACGTGGTGCTTTCAGGTGGAACCACCATGTTCCTGGGCATTGGTGAGCGAATGACCAAGGAGCTCACTGCTTTGGCACCGTCCACCATGAAGATCAAGGTGGTTGCTCCTCCTGAGCGCAAGTACAGTGTGTGGATTGGTGGTTCTATTCTGTCTTCTCTGAGCACTTTCCAGCAGATGTGGATCTCCAAGGGCGAATATGATGAGTCTGGCCCTACCATCGTTCACCGCAAGTGCTTCTAAGCGCATGCAGATCGACGCACTAGATGTGTCCAAAGGCAGGCAGTGTAGCTTCAGTGTCGTAGGGGTTTGCAATGCAAGCCTCATGTTCACAGTTGCACTGTGAGTTCCTTCGTGCATTTGTGCACATGGATTCAAATTCGTTTCCTAACATTTTGTGCATTAGATTGCTGAGTGAGGGCTCAGTGACTTTGCGCATCCACCTAGGAAAAAACTGCTTGATTGCTGAAATGTGGTCTTGCAGCAATTTAGGTTTTGGGAAAAGACACTCTTTACGCCACTTGCTCTCCAGACTAAGGATTAAGATAATGACTGAGGTACATTTGATTGTGGTTTTGATTATGTTTTTGAAGTAGTCCCAGACAATCCCGTCCCAGGCTTTTTGGGGATCAGGCGAACCTATTCTTTGGATGATGTGACACTGCAGTATTCCGTGGTTGACAGGAACCCAGTTTTCGCTTTGAATTCCGGCACTGAGGCTGGCAATTTGTGATTTGTTGCATTATCATTTGGCACCATTACTGCAATCCGACGATCTTTTCGCAGCTTGCTTACTCTTCGGTCACTTTCTTTGTCTTCTTCTCCGGCTTCATCACCCAGTATGCCTATGCGGATACATAGCGAAATCACTTGGTGACTGATGACAGTTTCGCTTTGAATTCAAGGTTTCGTCATGTTTCATCATGTTTCATGTGGGAAAGCGTTTCTGGCCGTTTGTCAACGTTGGAATAAATTGAAATGAATTGGATGTCCTATGGCAGCGTCTAAAAAAGGACTTCCGATGCCTACACTGTGCTGAGAGATGACAGCTTCAAAAGAGATGCTGCAATGATTTGTAATCCATTGTAGTCCAGTGTACTCCATTGTAATCCTGTAGCATCCTGTAGCATCCTGTTGTTTTTCCCCAGAGGTAGACATCCATTGGACATGCTGACATGCGGCATGTTGACCGGTCAATGCCAAGGACAAGATGGCAGGAGCCAAAGCAAATTTCGTCTCTTTTTACATCCGACGAATCGGGCGCATTTTGCCCATTTACTACGCCATTCACTTTCTGGTTCTCCTGGCGAATAGTCAAGCCTGGTCGACGGACTTTAAGGTGTCGATGTACACTTTCAAACAGTTTCAAGAGCCAGAATGAACAGGTCATGTTTGAACGTGATGTGTGATTTTAGCGGATAAAGCTACACTTGGTAGCTGCAATTTCAAGAAGTGTTCCACTCTAAGATCGGTTTATAGTGGTTTGTACGATCGTGACCGTGGACACTGTGAGACTCCAATCAGAAAGGCTCTTGACTCTTGAAAAATCAGATTTTGTATGATCTTGTGCTTCTGTTTGAAGGACTCTGTCCTTTTGCTTTGCACTTGGCATGGTTCATCACCATCTACGAACTTTCCTGCTTGGACGGTTTGCGCTTTGTTTTGGCCACTTTGTCAGCGCTCTAGTGAGTCTTCAGACTCTTGGAATATTTTGGAATATAAATATATGGTCACACCCCCATCAGAACCTACCTTTAGCATTTTTTGGTGGTATATTACAAATTATCTATCTATCAATGTTCAAAGCTGACACATGAAATGGGCACTGTGTTACCTTCTAGCTGAAGCATCCTGAAACATCTGCATTGACTCTCGAAGAGCAAAGCAATGGAAGGACGAAACGCTGAGGTGTTGGCTGTTCGCACCTCTGCCGTCCAAGCTACTCTTCTGGGCCCGACAAAGCCGCTCGGCCAAAGTGCCAATAGGTTGAGTTGGACGATGGGACATGATGGGACGATATGCCTTTCTTTTCTCATCTCAAGGGCTTGTCCGTTGATGTTACAGTCAGGATGGACGTTCGCCTTGAGGTATCGGAGCTCCAACATATCCACTGGGCGTTTGGCTTTTGATGGTGGTTCTGGGCACGTTGGACGAGGTATGGTCCCGTTCAGTCCCCTGTCTTCCATTGTGGATCTGACAAACACCATTCCGTTGACACAAGATTGATCGAGCACCTGCGCTAAGGCCACGCTGGATGAATACATGGACCTCGATTTTTGGTTCTATGTGGCTTGCCCGACTTGGCCCGAAGTTGAAGTTGTGTTGTCGGACCAATATGTCATAAATTGTCATAATATGTCATCACATCTGCAGTGGGCAAGGGGGCAAGCCTAGATGATTTAGATGTGCAGCATGTGTGGCACGTTGCGCAGGAGACCAGACACAACATCTTTATCTTCACTCTGGGCATTTGCTGCTGCGAAGTTGCTCAATCGTTGCCACCTGCCAGAGGAATCTGGAATTGGTTTTGGCCTCTTTGGTGCGATGCCACACTGATTGGAACCTTACTGCTTACTGCAAGCTGGTCACCTGATGGTATCTCCTGGGGCTCTAGCTTTTGGAGTGGCTGCTACGTGGCTGGGATGAATTGTTGATTGATTCAGGACCAATGGAATTATGACCTTTCAAAGTAGTAGAGTCTGATTAAAACCACGAAAAAGGATGAACAGATATGAAAAGGAGGTAACCTACCATAAAAGAAGAGCACGTTCCGAATTTCGGAACGTCGGAACGTGCTTCCAATTTGAAACGACCAGAAAATTGACGCGTGTGATCTTGTCCCTCTCAGATCCTCAGGCACCAGTAGCTCTGTGGGTGTTGTCATCCACCTTGGGATACCAGTCGTTGTTGAATCGGCTCAGTAGCCACCGAAGCTTGGCAGAAGAACATGAAGAACCGCCAATTGAAATTCTAATTGTTTCTTTAAATATCTTTAAATTGTTTAGCTGTTTAATGTTGTTTCACTATCTATATATATATATCTATATGTTCTATATGTGTAATGATATTTTATGATATTCTGTCATGATCTTCATGGATTAGCCGATTAGCCCAGGTTTGCTGCAACTCTTGGGAGACTACTCCATGCAGATCTATTTGTTGGCCAACCCGGTGCATGACTTCTTTGTTCATTTTCTTCCAGAGGGAGACCCGTGCCTTGACCACAAGAAGTCACAAGTCAGGCCGAGTCAGGCTATGTTTGAGTTTTTTTTGGCCAGGAGGATACTACGTATATCTACGTATAGCTAAGATCTTGTTTTTTGGGGCACTGACAACTTGACCTCAGTTGAGACAAAGAATGGCAGTCATTCGATGCTTCGCCAAGGATCCTTCTGTATCTCTTCATTTTGGTGAGTTCCATAGCTGTCACTGATCTCATTGAGCAACCCCTTGCTGACCGCCTCAAGAAGTTCTCAGATCAAATTCAGCTGCCAGGCCGTGGCAAAGTTGCCAGTCCATTTCCACAATGCTTGATGTTGGTACATGTTGGTACCTAAGCAACGTTTTTGCTACCCATATCATCCCATATCTACATTATCTACCCATGTTGCGTGGATCATTGCATGGATCTCTAAGTTTGTTCCGACAAAGTGCTTCAGTGGGAGGCATCCGTGAAGAAGATGGAAGCCTGTTGGCCGAATGCGCATAAAAAAGAAAAACGAGCGTTGCATTCTGCACACTTTTTTGCCAAGCCTGTTGGCGCTTGTTGATGCTGTTGGCTCGGTCATCTTCCCAAACTCACGCGAAGTTCGTGTTTCTCCATGTTTTTCCAACAGCATCAGGTGAAGGCGGTGAAGGTGATAGAATCTGATAGAATCTGATAGAATCTGATAGAATCTGATAGAAGGTGTCTTGATGTGTCTTGGAATCTGGCCAGGTCAGCTGTTTGGTGCAATCGCTGATCCCTGCAGGGGCAGCTGCCTGCCAGCTGCTGAATTCACTGGGCTCGCAGTAAGGCAGTATCCGCTGGCTTTTGAACAGCCAGGGGTAAAAACGCATGAAGCTACAACACATCACCACACCCATTTCGATCCATGCAACCAAAATCAGTATATATCAGTATTCATAGTATTATGACTTATGCTGCATGGGTTTGTCAGAGGATGCTGCGGGAATTGGCCCTCGACTCCACTAGGTTGGACTTCAGTGTCTCCTTTTCACTATTAGAGGGCGCTTTCGGACGCCTGAATTCAAACTGGGAGGCAATGGCGTGGAAAGCCATGAATTCCGAATGCGACGTTTTTCAAAGATGTTCAAAGCACAAAGGCTGAGATTCAATGCAGACATATTTAGAATTTCGATACCAGTTTGGAGCATTTGGTCCGAAACACAAAAGATCACGAAAGCATTCGCATTCTTCGCCGGGAATTGACATGTTGCCACGATTGATCGGAGCAACTGTCTTGGAATCTGTTCCAATTTTTTTCCTACCTACGGTAGTGCGAAGCCGGCGTGAAGCTTGGACTCTGGCGGGATGTAGAAAAGTCCTGGGAGCAACGTGGAGGAACATCGAGAGGCGAGATGAGGCAAGCAATGTGTGACGGTGCGACGGTTGAAACTTGTTTCCAGCTTCCAGCTGCAGCTGAGTTGCGACTTGTCGTGTCATATCGAGGCAATCTCCCAATGCAGAGGACATTGCACAGCTGGCGTGGATCTGCCGAGATTTGGAGGTCATTTCTCCAACAAACGCAAAGCAATGACCAGGGCAGACAGGCTCCATGTGGGAAGCAAAGCATGAAGATAGCATGAACATCAGCCAGTCTCCATTCCCAAACTGCCAGAAAACTGTATTTTTCCAAATACAGGAGGTAGATGTAAAAATATGTAAAATATTGTATTTTGCGGGTAAAATGATGTAGTTTCTTCGATGTTTCGGGTGAATCGACGAGGAAGTTGTCAGCTTCACCATGCTTCACCGTCAGGTGGGGAGCTCCGCCTCCTTGTGGCTCGTTCCGCAGGAACGGGCGGAACGCCAAAGTGAAACAAGCACGGCTCCATGAGAGCAACATGAGAGCAACGTTTTTTTTATTTTTTGAGCATCAGGAACTCAGGAACTCGTTTTTGAGGTTTCAAAGACGCTATTTATAAGATCTACGAATCTACAAGTCTGGCTTGACAAACCAAGTGCCAAGATCAGATCGGAGGCATCTCAACTTCTCCTTTCTGGTGACCCACGTTGGCCAAAGGCACCAAGTCGCTTTGCCAATCGGGGGGACTAGCAAAGATATAAACACATTACATATATGTACATGTACATATGACATATTATGACATATCATAAAATGAAATCAACGAAGTTCAATGCAGAGTGACATGATGTTTGCCGAAGCGAGACTTAATTGACATAAGACAAAGTCTGTGGCTAGAAGGCATACCAGGAGCAAAGGGAGGAAAGGTTTTTGGACGTTGGACATCCTCTGACAGGTGCTGCCGCTGCTCACCAGCCGAGATCCAATTGCAGCTCGGCAGTGGTAGCTTTTGGATGATGCAATGATGTCCTGTGCTTCAGATACCATCATCATCATATGGACCTTTATGGACCTTTATGGACCTTTATGGACCTTTATGGACCTTTATGACTAAATTTATGATACTTTTCATGACTTTTAATAGTCGTTTCAGTTGTTTCAGTGGTTAGTTTCTGCCACAGTTCACCAGTCCTCTCCATGGGGTGACCTATAAATGAGGCCTACAGACATGCTATCCAGATTTTGATTCCAGAGATGCTGCGTGCTGAAGCCCAGCCACCAAGAACTGCACCGGAGGTTGGAAAGCATAGGATCTATTGAAATCTATTGCATTCTAACGATTTCTAAAAGGCCTATTGCCATTTTTGGAATTGGATAGGATTTGGTAAGATTAAGATGTTGAATTGTGTCGTGTTCTCTTGACAATTCTTGACGATTTATCTATATTTATCTCTTAGTTTTTCCCACCGCGTTGCTGTTACCAAGGTGGCCAAAGCACTCGCGAGGAATTGTCGCAGGTGCTGGAGGCGCAACTGCAGCTGCCTCCGGCTGCCTCCCGCTATGTTGCCTTGGTGCCACATGTCGCACACATGTCACACCCTGCCTTGGATCCAGGCCTTGTCCATGGCAAAAGAGCAAGACCTGCAACTCATCTACCGAGTGGCCAGCAAGCTCGCAACTCACGGAGCTCAGACGGAGCTCAGCGTTTCATGTCTCGACTCTCGAGTGACTTCAGATGAATTCTGCAGGAATTGCTTAGCATTTGCTTCGGAAATCTTCCGAGGTGCGTGGCGTTTGCTGAGGATGTGGACTTGCCAACATCCGTGAAATTAGTGGGGGCCCACGGAGAAGCGTGCCGCATGGCTAGAAAAGCAGGGACGTGCAAGAAAATCGAGAGACTGTTCTAGTGAATTGCTATCGACAATTTGAGTGCCGTTCAGGCAGCCCAAGTTGCTGATCAAGAAAATGACTTGAGAAAATTGTTGGTCAACAGATTGGGCCAGACGAAGGCATTGATGCACCAAGGCCTCTTGGTTGGCGCACTTGGGAGTTCGCAAGGACTGGTAGAGGATACAAAGTAAGAAATACATTGAACATCAAAGAACAATGGGTCTTTCAAGGATTTTCAAGGATTTTCATGATGTTTGATGATATTTGATGGATACTTGATGATATTAATTTATATTATGTTTGGTGATGTTTGGTTGTCCATGTCGATTTGTGGCTTCCCTTCTTTTTCTCAGGAGATCTTAATGAACAAACTCGCGAGGAATCTGGTGAAGCATGAGAGGTCGGACATATTGGGACACTCTCTTTAGTCCTAAAGTGGCTGGAAATGGCAGGAATGTTGGTGTCGGTTTGCCCATGTTTGCCCTCTTTGCTTGATGCCTCTAAGACTCTCACCATCTACAGTGTCTTGTTCATCCTTTTCCATTGCTTTCGAAGCCGTTGAACCATGTTGAACCTGTGAAAATCCACAGTCTTTCGCACCAATTTTCTGAAATTCCAGGCAGTTCACCAGGGACATCATTGAGGCGAGGGACGCGTGAAGCTATCCATGTTTGCTCATCCTCATGTGACTCATGTTTCTATATGTTTCTGTTCTCCCTTTGAAGTTCCGTGTTTTTGGTGCTTTAGGGTGATGCAGAGATAGATATAGGTGATATAGTGTCAACTGTTGATGGTTGCCAAAATGCCGCTGCAAACAAAAAGCATCCGTTCAGGCCGTAGTTGACTCCTGGACAACACTGCAAGTGTCCAACAAAGACTTGGCCGAGGCAAAAAGTGTCAGAGTCAAGCCAGAAAGTTTCCTCAAAGACGTCACTATTTAGAAACAGTCAAATGACACGTGACGCATGAGCTGCTACCAGCCAATCTGTGCAGATTGTTGATTGCAGATTGATTGGAACAGGCAGTGCGCAGATGGTTGGCATCTTCAGATTTGGAGGCCTTCACAATGTCGACATCCACGAAACAACGTTTTTTTCTATGTTCGTCTCACAGACTTGACTTTAGGGGTGGCAATTGCACTTTGACCGCTGAGGCCTCACACATCGAAGAACTTGATGCACAAGTGAAGGCCATAGTTACATCAAAATTACCAAGTTGGACCGTACAACATCATACAACCAATACGAAGAAATACACGTGGGCCACGCGGAAGATGTTGGAAGATGTGGGCCACATACTTGGCCGTTTGCCTCGTGAGGTTCTGGAGACCAGAAGACCAGAAGCAACACCATGGCTAAGAAAAGATCGAAAGTCATAGCAGCATGGCATGTACAGACATGTGCGTAATGAGATGCAACAAGGAGTTTTCTATGGTTTTTTGTTCAATATCTGTGAAGCCTCAATTGAACAGCCAATAGTTCACTCACCCAATAACAAAGCAGAATCCTCACTTGAATATAGCGTACAAAGCCCTTTGCTGCATGTTGAATTTAACTGCCTTTGTGTTGCGATCATCACAATTTCCTATGGTGCATTTTGTTGCAACGATGCTTCTGTGTAGCCTGAAATCACACTTCAGGGCAATCTGACACTATGATTCGAGCTGGCAACTTGAGTTGGAAACTTCGGGGCATTGCGATGCATTTCGGTCACTCATTCGATGCATTTTTGATGGGGCTCAAAAACCGTTGATTTCTTGGCAAACTAGCAATTTGCTTCGTTTCGGACATGTCGGACATGTAAGCAGTGCGCTGTTACAAGTTGCCCTGGATGATCTGGATGTGCCTCGGCTCAAGCGATGTCGACATAGTCATTATAGTCATTCAACTTGAGTCAAGGACAGCTGAGAAAGCTGCTTTAAGCCTCCTTGAATCGATGTAACTTGACCTGTGCAGAAAGTATCAATGCGGATTGTTTCTCTTCATTTGATACTGATGAGATGTGATGAGCACTTCTTTGAGCCTCCGCTTCCCCGTGCAAGCGCTTGCTGGGATGTAGTTCAGATGCAATGGCAAGGGTTATCTACCTTGTCTTCCTGCACTTTCATGCTGCCGCACACAGGCCAAAGTCTTGTGGATCTTAGCCCTGGTAGAGCGTTCAGTTTTTGCATTTGACACCTGCCGCAACTTCTCTGGTTTCAAGGGGCTTGATTCCTCTGATATTGCCTGAATCAGCCTGATTGTACCTGATGATACATGTGAACATACGGGGACTATGCATATCTTTGCGATGCCGAAGGAAAGGCAGAACTTTATCAGACAATGGTTGCATGTTTGCAGTTGAGCGATGGCATCTTCATTACAGGCTATTTGGTTTCCAGAATGAATCTGGGCATAATTTCTGGCACCGCATTCACAGCTAGAACAGACTTTGCAGATGTTGAATGGATTTGAGCGTTGACACAGCAGTAATGCCACACAGGAGTAAGATTATGAACATGCAAACACACTTTACAATATTATTAATACTGTAATAATTATGTAATATAACTTATCAGCTTTCTATGCCTCTCTGCGAGTTGCCAGCATGAGACGTGCTGTGAAAGCACTGTCCTGGCATGGATGCACATTCATCAGGTGTTACATATGCCGATTGGACGGCTCGAAGGCCTAAGCCATTTGCGCTGCGTGTGGAAAGATTGCAATGGCGTGAGCATCGTTTGATCGTTGCTGCAGCTTTGCATTCTACAGTGGTAGCGGAGCTGGTTGCGATTGCAGAGCCTTAGCATTGCACTATTCTTTGAGCCCCTTGCTGGCATTTTGGTGTGCCTCGACTGCGTGCCTGCGGCATTCATTTGGGATAACTGAATTGCTGGTGTTTCACAAGTTTTGGTTTGGCCATATCCCCCAGTAGTCCACCTAATGGCTGAAGATGACAAGGGATATGGACCTTGGAGCAGGGTTCCGGTTTGGGATGGTTCGCCGTTGACGTGGCGACGCTTCAGAAGGGATGTTACCTGGTGGCTGAGCAGTTTGGACCTTTCGAAGACGACTGGATATAACCTGGCAGCCAGGTTCCTTCTGAGGCAGGATGGCATTGCTCGTCAGAGAGGTGAAGAATTTTTGCCAGAAGAGCTTGCATATGTTCCACCGGCGAAGTTGGTGGACCCCGACAATGGAGAGGAGATGGATGATCCAGATGCGGTGCCTGACTATTTAGTGGGTGTCAACAAGTTGATGAGAGCCTGGGAGGAAATGAACGGGCGAACCGCCCTGGACAAAAGGGGCGAATTGCGCCAGGCCTTTTACATGGACTTGACTCGGAAAGCTGGAGAACGAGTGAGTGAGTTTTGCACTCGCTACAGATCCCTGGTAGCTGACCTGAAGGGCGAAGGCGTTTTGATTGGAGATGCTGAGTTGGGGTGGTGGCTGAGACAGAAGATGGGACTGGACCCATTGCGAAAGCAGCTTTTGGATACAGCACTTCAAGGAAGTGAGGACTATGGCACCATTGAAGCAGAGATCTTGAGGTTGTTTCGAGATCTCCATGACAATGACCCTTTGTATCGCAGGATGGAGAACCGACAGCCTTTGACCATCCGGCGAATGTTTGGTGCACGTTCCTCTCCCTCTACGTCCTCAGCTCCATCAACCTTCTCTCGTATGACCTCAGCGTCCTCCATGAATAGACCTTCCTCTTTGAAGTCCTCTTCTCACCCCCGTCAAGCCAATGTGACCGAGAATGTTGACGAAGATGCGGATGCAGACGCCGAAGTTCCGGCGGGTGAGTCGCCTGATGGAAATGATGATGCAGGTGGCCAGACGTTGGAAGAAATCCTACAGACTGAGGCTGAAGTGTTGGCAGCCGAACTCCATGAAGCTGAGCAAGAAGGTGTGGATCCCCAAGTTTTAGATAACTTGGAATCTGGCATAGAACAGGCGGCGGAGACCCTGGTGACCATGCGTGAAGCCAGGCAACAGCTGCAATCTGTGCGAAAGGATCGTGGATATGGGAAGTCTGATGGATCCAGCTTCAAGCATAGCGGAAGTTCTCAAGCAGCTAGCCGAAAGGCCTCAGGAAAATTTCCTTGCTATGACTGCGGAGAGAGCGGTCACTGGGCAGGGGACTCCATTTGCAAGAAGCCTGGTCAAGGCCTTGGTCGAAAGAAACCTGACATTTCCAAGAAGCCGATGCGACAGGTTCGTGTTGCCGAACATGATGGCAGTTCGAGCCCACATGCTGCGCCGAATGTTCATGGTGCCAATGTGGTGGAGCATGCGCTCCCAGCCCACGATGTGCTTGTGACTGAAGCGTTGCTGAGTGGAAAGACTGCTATGTGCGGGCCGGTGCATGGATCTGAAGCTCTCAACTTGGAGCAAGCCCTCACCCAATCTGTTTCTCAGGGTATTCCCACGGCCAAAGCTTCTGATGTTCTTCCCCCAGACAAAGAATTGGTAGGAGCACTGGATTCAGCATGTAATAGAACGTGTGCGGGACCTGATTGGTTGCGAGGGTATTTATTGAAACTGCAGCAAGCCCCCAATCACATCAAGGACCTTGTGCAGATGCATGCAGAGTCAGAGAATTTTCGTTTTGGAAACAGTGGTGTTGTGCTTTCTCTTCAGCGATGGCGTCTTCCAGCTCTCATAGGGGAAACTTTGATTTTGGTTTGGATTTCTATGGTTCCAGTGAGCACTTTGGGATGTTTAATTGGACGAGATCTACTAGAATCTATTGGGGCTGTTTTGGACTTCCACAAGCGCACTCTCACTTGCAACCACATCGCTTCTGGTGTCTTGCAGCTGCGTCAAATGGTGGCAGGTCATTTTCTCCTCGAATTGCTGCCGAGCGGGGATGCCTGCTGGAGTGCGCCAGCCCAGGAACCGGGAAAGTGGCGAAAATGTGGTCAAGATGGTGTTGTTGAACTTTGGATGTCTAGGCTACAGTGGGTTCAATATCAACTTCATCGCAAACCTTTTCTGAAGTTCAAAGAGACAGAGCATTTGCTAGTGGAGTCAAGTTTGCAAGCATGTCGTTTTGTTTTGGATGTGAGTCCTGCAGAGTTGCCGTGCACTTCTCAACCTTCATCATTGAATTTGACTTCGGCTCGAGTTCCTTTGAAGAAGCGGCGATTGCGACGCGCTCGAACCCATGCAAGTCGTCGACAGTCCCTCGACCTTGGTGTTGGGACGATGGCAGCGGCTGGTGAGTCGCATGGTGCATCGCCGCGCATGGCACGACAACGGGCTCCTGCTTTGGGTCTTACAAAGGCCTTACTTGCGGTTCTTGCCCTGTCCCTATCCCAATGTTGCCAACTGCAAGGGCTGGGCATTGCAAGTCGAATCTATGCAGAATCAGAAGACTTGGCCTGCTGCTCACCTGCGAAGGGCACTGAGGAAGATGGATGCTTCAGTTCTTTCGGAATGCCTGTGGCTTCGCGATCGAATTGGCTTTCGCTTGGCCTTCCTGGAGGATCCTATGATTGGCAACATCTTGATGATCCAAGGCTTTCGTGGTCAGAAGTCAGCAATACACCGCGAAGCCATGAAACACACCCAGGAGATGGCGGAGAAACAGCGGAAGTCAGGCAAGGAGACGGAGCACACCAAGGACTTGATTGGTCCCAGAGGTGGATTACCCACCTTGAAGAAGGACTTGGTGGCCCTGGCAACGCTGCTGCACTTGCCAGTGGGAGAGAAGGACACGGTGGATATCCTCAAAGACAAGATCCGTGGCCCCCTGGCGACAGTGGTTGGAAGTTTGAAGGACCGCGACAAGCGTTCCAGAGCCTCCCAAGATGCTTCCAAGGAAGAGTCCATGAAGCCTGTGTCACCACCACTGGTGAAGGCGAAGGCGCCGTGTCCACAACCAAGCCATGCTTCAGCACCTTCCGAAGCAGTTGGCGCCACCGAGATTGCAGCCTTGGAAGCACGACTTCATCAAAGCATCGAACGCCAAGACCAACGCGTTCAAGAGATGCTGAAGCAGCTGGTGGATTTGATGCAGCTGAATCCTCTAGCCCTCCAGGGCATGCCGGCCAATTGGACTTTGGGCCCCATGCCAGCAACTCCAGACTTCCAGATGGAGGACGAGGATGCCATCGATCAGACAGCCCGCGAGATGGGAGTCACCAGAGAAGAAGTCCTTCAGCTGAATGCCGAGCACATGGTGGAATTGGCGGAGGAACAGTTGAAGGGTGGCCCCAGCGAGCGTTGAGCAGTCAGCAGCCCGATGAACAAGATGTCGGACAGTTGCGGGGCAGCATCAAACCGGGCATCAAGCAAATGATTTCTCAGGCTTGGGATCGGCACTGTCGTGACCGTGTTGCAGTGTCCAAGAATCGATTTGAAGTCTATGAGGTGATGACGGCTCTCTATGACCAGGAACTCCGAGATCATATGAATGAAACTTTTGTCTTGGAGGTGGATTTTCCTGGACCCTTCATCACCGAGGTGTACACTGATACCGAGCCTGTTGCCCGAGAAGCCCGCAAAAGAGGACTCCGTGCTGGAGAAAGCCTGACCTTGTCAACAGGGTGGAATTTCCTGTTGGAGGAGCATCGGACTGCTGCAAAGAACTTGATCAGGCGCCTCAAACCCTATGCTCTTGTTCTAGCCTTTCCTTGTGGGCCATGGAGTTTGCTGATGAATCTCAACAGCCTCACGGACGTTGAGAGTTTGCGCAAAGAGGCCAAAGTTCTGGTGACTTTTGCAGTGGAATTGTGCAAATTGCAACTGGCAGCTGGCAGGCATTTTGTTCTGGAGAATCCACTGGCCTCTGCAGCTTGGACTTTGCAAGAGGTTTTGGACTTGGTGGATCGCCCAGATGTTTTCTCCGTGGTGATAGACCAGTGCGTTTTTGGACTTATGAACGCATCTGGTGAGCTCCATCGCAAGGCCACGAAGTTGGTCACATCTTCCCAAGCCTTGGTCAGTCTGATGCAAGGTCATCGATGCGATGGATCACATCACCATGCCCCCGTCATTGGTGGCAGCAAAGTGTCTCGCCCAGCTGGCCATTATCCGCCTGCCTTGGCATCAGCTCTGGTTCAATCGTTTCAGAACCAGTTTGACTTTGAATCCAAGAACCTCAACTGTGAGCATGATGCATTGGCGGCTGAGCTTCCTGACGCAGAAACGTCAGATGATGAAGAGTTGGTGCCTGTCACCGACCAGCCTGAGGTTTTGAAGATTTCTCCTCAAGTGAAGCAGGCTGTTTTTCGCCTGCATGAAAACACAGGACATAGAAGTGGGCGGCGTCTGGCGAGAGCGCTACTTGTTTGTGGAGCTCCTAAAGAAGCAGTTGTTGCAGCCCGCAACCTTAAGTGCTCAATCTGTTCAGAAAAGAGGGCTCCACGTGCTCGACGACCTGCGACATTGCCTCAGACCAGTCAGGTCGGTGCCAAAGCCCACATTGATTTGCTGATGTTGGAAGATGCTTTTAGACAAAACTATGTGGTGGTGCACATCACCGACAGTGTCTCTAGGTTTCAAATGGCCGCCATCATCAAGAACAAGTCCTCTCAAAGTGTTATCCAGTTTCTCACCACGCACTGGATTCCATTGATGGGATGCCCTGAAGTTTTGGTTGCGGACCAAGGCCGAGAATTCATTTCAGGTGAATTTGACGAATTCTGTTCCAGTCGAAGCATCTACCTGTACCACATTGGAGTACAGGCCCCATGGCAAAACGGGCTGGCCGAGAGGTCGGGGGCGACTTTGAAAGCCCTTGCTGGAGCAGTCATACGCTCCCAGACCTGTGCTGGATATGATGACATGGCCATGGCAGTTGCGGAAGCCACGGCAGCCTACAATGCCGACATCACGGAGGAGGGCATCTCTCCACTACAGGCGGTTACGGGCCGACAGCAAGCCCCAACCGGAGATGTTTTGTCCGGCATCCATGGACGACTGGCTGAACACGAGATGATTGATGAGTCTCCGCTGGCTGCCAGACAAGTTGCTGCTCGAGAAGTAGCCAGAATCGCCATGGTTCGACTTCATTTCAGCCGTGGACTTCGTCGTGCGGAGTTGGCTAGGGCTCGGTCCTCGACTTTCTCAGACCTTCCCCAGCCGGGTGATTTGTGCTACTATTGGCGAGCCAGCAAGTACAACCCGAAGAAGGGCAGGTCAAGTTCCAGTTCCAAGCATCGGCTTCAGCTCAGACGCTGGCATGGACCGGCGCTTTTGGTGGCATTAGAAGGGGATGCCAATGCCTTCCTGAGTCATCGTGGCCAGTTGACCAAGTGCAGTTTGGAGCACATCCGAAAAGCCTCTCCACTTGAACAGGTAGCTGCCGGAAGTTGGGAGGCTGCCATCAGGGAGGTTATAGAAGCAGTTCCAGTCCCTGAAGATGTGCCAGTACCTGATGATCCGTTGGCAGATGATGTTGATGCTGAAGTTCAAGATTTGTTGGAAAATGATGAACCGACACCGGTTCCACCTGTGTCCAGTTTAGAGCAACAAGCCCAAGCATTGGCGGCGCCATTGACTCCAGCTGAAGTGGTCGCAGTTTTGCAACCGCCGTCAGCCGCCTTGAGACAGTCATCAGCAGTGACTTCATCATTGCCTCCACCTCCAGCATCCGTGGGGCATGGACCAAGCCAATCCTTGCAGGGTTCTGAGACACCTGCGCCTTTGCCCACTCCTTTGGCAGCTGCACCAAAACCATTGATGAGCTCTTCGATTTCTCGAGCTCGATCCTTGGACTCAGCCTTAAGTCCGAGAGGAGGAGGAGCTAAACGACCTGCCTCCCGACCTCCAGCGCTTGAAAGTGAACGTGGTAGACCTGGAGCTCCCACGACACCAACCAGTGGTGTCCCACAGTCCTCCAAGGCGTTTGAAGCGATGGTTTTGTCATGGGAGCAGCTGTGCAACTTAGCTGAGACGGCGGAGAACATTCATCCGCTGATGAGATTGCAAGCTCAAGCTGAGATGGATAGGAGAGCACCGTTCGACTGCCTTGAATCGGATCATGGTTCATGGGATGGACGTTGGAGTTTTCTGTGTGAGCGAGAATGGGAACTCCAGCGAGAACTTTCTCAACAGTTGCCTTGCGGCGATGGTGCGCTTGAAGCCATGACAGTTCAGGCCAGTCGGAAGGAATACCAATGGAGCAAGATGGATCCTGAAGACCGCAAGCTGTGGTCTGAAGCTGCTACCAAAGGGTGGCAGACTTACCTTGAGAATGAGGCAGTCCAGGTTCTTGATATGAAGCGTTCTGCTGAAGTCCGCCGTGAGTTGGCCCAAAAGGGTGAGCTGGACAAGATCATGCGCCCTCGCTTTGTTCTGACGGACAAAGCGGATGGACTCCGAACTGAAACCAACAACCTGGAGAAGCGACCTTCAGCGCGATTGGTGGTTCCTGGATTTCGGGACACTGCAAACCTGGAAGGAAAGCTGCGCCGAGATGCGCCAACTGGAAGTCGACTTGCGCAACATCTACTGTTCATTCTAGCAGCATGGCATGTGGATTGGAAGTTGATCAGTGGCGATGTGAAGGCTGCTTTTCTGAAAGGAGATCCATACTTGGATCGCATCCTCTTCATCTGTTGCACAGATGAGCGAACCAGTCCACCGATCCCTTTGGCTCCAGGACAGCTTGCTACGGTTAGAAAAGGAATTTTTGGACTAGCCGATGCTCCTCGGCAGTGGTGGCTTCGCTTGTCACGCTCAGTGCGTGAGCATGGATGGACCAGAACCCTCATTGATGGAGCAACATGGTTGTTTTGGGAGCCTGGGTCTGCACCAATTGACTCATCCTCCAGTGGCCCCCGAAAGTTGCATGGCATTATGGTGGCGCATGTTGATGATCTCCTATTTTGCGGTGATGCTGTGGCGGAAGCCGCTTTTGACGCCATAGGCAATGAATTAGGTTTTGGCAGCAAAGAGTTTGATGATTTTGTGTGGTGTGGCAAACGCATTCGTCGAGCAGAAGACCAAACCATTCGCCTTTCCATGGTGGAGTATCACCGCAACCTCAAGCCCATCTATTTGCCTCGAAACCGCAAGGCAGATCCCTCTTCTGAGCTGACCCCGAGTGAGGCGAAACAGCTTCGGGCCCTGCTAGGCAGCTTCCAATGGTTAGTTGCTCAGTTGCGTTTCGACATGGCTTTCGTGACGTCCACTCTTCAAGGTGAGCGTCCGACTATCTCCACCATCCTGCGTTCCAACATGGCTCTCAAGGAGTTTCAGGAGAATCCAGAGTTTGAGCTCATTTTCCGGCCAGTGGATCCTTTGACGTGTGGTGTGATGGTAGTAGCTGATGCCGCTCTGGGAAATGTATCTATGCAAGGTACGACGGAGTGTGGTCTCATGGACAAGGTCTACAGCCAAGCATGCTACTTTGTCCTAGTTGCTGATCAGAAGTTGATGGCAGGCGAGAGTGGAACTTTCAACATTCTAGACGCCAGAAGTCACCGAATCAGCAGGGTGTGTCGCTCCAGTTACGCGGCAGAAACACTCTCCACTGAGGAGGCATTCGACGTTGGTCGTCTCTGCCGAGGCCTGATAGCAACGGTTCGTGGACATGACCTATATGGTAAACGTGCTGAAGTGGCCATGGACTCCGTGGACATGCAAGTTGTGGTCGATGCGAAAGACGTCCACGACAAGACCAACAGTGATACCACGTCATTTGGAGCTCAGAAATCACTTGCCTTTGTGGTTGCCTGGCTTCGCTCTGAGCTTCGTCGACCCAGGACGCAGCTGAAGTGGACATCAACTGAGAACATGTGGGTTGACGCAGGTACCAAAATCATGCTCCTGAACCATATGAGAAGAATCATAGCCCTAGGCCAGTGGTGTGTCTCCTATTGCCCAAGCTTTGTCAAACAAGTGTACAAGGCGGTGAAGGTTAAGCCCATGATCAACGCCGCAAAGGCCCATGATGCTGAGCCGTTTGGTGAGGCCCTTTCCAAGGAAGATGCGATGGTGGGTCACTTGATGAAGCTGAGCGAGCAACGTGGATGGCACCACCGACCCGGAGTTGGAATCAACGTGGCAACCAATGCGAAATCATTCAGAACGCCTGAGCCGAGGTTTTCAGTGACGCAGTTTCCGCTTCGCACTACGTATGTGAGAATCGACCATCCATCTGGTCAGTGCGAATGGCGTAGGTTAGAATCAGGTGTCAAGTATAGCGACTTTTCAAACCAGCATGCGCTGTTTGGTCGAGTGGCACCCATTTTGATTACGCTGTTTCATAGCGATGATGCGTTTGATCTGTGAATGGCATCCAATTGCCAAAACAAGATAGAGGGCATGTGAAAGCACTGTCCTGGCATGGATGCACATTCATCAGGTGTTACATATGCCGATTGGACGGCTCGAAGGCCTAAGCCATTTGCGCTGCGTGTGGAAAGATTGCAATGGCGTGAGCATCGTTTGATCGTTGCTGCAGCTTTGCATTCTACAACTTATCAGCTTTCTATGCCTCTCTGCGAGTTGCCAGCATGAGACGTGCAGAGCAGTGAAGCGCCATGGCCATTGATTCGCAACCTCCGCCAAGTGGTGCCTTTATCGCATTTCCGTTTCCATATCTCTTTGAAAGCATGCGGAATTCTGAGTGTCGTAGCACGTATGATTACGCTGGTGGGATTTCTTAGATGTCATGTTCACACTATGTTCATACTCACATTGAGATGTATATGATATTGAAATATATTGAATTGCACATGAAAAAACATGGTGTTTCAATATCATATACACATCATATCATAATATATATTGATATGTATCATCATCTTGTAATGATTTCCAAATGCCCTGCTGCAAGGTGCGGTGCAAGGAGTCAAGGAAGCGGCCTGAGTTGGACAAGTTGGACAAGTTGGACGTCAGCAAATTTCACCCCAAACCTCAGGTTGATGAATATGGATATAATGATAATGATATAATATTATATGTGATTATATGTGTGTATATATATATATTTATTCTGATTGTACAACTGTGTGTGTATATGAATTGGATGTTCACGATGGTTTTGATCCATTTCCCATGGATAGATTAACAGTAACATTCTAACATGTGTACACAGGAAACATAGATAATAATCGCCAGATGTTTCTTTCTTGCTTTGTTACAATAGACTGCAAGACAGATCTGTTCGTGTTCACCAAGTTGGCATCGGACCAGATCTTGCACAATGATGCGCGGAGAGCGGAGGTTGGTATCAAGTTGCTCTTGTGTGTGTGTGTGCGGTATCACGATTTCATCACATTCCATGACATGTTTTGCGCATGACCAAAACATTTTCCTGAAGGTGGATGCTCAATACAGCAAAGTGTGCCAAAACGCATCTTGACCTCTGATGTTTGAAAGTGCAAAGAGCATGAACCCTTACTCAGGCACCCCAAAACAGTTACTAGTAAGATCTAGTAAGCCTCCATTTTACAGCTCCAGCCACAGAGCGAAGAAAAATCGGAAAAAGGGATTCACAAATCAACTTCAGGCAACCCATCTTTGTTGAACCGTTTCAAACTTGCTTGCAGTGGCACTTTTGCTGAGGTACTCATCTGGGAGGTTGTGGCTTGGTAAAACAGGTTGTTCCATGCAGCTCCGCACTCTTCCACACCATGTCAAGTCATGACCACGAAATTCAGGTCGGTGATGGCAAAGATGGGGGCATCATGGTCCGAGAAGGATGTAGTTTGAAGTCTCCAGAGCCTCTTGGTTTCGGCATTGCATATTTATTGTATATTGATGATTATTGATTATAACAATCAACATATGGCTGATTATTGATTATTGATTATTGATGATTGATGATTATTATACATCGACATTTCCATTTCGCCAAACTTCCTGCAGAATGCCTTTTTTGATCGACATCCCGAGGCTGCGGCAGCGCTTGGCGACGGGCTCGCTAGTCCGAGAGCTTGCGGAGAAGGGTGAACGTCTTTGCCACACTGCCCTGTTCGTCCAGAAAATGTATGAACATGTGACATAAATGTGACATAAATGTGACATGTTCTATAATTATAACAGCATTTTTTTCACTTGAACAGCTTTGCAGGATATATGTGAGGAGTACAAGATCAAATGACGCCGAAAACATGTCTTACATGATATACCCTGAACATTTTATTCACAATAGTAGTGACAGTCTAGAACTGACAAAGGGATATATTATGTAGTATGCATACAACTGCATACATGTATCGTGTGCGTTTCAGCTTCATATTCAATTTTTGAAGCTGTGAATACCTGTGATATGTGAGAGTTTTCAGACCATAGAGTTGAACAATTTGAATCACTGAAGCAATCTCTTCACCATGTCAAAACGTGTCAAAACGACATGTCACTTGGTCACTTGACATGTCGATCTGTTGTGCCAGGCTATCAGCTGTTGAGTGGCTCTGGCCCACAAGCAGGCTGGGTCAGCATCAAGGCCTGGACGAAATCCGGGCTTCACTGGTTCACTTTCTGAATTTCAAAACGAACTTTGCCAAACCGTGGGAAAACAGAACACCGGGTTTTACCGGGTTTTCTCTTTTTGTAGTTCCCGTGTACTTTTGCCAGGTAAAGAACACCGAGATGCTGGCATCTGTCTCAAAGTGCTTTGACAGCATTCTGGGCTGAAGCATTGTGCAAGTTAAGGTTTGTGCATGTTCTCCGCATTCATCTTCGATAGTAAGCACAGCATATTGACATGTGATTGTCGTAAGTAATTAATTTGGTCCAGTGTGCTGTTTTCAGAGTATTCGAATGGTATTCGACAACGAAGCTTAAACTCTAACTCTTTCGCGATTCTTCCAGCGTGTCTCTTTGCCAAGGAAACCAACTCTGGAGGGTGAAGTTCAACTGCTGACAAGACGGCTGGCCATGCTGCCGTTACCGTTGCACAAGGCCACAGTTGCAGATCTTTGTTGATATTGTTCGGCGATGATTTTGAAATTTGCGATGTTTGATGAAAGTTTGATGTGTAATTCCTTTGAAGCCTCTTGAATTGTACGATTCCGTGGCTGTTTTGATTGGCGTGAGATAGAGCATGCCCCGAACATCCCCTGTGTTCCCTGATGTTCCCTGAGCCAAGGTGCTTTCTTTCCCAGAACTGTCCTGCAAGCAGATCACAGCACCTGGGACTTAGTGACGAGTGACGGGCTGTGGCACACTGTGGACGAGTCACAAAATTATGATTTCTGGTGAGGAATCAGAAGAATGCAATGCTGGGGTTTGTTTGCCCATTCTACTGGCTTTTTGGAACTTCGTCACTTTGTGGTTTTATGTGGTCTAGATGGCCGATTTTACCTCTGCAGGAGCAAATTTACGAGCCCCGTGTGGGCTGCTTGGATCGCTTAGCCAAAGAGAATGACAATGAGTGGATGAAAGCCGCGATGTTGAAGAGACTTACCTGAGGTTGGAACATCTTACAATATCATCAATATATATATCAATATCTTACAATATGTTCAAGCATTGTTCAAGCACATGCAGAGTCCGAAATTTTGTCAGCTGATGCTGAAGATATTAGCGCAATCTTGGGCGTGTCAAACACTGTCAAACACTTGGATGTCCCAGGAAGCCTCTTGAGCCCTTTGCCTTTCAAGGTTTTTCGCCCAACGACGAAGCTTGGCGTAGATTCGGGCGGAATATGACGGGATTTGACGCTGATATCAGTGGATCCATGTGGATCCATGTGGATCCTACACCACTTTCATATACTTTGATATTCCAGTGATATTCCAGTGGCCTCTGGGTGTTGTGATGTTCAGCCACGCTGTTTTTTTTTGTGTCAACACATCTTTCTCGCTTGCGCTTGAGGGTGTGCTGAAAGGGTTGCTGGCCGACGAGCGCCTCACACCTCTGCAGCGTTGCTTTCCTCGCGTGGGACCAAATGGCACAGAATATGTTCCCAGCATGGACACTTGGTACATCTTTGTCCAGTATTCCTATTCAAAATAAATATGAGACTCAACAGCAAACTTAAGGAAGTGGCATACTGGCATACTACATTCATTATTATTATTACTATTATTATTATTATTGTTATATATGATATACTATATATACGTATATATATATTATATTATATATATATACTTTCAGTTAGTTTTGACTGTCTCACCTTTGTGGCACCACAATGCACCGGCAACTTTTGCAATTTCCTGGCAAGGTTTTAGCTAGTGGATCAACCTCTTCTAGAGCCTACTATGATTTGAAACCATTGAAACCAAGACATGGAAGGCCAAGGATTACCAGAAGATACAAGAAGGCTTTCAAGGTCCCCCTTGCATCACAATCAAACGACATCCTGTCAACGTGCCGCTTCAAGGATCCAGTGACAGGGCTGATGCCAGACACGGTTTCCGCACTGTATTTTCTGGAAGACGTGAAGGAAACCAAGGATACCCAGGTGACGTCGTTGCGAGGTATTGTGAGATTTGGTGCCCAGGCGACAGGGAGCACATTGCCAGATTGAGCTGCAGAAACTGGCAGAAACTGGAAAGGTAACAAGGAAGGTCGTTTTTTTTTTCGGCAGTTTGCCACTGGACGGAGTCATGAAGCTGGTGTGCAGGCAACGCAATCCATGAGCAGAGGGGAGCCAGAAGAAGATGGTCACTTGCTGCAACCAGTGGTGTTGTTTGATCTGTGCCGCTCGTTGGCTTTTCAATGTCAGTGTCTGATAAAGGCCAAGTTATGTGGAGGAATTGACAATTTGGCAGTCATAACTTGAAGATTCTTCGAAGATATTTGAAGACTTTAGATGACTTTAGATGACCTAAAATGACTTAAATCACATGGAGCCGTGACAGGCGAGTTTGCACCGGGTGTTCACGGAGGAGCAGAAGCGATGGTCCTTGCAGACGCTGCCGATACTTGGCGGCTGAGGTCTGTTGACGTATCAAGTATCGCCCAGGATCACTTTCTCCCAACGAACCTCGATCCAAGGTCTATTTTGCAAGACTTGCCTGGAATCCCAATGCCATGCTCAAGAAGATTAGCTGCCAGTTTCTTGTACAGTTGATCAAAAAGCTCTGCATTGAAGCGTGCACAGTTGAAGGAGTAAAAGGGCAGTCATAGTAACTTAGTAGGTCAAACATGTTACCGATAGACACACTAGACTTTGGAAGATGAGTGGCTTTAGTGTTACAAATGAGACCATTCTGTTGATGCCTCTATGATCCATTCATTGATCCAAGGTTCAGCAAACCTTGTCCTTGCTTTCAATCTTTGGAGATCTCTGTGAACTTGGGTGCCCAGGTGTTTATCCTTAAGTTACCGCGTGTCGACAATGAGAAACCAATCAGTTTCTGGTGTACTCTTTGTCATTTGAAACGGTGTTCGGCAATAGCTAGAGTAGACTCAAGAGACTCAATAGACCTGCAAGGCACCTTCTGTACTGAGGTTTGTCAGAGGATTTTCAATATGGTTCTGGAATCGTCACTGCCAAAATCAATTTGATGCTTGGCAGCAGATGCGACGCGAACAAATCATTGGTGGTCTGAAGGTCTTCCGACGGATTCCGACGGAGCTGAGGAAATTGGAGAAAAATCTGATTTCTTTCGGGGAGGCCGAAAGGGACCGAAATGGGCTGGGCTTTGGTGGCCATAAGTCACTGCATGTCACTGCAAACCGCAGGACAAGAATCGAACAGAACCACAGTTTTCTGATGATGAGTTCACTCTATGCTTGGAAATGATTTTGATATATTTTGATGAGTAATTTATTCAGCAAAATTCAACTTCGACCTTATGCCTGTTCTCTGAAGGTGTGTGTTTCTGTTTATTGACTGGTTTGGGTGTCACAGTCGTGTCAGTCTGCAGGCGCTTCTGGTCTCCTTTCCGAACAAACCGATGCGAGTTCCGGCAGCTTCAACTGCAATGGGTGAGGCTTTTTGGCCATCGCCATGTCAAGCACGACTTAAGCGGAAGTCGGATGGCAAACGATGAATCTGAAGGTTCTGAATGCTTATAATATCTTATATATATAATTATAACTTATAAAAAATATAACTGTTTATTGCTTGTTTTTGCAATTTGTTGATATTTGTTGCATGATTTGCATGTTGTGTATCTCAGAATGTCTCAGGATCCAGTCAACTTTCCAAGGCCAATTTGCCAAAGATCTCTCTGGCACCACCAGGACCCAGCCCGACATCCGACAGCTGCAGCAGCTTGCTGCATGTCTAAAGATGTGTTGCTGTCGGTTGCTGTGTTGCTAGGAGTGGAGTGGGTTCCTCCTGAACTGGCGCAGTCACGGCTTCCAGCAGCTTCAACACTCAAGCCCTACAACAAAGAAGAGCAACGTGGCTGCACTATGCTGAAGATGCGAATCAAATGTGTGACACCACGTGATATGACATGATATGACATGATATGTCTCAGATATAACAAAATCATAGTGTGTTCATCCCGGTTCATTTGCGAGGTATATGGCTGCAGCGTTTCAGTTGCCCTGCATGCGATTTCCCAAGAGCTGTGCTGCCGTGGAGGAGTTGGGCCGTCAGGAGCAGGAGCGGCAGAGAGGGCGCCAGAAGCAGCTCTGGCAGCAGAACATAACTCTAGCAAACGAATTTTGACAGATTGGAATTACTTACATGTGCATAGATAGTATATAAGTATGCAATATTATGCGTATATAGTGTATATTTATATATTTACACATATATAAATACATACATATATATATATTATAAATTATATATTATATGTAAATTATATATTATATATAAATTATATGTTATATATATACAAATTATATACACTATATTATATACACACTATCTATGTACACACTAAATATATGTACAGGATATGTTTAGTGTGGCCGTCCAAGGCATGTGCGTGCAAACCGCCCTGTCCGTGGAGGGGAGATGAGGAATGATCTTTGCTTCCCTGGAGGCTGAAGACCTGGAGGGCGAAGGTTTTTCCTTGATTTCGCCTTTTGAAATCAGTTGAAATCTTAAAGAAATCTTTCCTTTAACAGTCAATGTTAATCTAATATATATATATATACATATTATATCGTTTATCTATAGTTTGAATGTCTCAAATCTTCTCAAAGTTAGTGCGCAGACTGTGGTAAGGTTCCTCTCAGGCGTGCAGCAGCCGAAGCGATAAATTCCAGTATCTTTGAGAAGTATAATACATCTACTTGTGTTTGCAAATCAAGGCATGTATGCAGTATGATATAGTATGATGTTTTCTTTCTTGCAACATCTTGCAAGCATTGTGTTGCTGTCATGGATGTCATGGGCTTTCACAGGTTTCACATGGGAACCCACATGGGAACCGTTTCCAAGATGTGTCGTGATGTGCCGTGTGCCGTGATGTGCCGTGTTTTGTTCCTCACCGGCTTCAGGCTTGACGCCTGCTGCCATTGCCTTTGAAAAGCAGCTTTGGTGTTCATTTGCTGTTCATCTGGTGTTCATGTCCTGCAAATTTCCAGTGTCCCTGATATCCTTGTAGATTCAATACGATTCAATCATTTCTGAGTGAAGCCACGTGGAGCCTCCAGACTGAAGTCGAAACGGGGCGATTGCTTCTGAGGCATTTCTAAGATCGTTTCGTTTTTGTGACATGTTCACATCCCTCAACATCCTGAAGAGTCTCACGGCATTCCAACATTTCAGGACAGTTCATCCGAAGTTTTGCTCAGAAATCTTGGGCATCCCGTTTCAATATTTTCGATGGCTCCAATTCGGTGTCGTCACTGCAACAGCGAAAAAAGAACCCATGACGAAATGCGCCCTTGTCAATGTAAGAGCATACTCCATCGAGAGTGCTTGGAAAGTTTCATCAAAGGTAGATTAGCAAACAAGAAGAGCTTGGACGTTTGTGAAGTGTGTCAAACAGGGCTGAAGCTTGAGGACAGCTTCTGGGATCATTTTTGCAGCGTCTTTCCGATGCTCTTTTCGATATGCCAGGTGTTTTTCATGACTCTGGGAATGTGGCGGCTTCACACAGAAGGTTTTTTTGAGGGTGGCATTGACTGGCAAGTATATCAGCGCCTGTTCGAAGAGAATTCTCTGGCCAAGTGTCTCATCACGTTGATACCTCCTTCACTGCTCTTTCTTTATCTCTTATGGAACGGATGGTGAGTGAATTCCTGGATGGTGCGTGGATGGTGCGTGGATGGTGAGATGTGGCTACGGCAGTGACGCTTAAATGATTCTTGAACTTGTAGAGCCGATGCCCTTCAAGCCACTTAGCCGTGGCCGTGGCATCAGTGTTTCACAGCAGAGGTCTGGCTGGCCTCTGTCAGCCGAGTGCAATTTGTGAATTCTGTGGAGAACATTCAGACTGAAGAAATTGTTGACAACCATCAGAGCATTTCCATTGTCTGTTTCACTCGAATCGACTGGACCCCAAAGCGATGGTCATTGATAGTCGATCAACACAGCTATGGTAAATACCTAAGCGGATGCTGCAACACAAAGAATATTGCCTCAAATTCATGAATCAAGAGAGACAAGTATCTTCAGATATCCATGATATTTCATGATTCCATGATCCCTCTCTATACTATCTATACTCATGAGTTGGTCCCATGTCGATACTCTTCCGTTTTCCAGTTTTTCCACGTTGCCCCTCGAAAATGCTCACAGCCAGAGTCATTCTCCAATTGCCAAGTGGTTGAAATTCCCGTGCTGCCCATCCCGTGCTGAGGTATTTTGAGAAAGCTGCTTGGAACGCAAAATCCGAAGTGGAATCCCTGCCACCCTGCCATACTGGGACTGTCACCCAGGCCTCAGGGGGCATCCTATTTGTTGCTTGGCTTTCTGGACCCCGGTTGGTAAACCTGGTAGGATCTGGTCGCCAAGGGAACGAACATGACTATGGAACACTCGTGAAACAAAAATGGACAAGATCAGAACTGTGCTTTATCTTTGCCGTTCTTTGCCCTTCTCAGCACTGAGGATGGAATTCTCAAGTTGGGCCCACAAGCATCAGACGCACTTTTTCTGGCATCGGATAGGCCGGATAGGCACTTGGTCAAAGAGTTGATGGCAAGGTTCAGTCCGTTCAGTCCGTTCAGTCCGTGCACATTTCTTACCACAGAGATCCAAAGAGCGCAGCTGCAACACACAAGCTTTGCAGCGGTATCAATAGACCAGGCGAAGTGTCCTCGACGGAAGTATGTCGATTGAAACTAAGCTTGAATTGAGTTGTTTTTCGATTTTTTTTTGCCTTGTTTTTGTGCAATTGCAGCATAGTGACATAGTAAAGCAAAGAGAAGCAGTTCTTGTATTTGATTTGTACATGTTACTTCGCTTGAGGTCGCTCATAGTGGCATGGCCCTTGCGGCCCTGGATGACCATTTGGCGCATCTGCCAAGATGTGATGGCCGAGATGCTTGGATTGTGGGGCCAAGAGGCTAGCAATGGGAAGATATGGATAGATATGGGAGAATGTCGAAAATGCAATCAACATATGAAACTCAAAATTAGAAGATTTAGAAGACTAAATTCATGTCAACCGCAGATTGAAGATATTGAAGACTCTTTCGGGTGTGTTGCAGTATGCGATTTGCAGTCATCAAAATGCCGGCAAGTCATGGCAAATCCGGGAACAGCATGACAAGTCCAGTTGGAGTCCACTTTGTTCTCGATGTTCGACGCAGAATCGAAGTGCCAAGGAGAAGACTTCCATCACCTGGAAATTGGATTTGGAATCCCACGCGCTGCTGCCGATTGGACAGGTCGCATTCAATTCGCTGCTGGATCTGCTGGTTTTCGTTGAGACATGACGAAACTTCCAGGAGCTGGACTTTGAATGTTTTTGCCCCTTCGTGCAGACAGGTTCGTGCCTTAGTACTGCTTGATCTGCTCGATAAAGGTTGGATGTTCTGACGTGATGTGCTGCCAAGGACCAGTCGGAAATTACGTCACGGGCGAGATTCGCTACGAAAATGAGGTTCTCGCGACCCTCTCCGCTGTGATCACCTCGAGTGACAGGGAAACACCAACCGCCCTGGCCACACCGGCCACAGCGGCCACACCGGCCACGTAGTCCATTAAAGTCATTAAAACAAGTTGCCCAGAACTGTATCAGCGCAGAGCAGCGCGCAGCGCAGTCCAAGACTGGGCATGGTCAAAGACATGGAGATACTTTATTTGCATTATATATAATATTTTGATATATTTTGTGTATACATATATGTATATATAATTATGATATCATGACACACTTTGAGTGTCATCCTGCCAGAACTGACAGATGCTAAAAGCATCTAAAAGCATCTTTGAAGCAGTTCCGTTCAATCGGAATCTTCCGCGTGAATTGCGACTTGTTTGACTCTGGAAATTGCGAAAAAGAAACGCGCGGTCGTTACGCATTTCATGATGGATGACCGTTTCACTCGTCGAAAGGACAGGACAGTTTCGTTTTGTCATAGATCAAGTCATAAGGAGATCTTTCAAAAGGTGGAAAGATGGGAAGATGACGCAAACAAAACGATCAAAACGAGCCATGTTGTTGTCATCTGTTGTCACAAACACCGCAACAAACGGATCTCAGAGCCGCAGGCCCATGGTGAATGGTGTCAGCTGTGGCCAGCGCTTTGGCAGCGCCACTGATCCTTTAGAGGCAGCCATGGCATTTCTGCATTTATTAATAGTCACAATATGCGATCAGCTGTGATCATATTGTTATGTGATCATATGTGATCAGATTATATGGACAATGCAGTATTATTTTATAATATGTTATAGATTTTTATACCATATACGGATATTGTCACAATTCATTCAATAATATGTTTCAATATCATCCAAGATGTCGTGGCAGGTGCCTGACCTTGAGGAATATTGGGGAGCTCACCGGGTGGTGACATGCGATGCTCCAGCGGGAAGCTTAAAGACTTCCGTTTTTGGGATAGGTTGAGGCTATAAATCGAAATAAAAGTCAGGAGTGCAAAGGTGTGCTCTCTAGGGCTCTAAGGAAGTCGATTTGGCAGACAAATGAAAATATTGCCTGGTCAACTTCTGCCGTTCCAGCGTGGCATTGTCATTCACCCACAACTAAACCGAAGTGGGAAAGAGAAGTGCCTCTACCCAAAACATCACAAAACAATTGAGATGCTCCAAATGTATTTCAGTGTTGTGCGCGAGTCCGAACTCTTAGGTGTTTTGGGTGAATTTCAGCGTGTCTGGAAATGTGAAGCGCTTCCTCGACATTAGCGCAGGTGCGCTTCGCAAACAGCATGTCACCAGAAGGAATTGCAGCTAAACTTTATGTCCATGGTTACGCATGCAAAATTTCCAAGTGCTGCAGGTTCACTTCATCCTTTCTCATCCTTTGGTGCCGGACCTAGCAGAAAATCGCTGGTGTATTGTCTACTGCTTCAATCTTGCTTGTCCTGGAGTGTAATGTCAAGATTGATATGATATGACAAGGTACATGGACTATCAGGGGTTGGTAACTGTCCCATTTTGGGAATATTGGACATCACCTTATAGTAGCCATTATTTTTCCCATATACCTAATGGTTGGGTGATGTGACCCATGGGGACATCAGTCATGACCCATGACTATCATCAGCAACCTGTCGAGGCTCGGAGCGTCTTTGGGACTTGCGGATAGATGCGTCTCCCCGTCATGTTTTCCGCAAGATCTCATGACATGGTTGATGTAGGTTGATGTATGTTGATGCATGTTGATGTATCATGATATCTTATGAAATTGTATGAAATCTTATGAATTCTTAAGACATATTTATCATTTATATTTATGATCTATTTTCACGTTCACGGCCGACCTCTGCAAATTGTTGGTGGATGGTGGGTTGGCGCGCCAGGCTGGTGCTAGCGCCAGGTCTTCCAGTCCTGGAGACGTCCTCCCTGGAAATCGATGTTCCTGCAGGCAGCGGTGTCAGCACCCAGCTTTGCTCATGATGCTGCTTGAAACATGTGAAACGAAGAGTCATATGTTATATAAGATGTTATATAATGTGTTCTGTAATATGTTATAGATGTTTACACCCAGGATCATGAAGGTAGATGGAAGAGTTCATCATAGTTCAGTTCCGAAAATGATTGGAGCACTGGGAATGCAGTTGTAAAGCATCCAGCTTCTGTATAGCGAAAGTACAATCCGTTGACATCGACAGGTAGCAGCGGGGTGCTCCTAAAGTCTGCTGATGATGCCTCCACTTGTAGGCATGGAATCCAAGGAATTCAAAGATTATCAAAGTAGCACTTGATCACGGGATATCACAAGCGATACAAAACTGACAGGCATGCCGAAACCGAGCTGAATGTGAAGGTGTATCAAGGTCTTTGTGGCTACTTTGACAACTTTGGTTCTTGGGGAGCCGGGACCAGAGTTGTGAGCAGACAGAGGCCCAAGTCCCCAAGTAGTCAAAATCGTCCCAAGGTTTATAGCTCTGTCCTGTTGGACCGGTCAGGATCCCTAGATCCCCATCCCATCTGATTTTCGTCGATGTCAGATCTGCGATCGATGCCAAGGCACGTGGAAGTCGATTCTCCTGGCCTCGTCGCCTTTTGGCTTCGTGGACTGCGGACCGGGAAGTTTTGGGCCGGTTGGCCCCGGTTCGCCCCGCGTCGCCGTTTTTTTTGGTTCGCACCATCGGACGTGTCGAAATCAGCGTTGAAATATGTTGTGAAATATGTTGAACTCCAAAGAGAGACAGTTTTAAATGCCTGAAACTTGATGGAATTTCGGTGCAAGGCCATAGAAAGTCACCTCTGGCTGAGGTGATGCTTGGAGCTGCTGGGCCTGAAACAGAGGACCTTCGATGGTAAACCCATTCAGTCAGTATTTGAGGAATCTTAAGTTATTGAGATTTATTGAGTACAGTTGAGGAATTGATGGACTTGGAATGCGATGCTTTCTTGGTTCATTCGTTCATTCGTTCATTCACAATCATTCATTCCATCCAGTGGCACATTTGACGTGCGAACACGATCTTGCACAGCCGCCACAGCCAGGACCTGATTGGAACCAGGCGAATTCCCAAGGCTTCCTGCGAGTGTGGCCATGTTGATCCCAGCAGGCGCGATCAAACCAAAGCTGCAGAGAATTGTAGCACAAAGATTCAGGGGACTAGAAAGCATTCTAATAAAATAGTGTACATTATTCATTATTATATTCTATTTATTCCATGTTTTTCTAATATATTCGAATTTCCTATAGAATCGTTTGGACACAGTGAGGCCGCATTGGCTTTGTGCTTTTCACCAAAATATTCAATTGCGAAATAACTAGGCAATGCGAGTACACCACAGATTGCGGGTTATGAAATTAGACAAAAGATTACAAATTAGATCTCCAAAGACATAAGAAAAACACCACAATCATCCACAATCCGAAACGATATGATGCACATTGACGCACCTTCACATCGCAGACCTGGCGATCCATTTTCGGGACATGCCGACTTCTGGGAGCTCTGGACACCAGCAGGGTGCGCCCGGGTCCTCCAAGGACACAATGACGACACAAAACGCAACGCAGTGAATGCAGTGCATGCAGACTGTGCGCCAGGGAAGGCCTTCCTTTGGTAACGCAATGTGCAGGCGGAACATTTGCCGTGAAACATGGAACGGCATGGAACGGCATGGAACGGCATGGAAGTTCCGTGATGTGTCTGGAGGGTAGATCAGGGTCTAGCCGATGATTTCCGGGTGATTTCGCACACGCACGAACCTGTCACATCCTGTCACTCATCGATAGGTAACCCTTCAAGAGAATCGTATTGCAGCCATCAAAGCTGCGGACTTAGTCAAGAAAAGCACAAGGTTGCAGTGCCTGAGAGCTCAATTCAACAAGTGCACTAGGACTTGGAAAAACAAAAGGTGACAAGCTGTTTTACAATAATTACAGTTCATGGTACAGCAATAGGTTCCATATCTTGGTCTCAGGCACAACAAGTTCTACATCAACGACAACTACCACTACCACCACTACCACCACACCTTCAGCTTCCGCAACCACGACCACAGGACTCTTAGAAGATTGACCATAGCCGCCATTGAATTGAAGGTACCCGTACGGAACAACACATATGTCAATACTATGATTATGGAAAAGGCTTCTTGTTTCAGAACGCTCTACAGTCTCATCCCATGGTAGCTGCGCTAACATGACAACGTCATATAATGTCCTAGTGTGAGACTGTACCACTCCGTTTGCGCTGAATCTTTGCTTCACTTATACAACAAACAACAAGCTGCAAAATGCTGTAAGTATTGAAAGCCAGGATCAGCGCAGATGTCAACCACTACAAGGCTCTCAAGTACCGTGTGCACGCTTTTGGAGAGATCCCCATCAGACCTGCAAAATGTCCGACACCCGTCAAAACATGTCAAAAACATGTCAATCAGAACTTCACAGACAAGTGGCCAAGCTCTGAATTCTCGACATGGACATGTCATTTCGTGGCACCACTCCGCTGTTCCGCCCTGTTCCGCCTTGCAGTTCTGATGACGCGCTCGACTCCACGACCATTAGTTCTACCGACCTGCCAAGTGGATCCAGCAACTTGATGGCACATTTGGAGACACATCTGACATGCAGAGCAACTATGAGACTATGAGCAATCTAAACATATCTAAACAGATCTAAACACATCTAAACTATGTTTAGTAGGAGTATGGGTATATATATATCTTATATGGGATCATAAATTGGTGTGATTTAGATCCCAGCCTTCATGCTGAGTCACCGCTCACTGCGGATGTTCCAGGCCAAACGCAGACGACAAGGCAGACGACAAGGCAGACGACCGTGGCAACGACCAGAAGTTCCACCTCTGTTTCGACTCAGGTGGGATCAGTCGAGGGATCAATGTGATGCGATGCGGGTGATGATTCCGCTGATGTCTCTTAGTAGCTCGTAGGAGCTCTTAGGAGCTTGGAGACTGCAAATTAATGATGTTGAAAGCATTTCATAAGAGATCCTTGAAGCATTTTGACATGTTTTGAAGCAACGATCGTGGCTGGCTTGCGGAGGTGACGACTCTGGGGAACATTGATGGCATGGGTTGTGGAACAGCTGTAACCCAGCTGCACTCAAAAGTAGTGGTGCAAAAAGCTGCTGTTGTTGTTGCCATCTGATTAGCTGATGATTACAGTATCATGTTTGCAAAGCCATTCTTTGTGGAAAGTCAAACGGTTATGTATATTATCACAAGCAATCCTGTTAAACCACTTTGAAACAGATGGTATGGCAGGTATGGATTCGTATGGCACCTCACTTGTGGGCGTTTCTTTTTCTCGTGCAGATTAATATCTCCAACCACTCCAACCACCAGAGACCCCGAGCTGAGGACTGTGCTTTTCGGCGTGCCCAGGAGATTTCGATGTGGCGAATGCAGCAAGCCATGGCAATTGAGCTACTCGGCATGACTTAGCGACAAAGTTGCTAAGTTAGCGAATCAAATTAATGACTTTCAAGGTCTTTCAAATTTCAATATATGTCAATGACTTTCCTAGAACAGGCAGCTTGACCATGGTTCTCGTTTTTCCTCTCTTAGTATGTGGATGCTGGCAGCGATTCCACACAGGTTGAGCAGAAAAACAATCTGCCGCACGAGTAACGTGCTGCGAAACAGAGGTTTGTTTGCCATCAGTAGTGCTTGTGGTTATTGTGGTTATTGTGGTTGCAAAAGTGCCAGGTTCGTCTGTGATCCTGCAATTGACTTCGTCCGTGGCATGATCCCTCATCACCAGGCGCAAAAAATGCGACAGCGCTACAGCAACTGTTATGCTGCGCCTGCCAAGTCGATATTGAATTGTCAGGGTGCTGTGGATATGTGTGCCGCTTTGGATGGGGTGCAAACCTGGTCAGAGGCCTCAAATCACTGCAGATTTATGAGATGTTTGCTTTGGTCAGGGATGGTCAGGGCATTGTTCACTTGTGCTTTTGGTGCGCATTGAAGACATACTTTTAACATCGAATGTAATTTGATGTAATTTAATGTAATCCCATTGAAGACATACATTATTTAATGCCATTTAATGTAATTTAATGTAATTTGAATGTTTGGATAGCGCAGGTTGGAGTGGTGCATTTCTGCAACCACGTTGCCTTGGACCAAAACTGGGAGGCATTTCGTATGCCACGTCCTTCGCGGAGGAATTTCGAGCATCCAGAAATATCATCCCGCAACATTCCACAACCACATCATGTGATCATACGATACATATGACATATCTGATCATCTAATGATCATCTAATGATCATCTAATGATCATCTAATGATCATCTAATGATCATCTAATGATCATCTAATGATCATCTAATGATCATCTAATGATCATCTAATGATCATCTAATGATCATCTAATGATCTGAAAATTTGATGAGTTTGATGAGTTTGGCTATGAGTGCTATGAGTTGTAGGTGAGGGGCATGCGCCAATGGCTCCAGGAGCGAAACCTGGATGAACAGAAGGCGAACGGAAACCAGATGCAAAATGCAAAGCGAATGTATACAATTTATGAACGATGTATGAAGAACCTATGGAATTATGATGAATTATATTGAATTATGTATCAGAGAATATCAGAAATAGAATTCAAATCGATAAAGTGGGTAGCAGTGCGGGCAAAACCTGGGCAAAGCCTGCACCTTTCACCAGGCCTGCAGCGGAGACTGCAATTCTGCCTGCCAAACAGCACGGGCCTTCCAAGCGGCAAACGAGAAGATGCACAAGGCTCGGGCGATCGGGGGGCTTGGGCAGTTGGAGGTTTCAGAGGTTTCATGTCCTACCAAGTCAAGATCTATCAAGATCTTTCAAGATCTTTCAAGATCTATCAAGTCTCAAATCTTCCGCTGAATGTTTCAGTTGCATCAGTTGTTTCATTTTTTCACTTTCAGTTTGTCCTAAAGCCCGAGAGCCAACGCAAAGCCGATGCTTTTCGAAGACCGATTATCTTCTCAGCCTTGAGGCCATGACTGTCAACTATACCTGCAGAGTTGAAGAGGTTCCTGCAAAGTTTGCTGGTGCAATCCATTGATTTTGAACCACCAGGCAATATATATATATATAGATATACGTTATACATACATACATACATACATACATACATACATACATACATACATACATACATACATACATACATACATACATACATACATACATACATACATACATACATACATACTACATACATACATACATACATACATACATACATACATACATACATACATACATACATACATACATACATACATACATACATACATACATACATACATACATACATACATACATACATACATACATACATACATACACTACATACACTACATACACTACATACACTACATACACTACATACATACATACATACATACATACATACATACATACATACATACATACATACATACATACATACATCATACATACATACATACATACATACATACATACATACATACATACATACATACATACATACATACATACATACATACATACATACATACATACATACATACATACATACATACATACATACATACATTACTTACATTACATACATTACACACATTACATACATTACATACATTACATACAATACACACATTACATACATTACATACATTACATACATTACATACATTACATACATTACATACATTACATACATTACATACATTACATACATTACATACCTTACATACCTTACATACATTACATACATTACATACATTACATACATTACATACATTACATACATTACATACATTACATACATTACATACATTACATACATTACATACATTACATACATTACATACATTACATACATTACATACATTAATACATTACATACATTACATACATTACATACATTACATACATTACATACATTACATACATTACATACATTACATACATTACATACATTCATACATTACATACATTACATACATTACATACATTACATACATTACATACATTACATACATTACATACATTACATACATTACATTACATTACATTACATTACATTACATTACATTACATTACATTACATTACATACATACATAACATACATACATACATTACATACATACATACATGTATGTGTATGTATGTGTGTTTCGTCATGTTTCACCATGACTGTCGGCCTGCCTTTCTCTGCACCAGGACTTCATCCAGGCAATGCTGCCGCATCACCAGGCATTCCCAGCCATTTTTTGAGACTGGAACTGGAACGGCACATTTCACGACACAAAGACAAGGCCTGACAAGGCAACAGTACAAATTGCTATGCTGGCAGGGTGCAGTGGACATGTGTGCGATTGTGCTAACATCCTCTACTGACTCGTGGCCTAGTTGCACTTGCTCAGTTTCCGTTTTGACATGTTTGAATCCTGCTGTTTTTTGCAAAGTCCTTCACAGAAGAACTCCAACCGCAAAACTGTCTGGATTGTTTTTTCGGTGTTGATGACTTGCGGAAGGGGTTTGCCGGTGCGAAGCAAGGTATCTTCTCTCCCTTTGTCCTTTTCTCAGAGGTTGATGTGATTGACATTACCCAGCTTTTCATGCAAATGTGCCCAATGATGCTACCATGTGTTTTCGCTGAATGAGCGCTATCGAGGTACCAACATCACCAGAATTCAGACCGCAGAGATGTCTTGGATGAAGGACTTCTTTTGCCAAGCATAGAACTTTCGCGTTTGATTTCACCATATTTTCACATGTTCAAAAGCCGATCAACTCATGGCAGGACTGGCTTGATTACAAGGCTCAGATCTGTTGGTTTTTTTATATGTTTTTTGTCAAAGTGGAGTTTTAGTTCACTGCGTGTCGTCATCCGTTGCGCTCCGTTAGATCTCACAGGGCCTGCCCGTGGGTGCCAGCTGTAGCAGTACCATCGCCCAGACCTATTGCGCCGTCCAGGGCCCAGGATGCCAAATCCGGATCCCAACGACAAGCCAACGACAATGGGTGTTTTTTCATGCCACAAAATGCCATAAAGATATATACTATACATTACTATACATTACTATACATTATATAATGTGTATATATATATATTATGATATATATATATATTATGATATATATTATGATTATTATGATATATATATATTATGATATATATTATGATTATTATGATATATATATATATATTATGATATATATTTATATACTATATCACCAGTATCTGTTTTTTTTTAAACTTCGGATAGAATGGACTGGATTCACAATGGGAGAAAACTGGATTGAATGGATTGGATTGGCAGTTGGGTGCAAAGAATGCCACAAGGTGTGACACAGATGTAGCTTTAGGAGTGAAACCTTTTTAGACTTTGCTTCTGCAAGGATCTGATGCCGATCACAGATGTATGCCATGACTCTTGCTTGCATAGAAGAACGAAGCACTGTCAATGAGTGGGGTGGTGAAGTCTTTCAAAGGTTGGAAGGCATAAGGCATGACAAAACATGACATGGGGGAGTTGAAGACTAGAGAAGAGGCATCTCTTTGTTTGGATATGTTTGGATATGTAATTCCATGTAATTAGTTCTCAACGCCATTCCAGTCATTGGATTTTGTGCTTCAATTGTAGCTCCCTGATTTCTGTAGGACATGGGCGGTGATGGGCTGTGCGACTGCACTACTCTCACTGATTCCTGCAGCCGAACTGCCACTGCCGGCAGCAGGCCAATCGAAACCAAAGCTCCTACTGTGACATGGTCTGAGCAGTGTCTCCCCAAACAACCAGTGCTCCAAAATTTCACAGTGTGGGATGTGTAAAGCTCCAAGTGCATTATGAGAATTGCCTCTAAGCTAAAAGGTTGCATTGCAAGGAGATAGGGAGTCTCCCAGAATGCAACCGAGAAATTCCACTGTGATTGCGTCAGGCGCTTTGCAGTGAGTTGCCTGGCTGAGACATATCTGCTAGCGGGACAATGGGGTGCACAGTGTGTGGGTGCCCGCAAGAAATATGACAAACATAGACAGCATGGTGAGCCAGAATGCAATAGCATTGCAAACCATTGATTGTAACGACATCACATTGACATCACATTGACATCACATTGACATCACATTGACATCACATTGACATCACATTGACATCACATTGACATCAGACATCACATTGACATCACATTGACATCACATTGACATCACACTGACATCACATTGTTGCCTTAGGTTATTGTCAATATGATGCCCGTATCAGACATGTGATATTATAATATAGTTATATGTATATAGTTACACATAATGACACTAATAATATTAGATAAACCTTCCAAGAAACGAATATGTCTTGTGATATCCGACATGATGGAACTCGGCATCGGAGGCATGGTGTGTCGCCGGAGCTGCGGTTTATGCCAAGTTGAGAAGGCCCAATGGGGGGAGATGGTCCAATGGTTCCAATTGGGGGCTACAGTTCAAGAACCAAATGGAAATGGCGCATGTTGGGATTTGAAATGAGATATCACATACAACATGCGGGGTTTGAGTATAATAATTTAAGAATAACTAGATATATATATATATATTGGGGATATTAAAATGGGAGCGGCCAACAAAAATGTTGATAATTGGTACCCCAATTTTGAGCGCCATTCGAGTCTTGTTGTATCCCCCCACGTAGACCGGGATGGAAATAATCTGAGCAAAGCCAGGAAGTGGAAACCTGGAAGCAAGTTCACAGGACAGGAATTACTTGACACGCTTAGATATCTTAGATTTCTTCACAGTTGGTCTTCCCTTTTCCTTGTCCCTGAGAAGAATGAAGTAATGAAATTTAATGAATGATGTTCCTTGCCGTCGTGTTGCATGGCCAGACAGCTGCGGACATCGTCATCGAACTTTTGCGCTTGGAGCCAGTGACAGAGGTTCTGCTGTGGATTTTCGATGCGCCGAAACGGTACAGTGCAGTTTGCAGATACCACATTATAATACATTATATCCATGACATGAAGTGATACCAGACATGTTAAGTATGTTAAGTTTTAGGTGTTTTTGGGGGGTCGTCGCAGGCATCAACGACGAGCATAATTCGCTCGACGAGCATAATTCGTTGGCCAGACTTGGGCCTTGAATCCACTTCAAGGCCGGGGAAACCGTCATGAAGTGCCCAGCATACTGCAACCGAAGGGTACAGTGGTATCCAAAAATCATCAAAAATCTCTGAAACATTCAGATTCCATTAGATTCCATCAGGTTCCATCCGGTTCCAAGTTTACATCAGTTTACGACATTTCACCGCAGATGCCGCTGGATGTCAAGGATTGGTCCATGTTGTGAACAGGGCATGTTTTTGGCCGAACCTTATGATAGGCCTACGATTGCTATTGCATCCGGCGCGTCTACTTCGTTGGGTTGGCTTCATTTGATGCTGCAACCTGGCCAAAGACAAGGCATTTTGAGGCATCTTGAGGCACGACATCAATATTTTGCAACAAGACTTTACTCATACTTCAGTCATTTGCTGCTCCTCAGTTGCACATCCATTATGTCTATTTATGTCTATGAGCTCAGGTTTCTGTTGTGCGGATTTGTTCTTGGTTTCCCTATGTAGATAGATTTCAGATGGTCAGCATCGTTTGGCTGAACAGCCAGAAAATGTGCGACGCGGTGAACAGCGCCAGCGTCTTAGCTAGGTGTTTGAAAAGTCTCACGCTGATTTCTTGCCTCGTGCGAGTAAGTCCGTCAAAACGTGCTCACCGCAACACAAATTGAGTTGGGTTCTCTTTTTCTGTGTCTTCCTCTTCTGTTGGCAGGCGTCATCCGTTTGCCCATTTATTTAAGCATGTTGCGCAGCTTTCTGGTTCCATCAGCTGTGGCAAAAGGAAAGAACCGTTCGATTCTCCAGGCTTTTATATTCAACCATCTATCATTTTACGTAGTACATGGTTTTGCGTTGTTCAATGTTTTTTTGTTTGGTGTTATTTTTGTTTCACCATTTGTTCATTTATGGAAGAGCCAAATTATATCAGCTGACGAATTACCCCGCTCAAGTTTCCATCCCATCAAGCCCAAGCGCCTCATGGCGTTGTGCCAACAGGTCGGATGAGAGGATTGGTAACTGATTGATATACCTGGTACAGCCTGTATTTTTTTGAAAAGGTCGAGTTGTATCCCAAAAAAGGATCTACAAGGCTTGTGTTTTTTTTTAAATAGAATTTCCATTAAAAATATTTAAATGTTTTGACCATCTTTGACCCAACAGGTAGGAAAACCAATGATGTTGACACTCTTGGCTTTGCTTCTCAGTTCTGCTTCCACCTCAGCTTGAACTTGTTCCATCTTGTTCCATCTTGTTCCACTTCACTTGAGGAAAGATGCCATGATTCACTTCGCGCCATGAGTGAACTCTAGTGACACCTCAACTGCCACGATTTTCCAAACACTGAGGCACTAGCAGAGGAGGTTCGACCGTTCGTGTTTGAAGGTTTTGAAGCAATTGTTTCACTGGATCATTGTCAGATTTTTGCCGTTTCAATGGAACAAAGGCTAAGAGTCTGATCACTCTGATCACTCTGATCACTCTGATCACTCTGATCTAAGAACTTCGCTGTGATACTCAATTCTTGGGGATCCTAGGGCCTGGCGATCTGCAGGTCGAATTCGCCTCTGAAGTCGTTTTTTGCACTGGACAGCTTAGATCACTTCGCCGTCGCTGTTGAGTCGATCTGTTTGGCTCAACTGTAGAACTCCCGGAAAGAAACACGTCTTGCAGGCGAGGAAACCGATTTCACGCCTTCAGTCGTGAAGTAACACAAGTAACGCCAATTCATGCCGATTCCCACAACTTCTGGTATATACATGTCATGCAATTGTATACATGTAATATGCATCGAAATGATTCCAAATGCTCACGTGACAGAACGTGACAGACATGGCAAAGAACTCAACACATGTTTTCATCTTTTCTTTGTTGGACAGACCTATGTAAAGTGAAAACATCTCCAGGACATGGACATGTGAACTGCCAGGCACTATGGAGTTTGAAAAGGTGAAGAAGCCTGTCATGGAGAAACAGCAAACGAACATCAGGACCAAATCCATGGAAGTGGATGCAGCTCAACTCATGACCCACATGACCCACATGACCCACATGACCCACATGACCCACATGACCCACATAACCCACATGACCCACATGACCCACATGACCCACATGACCCACATGACCCACATGACCCACATGACCCACATGACCCACGTGACCGACATGACCCTGCAACTTATGTCATTTTGAAGTTCTTGTGACACACAGACAGAATAGTGTTGAATGATGTTGAATGATGTTGAATGGCTGCCAAATTTTGCCAAATCTTTCAAGAGGAGAGACATGGAGAGACCGTTTTCTTCTGCCTGAGACGTTCAAAACTGTCGCAAGATCCAAGGTCAAAGTGGGCTGCAACGTCCCATGCAAGTTCTGGGGCTCCAATGGAAAAGCTGCAAGTCACGCTGGCTACCTGCGGCGCCTTACACAGCCGTGACTTTCTTCATGTTTCGTTGATTTCCTTGATTTCGTTGATTTCCTTGATCTTTAACTATTTATTGTTTACTTACAAATAGAGAATTCTGCCACAAACAAATCTCCTGTACTCCTTCATGCGAGTCTATTTAGAGCCAAACCTCCCCGTTGTGTATGTTTTTTTTTGTGTGTGTGTCTCTATGTCATTCGTACATATTTGTGTACTTTTTGGGGTGGGCTGGGATTGGTGTAATGATGTGTAATGATGTGTAAAGAATATGACACCTGTGATGGCTGAGGTATTTCCTAGGCGGAGACGCTTCTGGACTTATGTTCATATGGTTGATGTGCTGCATGATGTTCATCGTGAAGCTTGGCAGAGATGGTAATAGGACACCTTGAGCCACGTGCGATTGGTAGACATCAACTACTTCAACTTGTGATGTGTTTTTACACCCATTACTATGGCTATGTCATACCTTCATACTATCATTCTGTTCATTGCTATTATACTATGTTTAAAATCAATGATTTGTTGATGGCATTTTTTAACGAAATTGATTCAGTATACCAGGAGTAGGATGCAAGACCAGGAGTAGAAGAGGGAGTTCTGTAGTGGTTGTAATGGTCTTAGTGGTGGAGAGAGAAGCTGGATATAGCCCTGTTTGACAAGCGAGATTTCGCGAAAACTCCACCGTGCCTAGTCTTTGCCCGCTTTGGTGTACTGTTTGTCAATGAGGCTAACGGCTAACGTGGTCCATTGGTGCCCTATTTTTGAACTGTGCCCATTCAACCATTTTCGTTGGGAAATTTGTCAAGTAAATAGGGTGTACCCCAAATCATCTGGTGAAACATCGAATCATCATATTACCCATTATTACCCACAAATTGCATTTTTGTTTGTATACCCCATTTTCAAACACATGGAAATGTCACTCTGTGACTCCCCTGCGAAGCCGTGTGGTGCTTCGCTCAGGACTGGATTGACAATGGTCCTGATGACTGGAGTGCTGCTGATTACACAAGCGACAGTGCCAGAGTTTGCGGAAAAACTGGTATCAGGCTGGATTGAGTATGATGATTATGATGATTATGATGAGTTGAATGATTTGAATGCTGTTTTAATTGTTGCGCTGAAAAAATGCGCCCAAGGTGACAGCGGCTTCATTGCCTTGCTATTTGGGATGTGGAAAGCTCCTGAAGGAGGCGTTATCTACGCCCTTAGTGCCCTGGGAACCTTGAGCTTCATCTACAATCGCCAGCATTTGAGGAATCGCAGGCACTTGAGTCAGCACGTCAGCTGCATATTTTACGATGTTCAAATTGTTGGCTTTTGCATTCTGGTGTTTGTTCATCCGTTTGTGACAAAGATGCTCTGACCATTGAAGTCCTGCCCTGCCGAAAGCCGCTGAAATGGATGCTTGTTTTAGAGTTGTATATTTGTCGAGAATTGCTGCACATTACCACTCTTGTTACAGATGTCACAATTCTTCAGTTTGGTAGGTGGGTTGGATGGATGTTGCTCGGAGCCATTGCAGAAGTCTCAGACGTGGAACCAGGGGAAGATGGGGAAGATCTGTGATTTCTGTGTTTTGTTTTCGATGTTTCCATCATCTGCAGAGGTGTTCATCCTTCTGGTCATCAACATCCTCAACACGGGCATTGGCTTCATTGCCCGAGACCTCACTAATGCCTTGGTTGCAAAGGCCCGCATGGTGTGTGGCATGGGTATGGTATGGTGTGTCTGATCTGTGACTCTGACCTTCCACTATAGGGTATATCATGTATATCATGTATATCATGTACATCATGTATATCATGTATATCATATATTTATATAATATATCACATGATCAACACAAGAGAACTCCAGGATGGACCTTTGGCCTACAAAGTTCTCATGGTCTATGCCGCGTGCTTCATCATCGCCTTACCGATTCTTGGATTTCTCGGATTTCTCGGCAGATCACAGAACAATGACGAGTCACATCAAGTTCCGAGTCAAGAAGCATCAGTCTGACTCTTCCTGGTATTCTCATTTGATGTCCGGAAATTAGAATCTCTCAACTTTGATGCCCTAAATGAAATGTGTTTATGTGTTCATGCTTGTTTGATTTCTGTTTGACAAGGATTCGCAGTGCCCAGTTCTGGTTCACAGCCAAACTATCGATCCTTTGGCGTGAGTGGCTCACTCGGAACTTCATCGACGGATACATGAGCCACCGTGCCTACTACGTGACTCGCCCAGAAAGACTTGTAAAGATTTGATGTCTCAGTGTTTCACCGTGTTTCCTTGATCCTCCGTAAGATCTCTGTCCAAGCCCAACTTTTTTTTGCCATATGTCCCCATATAAATCACATAATATGTAGCATATGTAGCTGTTTTTTGACGCTTGATGTTGATGTCCTACTTTCATTCCTCCGATCCGAGGACATCAACCCCAACGATGAAGCAGAAACCGAAGTGGACAATCCTGACCAGCGGATGTCCGAGGAGGGTGTGCCACGGTATGTCAAACATGTCAAACTGCACCAAAAGTGATAAATTACTCATTAAATAGTGAGTTTTCCCATTAAAAATGGTGATTTTCCATAGCTATATGAAATTACCAGAGGGTAAATTACTCTAGCAAATTTGTGCTAATTTGGATATGATATAGCCATGAAGACTCGGTTCCTTTCCCGTAGTGAGTTGAAACGTGCACCATGCATCTCTGATTTTGTGAGGATGTTCGAACTTTTACCAAAGAGAGCTTGTCCTTCACAGCAACTGATCACGCAAGTAAGGATGAGTGGCGAAGTGGAATGAAGAGTCGTACAGAATCGTCCAATATGCAAGAACAAGAACATAAGACAAATACGCACAAGTACACAGAAGTACACACACAAGTCACCAAATACAAACGAGACTCTTGTGTTTGTTTGTAATCTGTGATGATTGGTCTGCTCTGAGGATAGAACGAGCACTGCCGTTTTTTGTTTATCGTTGTTGATACTGTGGTGGTGTTGTCATGTGTTGTCAAAAGAAGGCAGATTCACATTGACAGAAGCTGGTTGAAAACTGTTGAAAACTGGTAACTTTGAAGTGATGACCACAAGGTCGGTGCCTTTGACGCTTTGTTGACCTTTGTGTCCAAGCCGCACATAGCAGAGCTATGCATTGAAGCGAACAGAGCACCTTCAAAGGAATCTGGGAGAAACTGATGCAGAGTTGAGTCGTAAAAATCAGAAAACAGTGCATCATAGTGCATCCCTTTGTTTTTTTGGCCTATTTTTGGCCTGCTTTCAGGTTATACTTATATGGCGGTTTGGGTTGGTGGTTTGGAAGTCTGGGAAATCAGAGTTATGTGCAAAATAGATTTGAAAAATGTGTTTTTTTTTGTGTGTTTTGTATTTGTTTTATTTTTTGTTTAACTAATCTAAATCTAATCCTAATCTAATCCTAATCCCTAATCCCTAATCCTAATCCCTAATCCCTAATCCTAATCCCTAATCCTAATCCCTAATCCTAATCCCTAATCCTAATCCCTAATCCTAATCCCCAATCCTAATCCCCAATCCTAATCCCCAATCCTAATCCCTAATCCTAATCCCTAATCCTAATCCCTAATCCTAATCCCTAATCCTAATCCCTAATCCGAATCCCTAATCCTAATCCCTAATCCTAATCCCTAATCCTAATCCCTAATCCTAATCCCTAATCCCTAATCCCTAATCCTAATCCCTAATCCTAATCCCTAATCCCTAATCATAATCCCTAATCCTAATCCCTAATCCTAATCCCTAATCCTAATCCCTAATCCCTAATCCTAATCCCTAATCCTAATCCCTAATCCCTAATCCTAATCCCTAATCCTAATCCTAATCCCTAATCCTAATCCCTAATCCTAATCCCTAATCCTAATCCCTAATCCTAATCCCTAATTCTAATCCCTAATCCTAATCCCTAATCCTAATCCCTAATCCTAATCCCTAATCCTAATCCCTAATTCTAATCCCTAATCCTAATCCCTAATTCTAATCCCTAATCCTAATCCCTAATTCTAATCCCTAATTCTAATCCCTAATTCTAATCCCTAATTCTAATCCCTAATTCTAATCCCTAATCCTAATCCCTAATCCTAATCCCTAATTCTAATCCCTAATTCTAAATCCTAATTCTAATCCCTAAACCTAATCCCTAATCCTAATCCATAATTCTAATCCCTAATTCTAATCCCTAATTCTAATCCCTGATTCTAAATCCCTAATTCTAAATCCCTAATTCTAAATCCCTAATTCTAAATCCTAATCCTAATCCCTAATGCTAAATCCTAATGCTAAATCCTAATGCTAAATCCTAATGCTAAATCCTAATGCTAAATCCTAATGCTAAATCCTAATTCTAAATCCTGGAATGGCGGAAAAGCCTAAGGCGAAAAGCCAGGCAAATCCGAATGCTAAAGCCGAAGGCGAAATCCTAAGTCTAAATCCTAATTCTAAATCCTAATTCTAAATCCTAAATCTAAATCCTAAATCTAAATCTAATTTCTAAAGCCGATTCGAAAGCCTAAGGCACATCCTATAGTAATCCTAAGTCTAAATCCTAATTCTAAATCCTAATTCTAAATCCTAAATCTAAATCCTAAATCTAAATCCTAAATCTGAATCCTAAATCTAAATCCTAAATCTAAATCCTAAATCTAAATCTTAATCTTAATCTAAATCTAAATCTTAATCTAATCTAATCTAATCTAATCTATCTTTCTAAGTATCTGTCTATCTGTTTGTTTGTCTGTCTGTCTATCTATTTACTTATCTAATATATCATATCCAATATATCTATTTGTTTGTCTGTTATCTATCTATCTATCTATCTATCAATCTATCAATCTATCAATCTATCAATCTATCAATCTTTCAACCAATCTCATATATCTACATAATCTATCTATTTGTTTGTTTGTCTATTTGTCTCTCAAACTAGTCTAATCTTCTCTGATCTTATCTAATCTAACCTAAGCTATTCTAATCCAACCTCTCTAATCTTTCAAGTCTGTCTATTAATCTATCTAATCTATCTAATCCACCTAGTCTACCTTTTCTATCTTATCTATCTAATATGCCTACTCTATCCAAGTGACCTTACCTATCTATTCTATCTAAATAATCTACATGAAAGCAAAGCAGAGAAAAAAAAACAGTTTCTCTTGAAACAAATTCCATTGCGGTCCTATCCTGTACAGTACTCTGACTGATGCAGGTTTCATGGAGTTTCCATGGAGTTTCCATGCAGTTTCCATGCAGGTTTCATGTTGGTTACATGCTGGGTTTGCTGATTTAGCTTACTGGTGTGTAACCTCCATGACAACTCCCTCGAACCTGCATGGAATCTGCATGGAACCTCCATGGAACCTGCATCAGTCAGAGTGCATGGTAAAACCAACAAGTGTAGATAGAGGCATCACCTCCATAACGCACATGGAAACTGCATGAAATCTACATCAATTCTCCATGGAACCTGCATGGAACCTCCATGAAAACTGCATCAGTTAGAAGGCGCCATGCAACCATCACGTTTAGACACAAGACACAACGGAACCTACATGACACCTCCATGAAACCTACATCAATTCTCCATGGAACCTGCATGGATACTCCATCAAAGAAGCGCCATACAAGCACCAGGTGTAGATACAGGGAACAGAGACTTTTTTTTTAGTGGACACTACGTGGAAACCATCAGACGCTTTGACGCAAATTGATCGCAAATCGATCGTAAATCGATCGTAAACTGATCGTAAAAAAACGCACAAAAACTGTCATAGCATCTGTGCATTTTGATGTCGTTTTCACTAGGTCATCTGTCTTTGTTGATGTCCCTTTTTGCTTCTGCACTGGAAAAGCCAATTTCTTCCAGAGTTTCTATTTATCCTGAGTGTTCACTGCTTGGTGGTTTCGATTTTGGCAAGGTTTCAAATGTGAATTTTTGTTTGATGTCATTTTGATGGAGTTTTATGTCTGTCTCGGTGTCAACTTGATGGAGGTTCCTAACATATAATATTGCAAACTAAGTTAATTAAAAGACGAAACCACCAAGAGAAATGAACTCACTTATGTCATTTTGGATTCTATGATCACCAAACCATATGAATATATGAATTGGCAAGTGCCGTTTTCTACAGGCCTTAGGTTCTTGTCGATGTCATATTGATGTTGTTTTATGGCCTTCTTATTCGTTTTTAGGCCGATGTCAAATCGATCGACAAAGGATCGCAAAATGATCGCAAAACAACGTCGAAATCCTACATCAAAATGACACATTACAAAGTCCACACTTGAAACCCTGGCCTTGCCAACGTCAAAACCGCCAAGCAACGAACACTCAGGATAAACAGAAATTCTGGAAGAATTTGGCTTTTCCAGTACAGAAACCAAAAGAAACATCAGCAAAGACAGATGGCCTAGTGAAAACGACATCAAAACGCACAGATGCTATAACAGTTTTTGTGCGATCAATTTAGTTACGATCGATTTGCGATCGATTTGCATCAAAGCGTCTGATGGTTTCCATGTAGTTTCCATTAAAAAAAAACTCGAACATGTTCCCTGTATCTACACCTGATGATTGTATGGCGTCTTCCTTGATGGAGTATCCATGCAGGTTCCATGGAGAATTGATGTAGGTTTCATGGAGGTTTCATGTAGGTTCCGTTGTTTCTTGTGTCTAAACGTGATGGTTGCATGGCGCCTTCTAACTGATGCAGTTTTCATGGAGGTTCCATGCAGGTTCCATGGAGAATTGATGTAGAATTTCATGCAGTTTCCATGTGCGTTATGGAGGTGATGCCTCTATCTACACTTGTTGGTTTTATCATGCACTCTGACTGATGCAGGTTCCATGGAGGTTCCATGCAGATTCCATGCAGGTTCCAGGGAGTTGTCATGGAGGTTACCCACCAGTAAGCTAAATTTGCAAACACAGCATGTAACCAACATGAAACCTGCATGGAAGCTCCATGGAAAATCCATGAAACCTGCATCAGTCAGAGTACAGGATAGGACCACACGGTTTCAAGAAACTGTCTTTCCCCCATTTCAAAAATAAATAGACAAGTACAGAAAAATGCACTAGAATTCAATAATCAATTAAACAATCACGTGAAATTATTGGACATTAAATAAGTGTACATTTTCCGAGATACAAGATGAACATCAATTCAAAAACAAACCTAATCTGGTAGCATTCATTGTTGTTTTAAATTTGTTTTCTTTATTTTCAACGATTTCATTGTTTGCAGGGTTTGATTACAAAACCATCAATTCCCAGACTTCCAAACCACCAACCAAAACCACCACGTAAGCACAAGTTGATGCTTTTCTAAGGTCCTGAACATCATGGTTTTGTGGAGCATCAGCAACTTTAGCAGTTTCAGGACAGTCGTGACAGTGACAACAAGTGACAAGATCCCATAAGATCCCTCTCTCTATATTTATATATATTATATACTATATTATGGGATATATATAATATATTAATATATAATATATTAATATATATATATATGTAATATATATATATATGTATATGTAACATGTATATATTATGTGTGTGTCTGAAAACATTTGATTTGCCATCGGAGGTTAAAACGACATTGTGTTTCATGAGTTTGCCATCCTTCTCCAAAGGGATCGGGTGAAGCTTGTCACCTCTTGTCACCGATTCCGACTTGTCATCGTGACAAGGGTTTGTCCATGTGATGGACTGTCCAGAACATGATGGTCTGTGATGCCCCAAATTTGATGGTTTGTGTGGACATCATCCTGCAAGATTTGAAAACGGTCATGTGGATTAGCATTTTGGGACAGGTCTACAATATCCTAACAGTTATCTATAGTTCACATATGTTCACATTTTTCATCTTTCGAGGTCAAGAGCTCACCTTGGCTCTGTTCCTCTACTCTGGCACTGCCACTGTGGTTTTGATTCTTTCCAGCCACAAACTGGTGCGGATCAACTACAACCAGCTGCGCCAGGAACTCAAACTGACATGAGACAGCAACATGACACCAACATGTTCGGAACATGTTCACAGTGTCAACGAATACCTAACTGATCTGACTGACCTGACTGACCTTCATGCTTTGCTTTATTCGGATCTTGTGAGCCTTGAATGATGTTGAATGGCGACAGATTGAGATGTTCAACTCTTAACATGCTTGCAATGGTGCGCAGAGATAGATTGTTATGATTTATGTCGCCCTGTGCGATGAGGTTATGAGGCAGATTTCCGCTATGGTTTGGTGCATGTGCGCAACAATGCAGAGGAGCCGTTGCCCAGTGATATCCAGTGATATCCAGTGATATCCAGTGATATCCAGTGATATCCAGTGATATCCAGTGATTCAGAGAAACAAGAGAGCACGAGAGAAGAACTAGAGAAGAACTCGTTGTATCTCATTGTATTCCTTGTTGAGAGTTTTGTTGGTTTTTCTGTAGTTACTGTAGTTTTCTTCAGTTCTCCGGTGAGGCCATCGCCTTCTATTCGGGCGAGGAGCCTGAAAAGAAGGAAACAAAGAGGAGATTGGGTTGGGTCGTCACAAACTTCAACTACCTCATCAAGTGGGAGGCCAGTGTAACGGCCGTAGGATTCAATTGTGTTTTCTCTCTGGAGTGATGTTATGACATGTTATGACAGTTATGATCAGATAATCAGTAGGTTAGTAGACCTGCTCCACGCGCTCGGGCACGGTGCAGGTCATCATCAGTGTTCTTCGCCGTTCATACGGATATGCAGGTGCGACCGGTGCGACCGGTGCGACCCAGCGCTTCCGGCTCCGGCCGAGCCCTTCACAAACGGCGGGCCAAAAACGGGTCAAACGGGTCACATGTCTTGGCCACTTTCGGCAGGAAATTTCTTTCCGTACCTGATGATGGCGCCAGCCTACTTGAGGGGCGAAATTGAGAGTCTCAGCAGGCAATACTTCGCTTTTGGGGATTAAACAAAGAACTTCACAAAACACAGTGTAACTAATTCATTTGGAAGTGCTTTGATGGAGCTTATGTCCTCATGAAACTAAATCTGGCCATTCCAAACTCGGGGTCCAGCTGAGGTATGGAAGCTTCATCCAGGCCAAATTTGCATTCAATATGGTTGAGTTTCTTGGTGAAATTGTAGACATTTGTAGACCTCCACAGTCATCACAGTCATCGATGTGACCTGCGATGCCTCTAAGGGGAGCCTTGTCATTCGTGGTGTCCAACATTGACCAGATCGCACAATGGTGGTGACCTGAGATGCCGTGTGTTTCAAATTAACACATACATAACAAATACATCTTATATAATTTCAGTAATTTCATGACCAAGAATGGATGTTTGTTTGTGAGTTTTTGAAACAGCCATCTGTCTTTAGCTTTGAGCAAATCGGGCTGGCGGAGCTGATGTTGACCTGCTATCTACCAAACTCTTGGTCTTGGATATGTTTGGATGTCAGGTGGGCTGGGGTCAGCCGACTTGCCGGATTCCAGACAAGCCTCGCTGAGATCAATGCAAAGGCCACCGGGCCCACCGGGGCCCCCATCCATCACAGGAGTGTATTTAGTGAGTCTTGTCATATCGTTGTGTGTTGAGAAGACGATAAGAAATCACGAAGACATGACAACACATTCAAAACCATTCAAAAACGGCTGAAGTGATTTGAATATATTTTCAAATTATTTCAATAACATCGGATTGCAGTGCACTCAGGGCACTCTCGGTTTGGTCAACGCTTGCGTCAGGGCAGGGAGAAGGAGATGCTGCGTGAGCAGCGGGAGCTCCAAGGAGAACGGAACAGAATATCCACAGCTCTCGACAGCTGTAAACAGCTATCGACATGAGCGCAAAAATGCTACTGTATAATATATATATATATATATATTATATTATATATATATTATATATAATATATATATATTATATATTATATATATTATATATATTATATATATATATATTATATATATTATATATATTATATATTATATTATATATATATTATATTATATATATATTATTATATATATATATTATATTATATATATATGTATATATTATATATATATATTATATTATATATATATCTGTATATATTATATTATATATATATATATTATATTATATATATATCTGTATATATTATATTATATATATATTATATTATATATATATATATCTGTATATATTATATTATTTATATATATATCTGTATATATTATATTATATATATATATTATATAATATATATATATGTATATATTATATTATATATATATCTGTATATATTATATTACATATATATATCTGTATATATTAAATATCATGGATAGGATGAATCAGACATCAGACTTCGTCTAGACATGCCTGGACCTTTTGCCAAGTTAGAAGTACACGTTCCCAAGCATTGGATTTGGAAAAAAAAACTTTTCAATGCATCTTCCTCACTTCAGGAGTTGTGCACGTGGATTTAGATGCTTGGCATCAAATTTGGAACCCACTCGCACCTATTGTTTTGTTTGGAAACACTAAGATAACTTTTGCACCCTGTGCCTTTGGCATCCTTTGGCTTTCTTTTCAGGCGTTCACTTTTGGAGTAAATCGACTGAGGAACATGGCATCGACACTGGCGGGGTCGCTGGGCTTGCACCATCTTTGGAGCCTTCCTACGCGGTCTTTTTGTATCTTGAAGATGGCGATCTTTTTCTAATGGCGGTCTTATATTACATGTTACATACATGTATATTTGGATCCTGAAGAAAAGATCTCGCTAAGCAAAGAAAACATTGGATGTTTTATGATGTTTTTGGATTGTTGATAACCACATGAACAATCTGAACAAATTTTTGAAGTGAATCCGGGGACGCTTCAGCTATCTTCCGCTCCTAACGCCAGATGCTGCTGCACAACGTGACGGTGAAAGCGCCTGGCTCTGAACAGCTCCTGGTGGAAGACTTGACGTTGTCCGTGGGCCGGAGCCCAAGAGCCGGCTAGCCATGGCCAGCCTGTCCACCAAAGTTGCCGAAGTGCGTTGCTTTGTTACTACTATATCATACTATATATATATATTATATATATACTGTATAGTAATATTGTATTATATATATATGTGTATTTATATATATATATTTATATATTTGTATATGTATACTTACATTCAATTCCATGCCATTGCCATTGCACTGCATACATACATGGTCAGTCAAATTGGCAGAGTCACTGACGATCTTTTCGAAAACTTGGCTGCGGTTCTCTTGGAACTTTCCTTTGTGCTGCAACATATCCTTGGCACGTTGGTCCTTTTCATTTCCGAGCCAATGTGCGATCTGCTAAACAGGGGATTTGAACATATTTGGAAGCTTTAGAAATCTTTAGAGCTTGAATGGTCTTGGTTTCTCTCCTCAAACATCTCGAACCAAACACTTGAGGCATCGGCGTTTGATCAGCATTTTGATCAGCATTTTTCATCATTTTGCTGTCAGGTCCCGGTGAGCGTTTGCTGGTTGTTGCACCATCTGGCTGTGGCAAGACCTCCGTTCTGCGGGTGGCCAGCGGCCTGTGGGAACCAACCATGGGATCTGTGAAGAGGCAGGTCATGGTGCCACCATCAGAATCTCTGCCCAAGATGATTGTTGCATATTGCGGCGCTGTTTTTTGAAAAAAGATGAACAAACACATGAAAACGAAGTCCGAAGACTTCGATTTTGGCTGTCAAGAATAGCTGCATCATTTGATGCGATTCACAGTTCAAAAAGCCTCGAATTCTGGTTAACGCGGCATTGAAGGTTCATTGGTCATGAATGTCATGGACACATGGTTAAATTTCCGGTCAACTGCACGGTAAACTGCACGGTTTTCAGGCCACATGTGGGTGACTTGCTCTTTGTACCCCAAAGGCCTGGTGCGTTCATTCGTTCATTGCAGCCGTTTCATCGGGTTTTCGCTGATGAAAAATCTGAAGCAGAACGGCATTCGCAGTTTTTTGTCATGAATCGATTGTTTAGGTCATATTTATTCAGAAATTTATTCATATTTATTGATATTTCAGCTTACATACTGTTAGATTCTGTTAGATCATTGTTAGGTCATGTGTTCAGCTATTTTCAGGTAGGCGTTACCTTCGAATGGATGCCCAGGCCCTACATGCTCCTAGGCTCACTGAAAGAGCAGCTTTGCTATCCCCTACCACAGGCCACGGGATGAACACGGCTGCACCGACTCTGCAAGGTTTTTCCTGAAATCGAAGAAGATATGATTTAGATATCATCAGAATGTGAACATCATAGATCTGAAAAACTGATTGGTGCTCTCAGATCTTGTTTATTGAAAATTATTGATGTTTATTTTCTATTTCACCCGGGATGATGCTTGGAATGTATCCCACTTGACTATTTCCGGAATAGGTTGAAACTGCAACACCGCGAAAAGGGAGGATTCGATAGGATTCGGCTCATTTGGCTTTAAACAGCTGCAGGACAGCTTCGATGAAGACACTCTCCGGGACACTTTGCAAAAAGTGCGCCTCCAAAAGATGCTTAGCTGAAGCCAGAAAGGAACAGAAATATAGCATGAACAATATGAACATGGCCTCATATATTGTCATATATGGCCCCCAAACGTTCAGAGATTGGTTGAACTACAAGTTCCACATGTGGAACCTGGTGGGTAGACTTTCAGGATGCTAATAGGATGCATCATTACTGGATGGTCCAATACTACATAATTTATCACAATTAACTACATTTGTATACGGTGTACTTATTTTTGTTGCCCATAAATTAGATCATCACAGGTCAAGAGTTGAGATGGTATGCAGACAAGCAGGATACAAGCAGGTAGCCTCTCTTTCTGACTAGACTCTTTATGGCCGATGTGCGGAAACACTGGTCATGAGATGTCATGAAGACACTATCTGATTGATCTGATTGATCTGATTGATCTGATTGATCTGAGGTTGGTGGACAGATACCCAGATTTGAATATCAAGCAGGATTGGCCTCGACTGTTGTCCCTGGGCGAGCAACAGCGCCTGGCCTTTGCCCGGCTGCTGTTGAACGCACCACGCTACGCCGTGACTGGGCTACAAAAGTCCACCAGGAGAAAGCAATAGACTATGTTCAATGAAAATCAAAGCAACAATTGTTTTAAATATTATATAATATATAAGATCTGTAGCTATACATTGACCAATAGATGTTACACATGAAAAAACAATGGATGTTAAAAACGGTTATGATTGGACCACAGATATATCACACACGCATTGAGTCGATGAGTCTCACACGGCCGATAATCCCATTTGTGAGCAAGGTATGTGAGAATTGGACAATGTACAGCCGGTGAAACCTACAATCTGGTAAGCAGCTGTTGAGATGGTGGGAAGATGTTGAAATCAAGGATTTGAGATGAAGTTGATCAGGTAGATAGAAAATTATTTGAACTCGTAAGGGCATGCCTTTAAAGTTTGGTTTCCAGTCAGTTGCAGTGGATCCCATGGCAAGGCGGATCGGCGGATCGCCTGAGGTGTTAGATGAAGCCACAAGTGCACTGGACGTTGCGACAGAGAAATTACTCTATTCCATTCTGGTGGAACGTGGTGTCGCGGTCATCAGATTCTTGGATGATACTTATAGCATCAAAATGCATCAAACTTCCCAAATTTTGGCCGATAATTCACCCATAAACCCTTTGTGATTTCCTCGAAGGGAAAAGCGTTGTGTTTGACATGAGTTGACGGCTCTTATGCGTTTCATACCCTTGCATCACTTTGACTTTCAAACAGTTGGATCCATCATGAAGCCTCCCAAAATGATTCCCCATTCCCATTGATTCTCAAAGGATCAGAGGGTTGGACTGGGTCGGACTTTGCCTAAGGTGTTGGTCACCGACCAACCTTGGCAGATTACCACCAACAGGTGGGCGATTTTGAGAGCCGTCGAAACGTCGTTCAAATCTAAACCATCGAAACTGACGTTGAGCCCGTTTGGATGTTGTTCTTTTCAGTTTCAACCTTTTGCCTCCATATATCTCCATATACCTCCAGGTTTCATGATTTGATTAATCATATTGTAATATATTGTAATTGTATATAGCAGCTATAATTGTACAGAATTGTCTTCTCCGACTTAAAAGAAAGCGCGGCGAGGTCCTCGAACTTTCCGGGACTGGCTCATGGCGCTTAGTGCCGGCTGCCACCTACGAGTTTGGTCAGATCTGAGGCAAGATCGAAATCCATAGAACGTATAGAACGGGAGAATACGGGAGAGCAAAGATGAGAGCCTTCAGATTTTCTTCAGAATCTGAATCTGAAATAATCTGAATAGACCTGCGATGACCTGAGGACAACACAATTGGAGATAGTGCAGATGTTCAAAGAAAAGATGAAAAAACGAAACCAGCAGGCCAAGCAGTCTTGGCATGGACAGATATGAAGAGACAATTAAATAATATTCGAAGGAAGTTTAGAAGTCAAACTTCCGACAATATGGACAGATGGAAAAGCAGAGGTGGGAAGAGTCAGAGAAGAGAAGAGAAGAAGAAAGAAGATCAGAGAAGAGAAAGAGTCAGAAGAAAGAAGATGCAGGTGCGCGAAAAGGTAGAAAAGTTGCGAAACACTGTGTTTTTTCAACGTTTTGGGGCTCAGGAGGGTCGAAAAGTAGGCTCGCTAAAGCGGCGGGTGCGGAGCCATCTGGCGGGATGAGAGATGAAAAAGTGCACGCCGTTGTGGCGCGAAGCCCATTTACAAGTCAAAATGTACAAAACACACCAGGTCCGGACCACTTTTGGAAGTTGAGATGTGGAAAAAAGCGCACGCCGATGTGGCACGCGGAGCACATTTCGAAGTCAAAATGTACAAAAGACACCATGTTCGGAGCACTTTTGGAAGTTAAGATGTTGAAAAGTGCATGCCAGCGTGGTGCGAAGCACGTTTCCAGGTCAAAATGTTTAAAAAACAACATGCTCAGAGCACTTTTGGACGTTCAGATACCATTTCACCTTGTCATCCTTGTCAAAGTGAGCAAAACGTGAGGGTTTCGTAGCAGTTTCAAAAGTGTTGGCAGGCATGGGACAGAAGAGGATATGCAAAGATGCATGTTGCGTGGCAGGCGCAGTACAAGAGACACATGAGCTAGACATGTTAGGAGGTCGGGGCGCTGAGAGGGGTTGCAAGGTCTTCAGGTTTGCTAAGATGATTTTGCGTGACAGGTGCAGCACTTCGCATGACCTGGCCTCACTTTTTCGTGGCAGGCGCGGTACTTTAGACAGATGGAATGGAAAAATCGCAAAACGCGTTGCTCAACTCTCCGTTTTTGAAGGAAGTCTCGCAGAATTGCTGCGTTTTGGGTGTTGTCAAGTTCAAAAATTGAGGAGGTCTCGCAGAAATGCTTCGTTTTCAAGCTTGCAGATAGATAGATAGATAGATAGATAGATAGATAGATACATAGATAGATAGGTAGATACATACATACATACATACATACATACATACATACATCCATCCATGCATGCATGCATGCATACATACATACATACACACATACATACATACATACATAGATAATAGATAGATTGATAGATAGATTGATAGATAGATTGATAGATTGATGGATGGATGGATGGGTGGATGGATAGTTAGTTAGATAGATAGATAGATAGTCCTACTACCACTATCACTACCACTACCACTACCACTACCACTACCACTACTACTACTACTACTGCTGCTACTCCTGCTACTCCTGCTACTCCTGCTACTCCTGCTTCTCCTGCTACTACTACTACTACTACTACGACGACTACTACGACTACTACGACTACTACGACGACTACTACGACTACTACGACTACTACGACTACTACGACTACTACGACTACTACGACGACGACTACTACTACTACTGCTACTACTGCTACTACTGCTTCTACTGCTTCTACTACTGCTACTACTGCTACTACTGCAACAGCTACAACTATACTAGGCTACACAACACCACGCTACAGTATACTAATTACACTACACTACGCTACAGCTACACTGCAACTACACGACGGCTACAGCCGCAACTATAGCTACAACTACAACTACACTACACTACATTACACTACACTACACTCATTACAGTACACTACAGCTACAACTACAGCTACAACTACAACTACAGCTGCAACTACAGCTGCAACTACAACTACACTAGACTACACTACACCATACTGCACTACGGGACACAACACTACAGCACGCTACGCTACATTCCGCTACACTAATTACACCACACCACAACTACAACTGCAAGTGCAACTACCACTACACTACACTAGTTACACTACACTACAACTACACTACTTCCACGACGCTACAACACAATTACAATTGCAACTGCACTACGCCACACCACATCCAGCAGTTGTGGGTGAGGTGACCACTGCAACCACTGCAACCATTCCAAAAAACATAACTCCAACCACATGTCGGTCCATCAGTGGATTCGCTCTGCGATCCATGCATCACAACAATTCACCTCCCCTACAGGTTTCCTATCTTTGAAACTTCCGCCACCCCCTTTTTCGGCACTACTGGTAAAGATAGGCAAAGATGGAGCACAGAGCATGACTGAGCATTACTGAGCATGACTGGCAGAGATCAGAAGTTGCAACTGCGAGGACGGCGGAGCGCGAGGCGCAAGGAAGCGCGAGGCGCGAGGCGAAGGAAGAGATGCGCTGATTTCGTTTTCGCTGTTCATTTGCTGATGTCAGTGTCGTTATTCCTTTCTACCGTTCTGCCCATCGAATGTGAACAACTCTTTGCGAGTCTTAGAATATCTTTGATATTTTGAAGTTTCTTGAAGTCCAGCTCTGTCGCTGGATGGTTCCCTTGTCCATATGTTTGGCGCCGATTAAAACAAATCTAAGCAATGTGAGATTGCAGTCGTTCGATTTGTCACAGTCCCTGACAGTCATCCCAGATTGGCGCCAGAATTCAATGTGCATGTTTCAATCCCAAACGGGGATTGATTTCGCTGATCTACGCTGCAGATCGTTGAGAAACTCAATATGTCCAGCGGATTTGAGATCCCCACTCACAACGAGTGGAAGCGACCTGAAGGAACGAGGTGAACAAGTTTCGAAGATGTTCGCAGGAACATTTCGCAAACCCAGAGTCGAATCGACCTGGCGCGTTTGATGTGCGACAAAGGGAGCCCAGCCTGCAGTGTTGAGTTTCCAATAGAGGCCCCAAGATCTGAACAAAGAATCCGGGACATGGGTGGAACACAACACAACCGCTGGGAGTTCGGGCAACCAAAGCCTTGAATAGACAGAGAGAGCATAAGGATCTCTCTTGGCGATGACGATATGTTCAGTGTGTGGCTCCTGCTGTTAGCTGTACATTCATTGTAGCATACCGTCCTTACGACATAGCGACATAGCGTACAAATGGATCAAATGGATCAAATGGGTCTGAACAAGAAGAGCTGTGAAGTTGTGAAAGATATTGCTGGACTTGTGGGATGAATCAAAGAACAAAATCCACAGGGTACAAATTTGCAACTTCATCATAACTTCATAACTTAATCTAACTTTGGGTTTTGCATGGTTTTGTGTTTTCAAGGTTTTGCTTTGTCCACTGGACTCAGTAAACCTTTGCACTGGCTCCTTTGCCTTCCCCACGATATATGTTGTATCTTCTCTTCTGTGGCATGGCACATCATCACAAGTCCTCACAAATGTGTAGATCTTTTGAATGACCATCAAACCGTTGCATTTGAGACGTGCAACGTACTACCATGTACCACCCCTGTCGCTATGTTGTTTGGCCATTTAATTTTCCGTGGTCAGTGCATCAATGTGCAAGACCCGTATAGACGCGTCCATAGACGGAACCAGAACTTCTGCACAATGCGTGTGTTATTTTTGTCACTTCTCCCGGCCGGTCATTGAAACTTAGATGAAAGATGATGGTCTTGGCACTGCAGAAGTTTCCTGGTAACGCTTGGTTTGCCTTTCGATTCTATGAGGAACCCTCATCGGGCGACACCGTTCCTTCTGGAAGCTGCCCTCGGCATTTTCAAGGGTCTAGGTGCCAAAAAAAGGTTCCATACATGTAGGTGCGCTATGCCATGCACCCAGCACGGCACCCAGCACGGCACCCAGCATGGCACTTCGCTGGGCCCAAAATACACTGCGGGCCCAGACGGTTCCAGCACCAGCACCAGCAATGGCATCGTTCGACGTCCCCACTCGCTGCTTCTCAAGCAAGCAGACGAGTCAATCACAGGAAGGCTCCAGAAGCTTCTGGGCATTGAGCCAGGATCTTCCAAGCACCCGCACTTCATGGTAATTTCATGCAATTTCATGCGCACTACATGATACGTCATGATAGGTCCGTATATTTCCCGACATCACCTATCATATCCTATCATTAGACTGCAACATAATGTAAGATATGTCATCAAATGTCACCGTATTCCGAAGCTGGGTGGATTCGAGTCGCCATGCGTCGTAGTTCGACATGGCGACGTTCAAAGTCGTTGGAGCCTTTGGAGCCTTTGGAGCCTTTGCATGCGGAAGTTTGGAATGCCCCAACAAAGATCCAACATCGCCAGGTTTCATAGTGAATAGTTATTCATTGCTACAATCAATAATATTCATAGTGAATAGGTTTCATCTGAGTAATAAGCAATATCGAATAGTGAACATCATCCCTCAGATCCATTGCTCAATATTGCTCAAATCCGTTGTGATAAGATTAGATTACGGCTGTGGAGTGGCTGTGAGACTTCGACCAATTCTTCGGTTCCAAGCGATTCCAAGCTTCAGATTTTCACATCGCTCACCTGCTGGAGATGATTCACCCACAGAATCTGCGATGGAAAGAAGCTTGCTGAAGCTCTCTTGAACTGTTGGCAATGGCATTAACATGCATTAATGATCATTAATGATCATTAATATAAACTGTAGAAGATGACAGGTGTCGGATTGAAACCGTTGCACCGAAACAAGTGCTCAGCAGGTTCTGTTAGCCGGTCCTCCCGATTCATGCTGGAGAGGAAAAAGATGGGTACGGGGAGATGGAAATGCGTACGTCGTACATCCCTCAAAATGTGTGCGACGCAAGAAATAAATAGGTCCATCAGAGGACCCCAAGGTGGCCATACCCATGGGATGATGACCTTGACCTTGACATGATAATCATGATACAGGTTTGAGCTCTGTCCATCCCAAAATCTTTGAGCATTTGGAGCATTGCGTTTTGAGGCCACCCTCATAGTGGTTTTTGGACCATGAAATCTTGCAAAGAAAACCACATGTGAATCACTTGATACCATTCGGAAATCATCTCGAACATCTCTGAATTGAAGTTCTCACATGGCGCCATCTTGACAGGTGAGCGGTGCAGAGGTAGATGTTGCTGTTGCAGATTTTGCAGGCCAGGCAAAAGGCAAAAAAGGCAACAGATTGGCACCTTCAAACCCAGAGTTGTCCTTGAAGAGAATCCTTGACATGTTTGGAACATGTTTGGAACATGTATGGAACATGTTTGGAACATGTTTGGAACATATTTCATATGTCACGCATTTCGGACACTTTCCAGTACTGTGACATTCCGAAACATACTGTACATATTGCGAATGCCACACCATGTCGATGCTCCTGTCAAATCTGTCTATGTCAAATTCCTGCCTTCCTTGTGCCTTCCTTGTGCCTTCCTTGTGCTTTGTGCTTTGAGGAGCTGTGATTTATATGGGTGAGCTGAAGGATGCGAACGGCGAAATCGGCGAAGTCGGCGAGGCTTCGATGGGCGATGGGCTTCGTTGATCACGTGGGATCACAGTGTGAAGCGCCAGGCCGTGGATTGCCACAAGGTGCTTCCGTTGCTTCCGTTGCTTCCTTTGGGGTCCTGATTTTTGGATCTTTCATGTGGTGAAATACGTTCGCCTTCTTGGATTTGCAAAAATATGAAGTCAGACTAAGTCAGAAGTCAAGTTATTAGCTGCGACCGCGAGGCTGCAGAACAGTTGTTGACCGCATTCCTTGAGCATCTCTTGATCAAAAGATGCACAGTACAAGTTTATCAAAAATTCACATTTTCACATCTGTTCACATCTTTTTCACATTTTTCGGGAAGGTACGCTGCAACTCTTTCGTTGTGGGAGCAGCCTCTGGTGTACTCCTGGACCTTGCGGCTCGAGAGGCGACGGAAGTCGTTTCACTGTGGGATACTGGAAATGATTTTTAAATATATGTGTATATAGATATATGATATATTCTATAATATATATATACACATACTATATGTTATATGTTTATATAATATAATATATGTTGACAATAACTATACATTGATATTGATTCATTCTGATCCGGAAGACATAGTGAAATATGAGACAGAGATGTGTCTATGTGTTGCACATATTTTCCATAACCTAAGCATAATCACATTCAGCTTGTTGCATCTTGGAAAGGCAGGGCTCATTGCGATCCAGGTTCGAAATCGGGATTTGATCCCAAAGTTATCAGCTGTGGCAACGGAGCAGTTCCAGAGGCGGAGTTGCGGTGAAAGTTTGGTCGGACCTAACATGACTCAAGATCCAAGACATTGTCGGAAACCTTAAGAGCAGTCCAAAGCTGTCTTTAAGCTGAGAGGCTAAAGAATGGAGATTTTACATTGGACCCCACGATTAAATGAAGAGACAGCAACCTGGGGAAACCGATGTGAGAATTCAGTTGAAGGATTCAATCAGCAAAATTTAAAGTCTGCAGGGGACGTCGCTCCCTTGCCCGTTTACGTGGAAAATCTGAAGTGCCTAGATCTCAGTGGTGACGCAAGAATATCCAAAGATCATCCAACATCATCAAGCAAAACATAATATAATATAATATAATATCACATCATATGATATAATTTAATATAATATGATATAATATAATATAATATTTAATATAATATAATATAATATATTATACAGAATAATATATATATATATACACATATAGTATAATACAGAATAATATATATATATATACACATATAATATAATATATAATATAATATAATATATAATATGATATATAATATATATATATAACATATAATATTATATTATATTTAATATAAGATTTAATATACGTAATTTGAAAAATATAATATATAATATAATATATCATATAATATATAATATAATATATAATATAATATACTATAATATAATATAATATAATATAATAGAATATAATATATATATATATTATATCATATAATATAATATAATATAATATATTATAATATAATGTAATATAATATAATATATAATATAATAATAAAATATAATACAATATAATATAATATAATATTAAATATAATATAATAATTTAATATAATTTAATGTTATATAATATAGTATAATATAATATAATATAATATATATAATATAATTTAATATAATATAATATAATTTAATATCATATCATATCATATAATATAATATATAATATAATATAATATATAATATGTAATATTATATATAATGTAATATATAATATTTTATTTCATATAATATATAATATACTATATTATATTATATTTAATATAATTTTTAATATAATATATACAGATATATATATATATAATATAATATAAAATAATATAATACAATACAATACAATACAATATATAATATATGTAATATATATATATGAAATATGTATATAATACATATAATTTATGTACATTTAGAATAGATACATTACAGTATATATATATATACACATGTATATTGTTTCACGTTTCTTTCTGCCATTCGTCCCAATGAAGCGTCAAGGCCAGTGGAAGCATCAAGGCCAGTGGAGATTGAGCATCAGACGGAGTCGCGCCCTGGCCTTGTGGCTGCAGTTACAGGCGAAGTGCCGCACTACGACTTCGTTTCTTTCCACCTGTCACTTCTTTGGCTATGTTCGTTATTATTTCATTATTGCTATTATTACTATTGCTATGATTGTTGTGGCTGTTACTCTTGCTATTGATCCTCGTTGGTATGTTGTGCAAACTATGTGTCACTACACATCACTACACTATATAGACAGTGCTGGTCCCTTGGGTCCCTTGGGTCCCTTGGCAGGTCTGTTGCTCTTTGGTGCTATGGTCCTGAAAGCCAGGCGAAGAGGTCGGATCCTCAGAGAAACACCATCACCGGGGGTCACGTCATCATGTCATCACGCCCATTTGGATGGCTTGACGTGTACTAAGTGTACTATACTTACTATATCTTACTATACATACACAACTCTGAATAGGAAATTTGAGTTTTGTGTGTTCCTAGGGCATTTCAAGCAAAACGTCTCAGTCCTTTTTCGGAGTCTTCCAACCGTAGGTGCGGTGAAAGCACCTCCAACTCCGGCGGAGACACCCGTCGAAGTCTCAAATGATCAATGCTCAACTTTTCAGACACATCGACGCAAGCTGAATGACCGGCTCGAATGGTTTGATGAGATTCAAACATCAAACAACTGTAACAACCCCACCCCTTCAAATAGTCTTCTTTCTGTCGGTACCAAGTTTTGATCTCAGGTTATGAAGCCCAAAGCTAAGCCTCCACCTCCTCCAAGGTACGAATCTGACCACACCACAACAGCTTTGATAGAGATACGATGAGATACACTATGAGATACTGATACGATGCAGAATGATGCAGAATGATGCAGAGTTTCAAGTTTTCTCTCTTGACATGTCATAGTCACATGCAAACAAGTTCGGAGTCGAGTTCCGTGAGCCGGCACAGGAACATGAAAGGCGGACCAAAGGCTGGGTCAACAGCTGCACAGCCGTGGATTCGCATCACAAATCCATCAGAAGTCCAGGCTTCTCCTCGGCCAAAAGCAAATACACTGGATGAGGCGAAACAACTTCGTGAGAGCGATCCTGGTTTATGTGAATTATGTTTGAAATATGTCAGTATGTGTGACATCGTGTGCACCCATGAATGATATGAATGCAGTGTTTGGCATGCTGTAATGGTTGGGTTCCCCTTGGCCAGGGCATGCTCAGCCCTCGCTCGGCCGAATTCGCGCGCTTCGGCAAGAGGAGCTCTATACGTTACCGAAGAAACCACGAGTCGTTCTTTTCCAGTCGGGATTTGGCTGATACCACAGAGACATGTTTGGAAACGTAGCCAGGATTCACTGGGTGAAGCCCAGTTGTGAAGTCGGGTGTCCCAGCCAGAGAATCTTGGGGAATGTTGCACTAGCTTTCCAGGCTTACCATAAAAAATTGCACCTTGGCAAAAGCAGCGCTACGTAACAACATACCCACACACTATGAGACTGACCTAGTATGAATCAGAAGGGTTTGGTTTGAAGTAAGTTACACCTGCAGCCCCACATGTATGTTCACTTGCCAGCAGACCTAGCACTTAATTTTGTCTATGTCAGGAACCACAAGAGGATACAATCTTTGGCGAGCTCAAAATGGGAAGTGCAAAGAGCGAAGACACAAAGCGATCCCAGCATGTTTAAATCCGGGAGTTCTGTTAATGGCCATGAGAATGCTTGCTGGTGCTGATTGGTTCATTTTGCGGCGGGCCTCCAGTTGGTTTACGTTTTTGCGCCGTGACAGTGCTTGAGCTCTTGCAAATGGGACCTGTGAAACTAAGCCTGGAGGCCGAAGCTTCAGTTTGACAAGGATCTGATGGATGCCATGTTTACTCCCAGAAGTCATGCTCTTAGAGCAACGACTTCCGCCCAGGGGCCATGCACTTTCACCCAAGTCACCAATGCAATGTGTATATTTGTCATTCAAGATATCAATATATTGACATCGAATAGCTATAAGTTAGATGATAAGTGATGATGATGATGATGATGATGGTGATGGTGATGGTGATGGTGATGACATACAGTGGTTATGAGTCACTGCACAGCATCAGGTGCTCGAACTCCAACTGCCACTCCTCGCAGATCTTGGACAGGGCCCAAGCCACAAGGCTTGTTCCCCAGATATTCTCTTCCCCATAGATCTGAATGATATTGGTCAACAAATGTCAACAAATGGCATGTTGTAAGATGTATTGTGGATGTAATATGGGATGTAAATGACGGACAGTTGTTTGAAAAGTCTGATGCAGAAAACCTGGTGAATGTATGCTGTTTTTCACTTATTGCGACAGGCATTTGTTTGCTGGACAACAGCCGTGCCCACAACATCGCAAGGGAACCTGGAAACCGAACTTGCATGGCAAAACACTCCTGACACCTTTACTGAGGCACAGTATCTTCAACATGTTCAAACGAAAGGGTTGAGACAAGTTTGGACAGGATTTGCACACGAAATGCAGTGAAATCCATTCAGTGTAATGTGTTCTGCATCCATTATATTCCATATGTCTTATTATATCATAATATACATATGTTATATTGTATTATTCTTATTATTATTGTTGTCATTATTGTTATTATTCATTACTCTATATATATATATACAAGTAGATAGATATATATGTGATTTGGTATTCCATAGTCCATGGTCACGGTCGCTCGGGAACTGCCAGGCCATCGTCCTCACCAAGCTGGCCATCAGCACAGAGGTCAAGCACATGGCAAGATGCAAATCGTGCAATATCTGAACTAAATCATCTATGTATGGCTATGTATGTATAATACTGTATAATTGTATATATATATATGTATAAAAGGATATATGTATATATGTACGGAAATGTGTATATATATATGTGTAAAAGGTAAGATACTTGACAAGATTCTCAAAGCCAGGGCTGATTTTGTGATGATGTTGATCCGCAACTGGCAGGAGTTGAGTCGATGCATCCGCTCTTTTGATACAGGCTTTGGGTTGCTGATACAGATGATACAAGTTGGACAGTGTACTGAATCAAAGCCCCACGGAATTCATAAGTATTTGTCATAAATCACATAAGGACATAGGGGCATCAAAAAAAAATGTGTACCATACTGTGCCGTGATTCCTCTTGCAACTTGTTACATCTTGTTACATAAGCTAGAGTCGAGAGATTGAAGTAGAGTTGACTTACCAAGAAGCAGAACAGAATGAGATATGGATAGATATGCCACAGTCGCCACAGTCGCTTCAGGTCAGCAGCGGCTGAAGGCAGATCACGTGGAATTGCTCCATGTGGCGATGCCCACAGCCTCGGAGGCTCGATCTGATTCCACAACTCCCCAACAACAGAGGCTCCAAATGGTTTGAAACATCAGAGTTTGTACAGAGAACATATCAGAACTATCAGGTCTTTTAACATGTGTAACACACACACACACAATGCCCTGGTTTTATCAGCATGTGTGCTCTACTTGTGAAAGCTGCAAAGTCAAACTCGTTTCCCTGCTTGGTAGGTGACAAAGCTGCAGGAGAGCAAGCACAAGGAGATGAAGACATGTAATGAAAACACGCATTGTAAATATTGTAATGTCGCTAGAGATGTCAGTGTGGGTTCCAGTGATTTCCTCCATAGCATCACAGGAAGAGGCTTTGCGCGATGTGGAGCGGAGGCACTCGTTCGAAAAGTGTTCATGGCTGGTTCAAAACTACCAAAACCTGAAAGGATGTAAATAATTCGTGGTTGTATATACCATGGATTTTCATGGATTTCCATGGATTTTCATGGATTTCCATGGTTGTTTGCCAAACATCAAAGGTGCAAGTTTCCTGTGGCCTCGGCACCGACACAGGTTGCTGCCATTGTGTACTTTGAGCCCCACCAGGATCAAGGCGTCATCATACCCGATGCATGACCGTTACATCGGCTATGCTTCGGAGTGTTCTTCGTTTCACCGGAAGACAAATATGAATTACCTCTGGTAAACTAACATAACTATGGAAAATCACAATTTTTAATGGAAAAATCCACTATAGACGGCCATTTTCAATAGAGGGTACTATAATTCGATCCATCATGGGAATGAAAATTACATCTTAGATCTCAAAGTTGGATCTCGGTTCTCATCCTCTTATTCCAGCCAATGCCGGAGACAACGTAGATCTCAAAAAAGTAATTGCCAGATAGCCGCACAATATCGCGTGCTCATGCATAATCATACAACTCGGATCCAACTCTCATGCAGGTCATGAAGTTTGCTTTGACTTACGAGTCTGCACCCCAGCCAATTGAAGCATCACTCTAGTCACTCTGAACACTTTACACACCATTGACATATATCGAATGTTCTATAAGTATAATATATATATATAGCTTGAATTCCATAGCTATATAATTATTGTATAATTATAGATTATGATGATATCATCATTTATGATAATTGTGTATACATATGTATACATATTCATCATATTCATCATATATCGATTGTATGGCACTTGTAGAATCTGCTGCATCACCTGCCAAGATCGACTCGTGAAGTCCTCATGCAGCGCTGCAAGGCCGTGGAAGGATTTCTGCGACAAAATCGTCACGTAGAACACCCTCCGATTCTTCCCCAAATGGCGAAAAAAATGCCTCAAAATATCCCAGGTACGCCCCAAATACTGCTACTCATGTCATATCCAATTGATTGGTATCTGCAGGTGCTTCGCGATGCTGCAGATGAAGCCAGGAATGCGGAGAAAAGAATTCAATTGACTTCAATCCCTTTTCTGCACCGAGATTTTGTTCGTTTCAGGACCTGGATCACAGTGCTCCACAGTGCACCGTGCCCTCGCTGCCGCAGGAACAGCCCACAATTCCGGGATTTGCTGGCGATCATCCTGGAGGCTGGCAACTACATCAATGGCGATCCGGGTGCAAAGCAGGACCGTTTTTCTGCAGTCGGGACGACTGGCTATGAGCAAACCATGTAGTCTATACATGTCTATACGTGATTACACATTCATAGGGATATAAAGCGGGTGATTTATCTACGTACAAATCATCAAACATCGGCATCCAATTTGTGGCTTGAACCTGCTTGCTGTCCTTTGAGTGGCAAATGAGTTTAGAATAGACTGGCCAAGTCAAACATAATGACCAAACACTGGTGAGGAAGGGTGGAATTGAAGGATAGGATAAACATATATAAACATAGACAGCTTTGCTTCGAATCCACAAGATGTTTCACGCCGCCATACGCCGCCGGGGCTTCCAAGAAGGTGCAACCCGTTCCACGGATTTCCACGGTGCAACGAAACGAGAGCTGAAACGTAGGAGCGTGTGAGAGCCTTCAGCATCGAGTCGCTACAGTCCTTGGCCAACTTCAAGGCACTTGCTTTCAGCAGATGTGTCTTTCTCAAATGCCGAAATGCCATAGTAAATGGATGTAAATTGCATACCGACACTTTGCTTGCAAAGAGCATATATGGCTCTTTATGTCACTTCATAATCTTCATATCCATTCCATCCCATATCTTCCCAGTTTAGGTCGCCTAGGCCTGACCGGCCACAGGTTGGGTGCATCTCCTGCATGCACTTTTTGTGCATCACGATGAGAGCTTCAGATACCAAGTTTTTGCTAGGGACACAGTCGGACAGAGGACAAATCGGGATCAAGATATGTGGCAGATTTGATGAGGACAGGCAAGATTCGATATTACACATATCTATCATGATCTATCATTATTAATCATTATCTATCTACATGTTATCTTCCACTTGAACCATGGTGAACCATGGTGAACCATGGTTTTCACGGTGAAACGGAGCAATGAGGTCGTGCCTGGAGAAGAGTCTGAAAGACGTTCGCCAAGCTGCCAAGGTGCGATGAAAACTGAGATGAAGGATGGATTCGGATGGATTCTTCGCATGACGAGGATGTGGTTTTGGTGTACAAAACCACTTTAACTAATGTTGAACTGTGTTACTTTGTTGATCAGCAATATCAAATCAAAGAATGTTGTTTGAGAATTTGAATTTGCCAGGAAAAGTTCTCTATGCTCCGTTCTGAAGTCGAGTCTTTCATGGGTGAGGCCGGAAAGGATCCCAAAGTGAAGTTGTACATGCATACATGATGTTTGTTCTGGTTTTGAAAGAAGTTGTAATTAGCTACTGCAAAAAATCTGCGCAAGTAGATCACAGGATTGTTTGCTTCCCATTTCAAAGTTTTTGCACTCGTTTTGCGGAATGGGGGTTTGTGAATGTTTGTGCACCGGTTGTTTTAGACGTTTGTTGTTTTTCCACATTTTTTCCACAATTTCCCAGTCTTTTTTGCACGCCAGGTGAACTTCGCTCAGGCCCGGCTCCGCGAGATGACGCTGAAAGATGCCAAGGAAGTGAAGCCAAAACCCGACTCGGCCTCAGACGGTGACAGCTATAGTTGCTAGATGTTGCTAGGTATCTGCTTGGTAACAGCTGTGTTTACTGTGCTAACATGTGTTAACATCAGTTGACTATAGATGGACTGATGATACTTCTCAGTGACTCTAGGTGTAGTCTTGGTAGTTTCAGTACAACCTTCTAGAGATGCCGTGTGTGCTCCGAGGCACCTGTGCTTGAGGCCTGTGGCATACTGTGGACGTGCTAGGATGGACAGGAGATGACGGGAACAAAATATCTCAGATCTCTCAGATCTCAGCATATCTCTGTGATTTTCTGGATGATGAGTATATTCTATTATGATCTATTATGTATGATTATATGATGATTATGTATGCTGTATAATTATATTATATTCCTGCATCATCAGTAGAACCCGTTTCAGTCGTCTTCGCCGTTCAAACATCGCAAAACACGTCTTCCGAGGCCAAGGCGGAGAACTGCAGTGAACCGGAACCCGAAGTGCCAGTGCCCGGAGTGCCTGAAGTGGAAGGCAAACCGAAATGCCAGGGCCGCCAGGGCGGGGAAAATCCGGACATCACTGAAGTGGCATTGGATCTGTGCTAGCTATGAAATGCTATGAATATCTATGAATATCATATGATTTCATAAGCTTGTGAACTTGCATGATTGAATGTTGTTGATGTTGACATATGTTGACATATGTTGACATCTTGAAAACATTCAGTTTCTAATATGCAGTGCGTGCACCTTTCCTTGGGCCTTAATTTTCTGCTGTGCAGGCGAGAAAGAAACACCAGCTGGTTCCTCAGAGATCTATACCGTTTGGGGGATGCATGATTTTCGTCAGACATCCATATGTATATAGATGTTTTTTTGTGTGTCTATATATCTACATGTTTCTACTAAGTTACTATTATTAAAATTTATTAAATATGTATATCTGAGTATATCTGATAATATTTATTTTAACATATCAAGATATACATATTTAATAATAGTAACAATCTCCACAGGGGCGGAACAAGACATGCCAAGAGGCTTCCACCAGATGCTTCGGCCTCAGGAGCTTCCATGGCCCGAGGTCACAGAGGAGGCGGAAATTTGCGAAGAATCATGTGTAGCCTCCAGTAAATTAACAGTTGGACCCTGAATATCACCCAGTTTTAATGGAAACTAGTCTTCCAACCCCGATGACTGCCAGGGTCTATGTTAATTTACCAGAGGGTATCATATATTCAGTGAGTCCCATTTATGTAGTAATCATATATAATCATTATATAAATATCATCATCATTATCATCATCATCATCATCATCATAGTGTTTTACGTAAACTACTGTAATTAGCCCATTTATGTCATAATATATGATGGTGAAAGATGTCATGAGTTTGTGTAAAGATATGTACATCATCCGAGCAATTCCGTTGTGCTCCTTCAACCTTGGCTCTTGCGCTTTGAATGTCGGCTTGAACTCAGTGGCACGGTATTCTCGCCAAATCAAGATCATCAAGTTAGAGTGTCACGTTTCGGCCCGCCGATGCCGACTGGTCATAGTCCCAAGTCGGAGCAACAAGATTCCTGATGATTCCTGTTTGTTGCGACTTGGTCAGACTAAGATGGGCTTACCATGGATGACCTCGTGCCCTCTTGAGACGAGTCATGCCAAGTCGACATTGGATGCTGACCAGATCATGGCCAACGAAACAGGCACTTTACGACATCTTGAGCTCAGATCTGACACAGAGCAAAGGTGTCTGTTAAAGGTATTATCATGGATATTATGGTGTTATTTGATAGCTTTGTCCAGACGCTTGGCCTCTGGCCATCTCTGGCCATCTCTGGCCGGCCTACATCCAGATTTTGGATTTTGTGGACCTTCGGTGAGAATGGTGAGGCTACATCAAAGAGGATTGGTACAGTTTCCGTGACTTGGCCATTAGTCCTTGCGACACAGCGTTTGAATTGAACCCCGAAATTGCAAAAGAGTTATTTGTTCGACTCTGAAGGCATGCGGGAAAAGAAAAAAACATACGTATGTTACATAATGATCATATCATGAGCATATCATGATCATATGATCTTATAATTATATGGTTATATAATATATATATATAGATGCTCATATTATCGTATTATCTCTGCAAGAACTGTTTCATGACTTGGCCTCCGAGCATCGCAGCATTGGAGCGACGTGCCCCCTGGGGGAGTGGTGCGTCAGCCATGGCGCACATGATGAAGCCGCAGATCATCCTCCTGAAGGCGAGGTGATCTTCACGTGATCTTCACGTGATCTTTTAACTTGATCTTCACAGACACGGCCGATCAAACTCAGTTTCCATGAATATATGGAAGCAACGAATAAGCAACGAATACCAATGAATTTACCAATGATCTCTGATGATTCCATGATTTGAACTGTGATCCAGGACGGAACAGATGCCTCACAAGGAAAGGGCCAGATCATCAGCAATATCAACGCTTGCCAAGCCGTTCCGAACTCAGACTGCTGCATTTCTCATGTTGCACCATGTTGATCATGTTGATCATGTTGCACCTCTATGATCTCTGTTTATCCCTGAATTGTGGCCGGCCGCCGTCCATCAGGTTGTGAGCATCGTGAAGTCCACTTTGGGACCTCGTGGTATGGACAAGCTGATAGAAGAAGGCAGCGGAACCACCATCACCAATGATGGGGCAACTGTGATGAAGAAACTCAACATTGCAACTGTGCTTGCAAATAGTTTTGAGATGTTTTGAGGAATGAGTCACGACATGACATCATCATGACATCATCATGAAATCATCATGAAGTCGTGAACCCCATATGGGACCCCAATGGGACCCCATATGAGCCCCTATATGAACCCCTTTTTGTCAATGGCACCGAGGTCCATCCAGCTGCCAGGATCCTGGTTGACATCAGCAAGGCCCAGGACAACGAAGTTGGGGACGGCACCACCAGCGTCGTAGTGATCACAGGTGCCCAACCATGGCCCAACCATCAAAGCAGATCGCAGATCAAAGCAGACTCTGGCTTGAGTATGGTGATCTGAGGGCTTAGCATACTTAATGATGAAATTATGACACTTTTTGTGAAACCGAAATGATCATCAAATCATATCAAACCTGACAGTCAGACAAATGTTGTATTTGCGTAGTTGCCTTGTACTTTTCTGTTTGAACATGTTTGGACCAAAGAGACTGTGCCAGGTGAGTTGCTGAAGGAAGCGAAGAGCTTCCTCGAAGACGGCCTTGTGGCTCCCCAAATCATCAAGGCCTCGGGATGGCGGCCGGGGGGTTTAGAAAGTGACAGGACCTTTGACATATAACGATGATGTATTGATAATTAAAAATGTAATTATTGTAATTATGTAAGATTTAATCATTTCAGATGTTGATAAACCAATGGTTCGGCTTTGCATAACCATGTTCTTCACTGGTGTTCTTTTCCAAAAGACCGCTTGGGGCCCTACATCTGCATCTGCATCGCTCGTTGCTGTCTGTCATCGCCCTTTGGCCAGGGCTACCGGACGGCCTGCAATTTGGCCATCCAAAAGCTGCTTGACATGGCCGTGGACCTGAAAGATAAGTCAATGGATGAGAAGCGTTCCATGCTGATCAGGTGCGCAGAGACCACGCTGAACTCCAAGCAACTTGTCGAAAGATGTCGAAAGAACCCCAGACAACTTCTGTGCGTACAGGAATAGAAGCGCAGAAACTGCAACATGTGATGGAGGACCAAATTTTAGGAAGGTATCACGACAAACTGATCATGACAGCCCAGAAGCCATGAATCAAAATGAGACATGCTGGGGTTTCTTGATTCTATTTGCTCTTTCAAGCCTTTGGAAACATAGGGAATTAGTTTTACATATCTTTACATGTTGAGGTTTGGAGGGTTTGAATTCGCTTAGGTTGGTGGCTGACTACAAGACGTTCTTTGCCCAAATGTCGGTGGACGCGATTTCGATGCTGGGCGATGACCTGTCCGTGTCTTCCGTGGGCATCAAGAAGGTCACAGGTGGATCTGTCACTGACACGATGCTTGTGGAGGGCGTTTGCTTCAAGAAATGCTTTTCCTATGCCGGTTTTGAGCAGCAGCCAAAGCGCTTTGAAAACGCCAAAATTTTGCTTCTGAACCTCGAGTTGGAGCTCAAGGCAGAGAAAGACAATGCAGAAGTGCGGATAACAGATCCAGACCAGTATCAGTCCATCGTGGATGCTGAGTGGAACATCATCTACGTCCCTCGGCTTCAAACAAATTGTCGTATTATTTTGTTCAAAGAAGTACAGTGCACTGCGGATGCGTTTTCAGTAGACGCCTCAACTTTTTCAACAGTTCGTTCCATCATGATTTCCAGCAGTAGCAGCAGTGTTTTTTCTGCAGCTGCTAGGAGAAGCTGGAGTTGATTGCGAAGTCTGGAGCAAACGTTGTGCTAAGCCGTTTGGCCATTGGCGACCTTGCTACCCAGCACCTCGGGTTCAACACCTTTGATGCATGGAAATTGCTACCAATGGGGCATTTTGATGCATTTTGCATTACCAGGTTTGAATACCATACGTTATTCATATAATCTACATTCATTATCATTCATTAATCTGGTTCCATTGCAAGGTTCACATGGATGACCAGCGAGCTGTGATGGGCTGTGTATTTGTTGCTTGGTATTTTTATGTTGCAGGTTTGCCTCCTCGGTAACTCACCTCGTTTGCATCGCAGGTATTTTGCTGACCGCAACATCTTTTGCGCGGGACGTTTGGAGGCGGGGTCCTGCAAAGCCGATTCTGCGATGCAGACCATCACAGGTCATGGATGTGTTGATTCTGTTTGAGTGGCTTCTAAGAAGAGAAACAAATAGAAATGATATAAACATCAAGAAACAAGAAATAAGAAGAAATCGCCAAAAGTGTGGGTCCATTGTCGGTGATGATATGGTGCCTTTTTTACCCAATCAGGTGGAGGACCTGGAGCGAACCAGGCGTGCAACAGGGGCAGAGGTTCAGACGACTGCTCAAGGCATCACACCGATCCTTGGCACAGGCTTTGTCCAAAATGACAGCGGCTACTAATATGGCTACATATGGCTACATATGGCTACATATTCATATACATTACATGCATATTATGCATGTGTATATGTTTAAATAATGTTTAAAGATTACATAATATTACTATATCAATATTAGCCCAAATTTCAGAGTCTATAGTTGTTATAGATGTTATAGGTGTGATGTTTTATTTCCCGATTTTTGCTCATTAAAATTGCCATGTACTAGTATTGGGTGTATATACCCCATTCTTGGACAAAGCTGAATTTCTCTGGCATGGAAAGGATTCCGGGTATTCCGGTGGGAAGACACATTGCATTTGTTGAGGAGTGTCTTGGGATCTTGCGGCCTTTTCGAAGAAAAGCAAGTGGGTGCTGAGCGGTTCAACTTCTTCACAAAATGCGCAGCTTGGCAGCACAGAGGAGCGATAAGCCGGACAAGCACAGCCAACATATTCAGCGAAATCCAAGGCATTATTTTTTTCTGCTGGAAAACCAGGAAACATCATGAAACTCTTTCACTATGTTTTGACTGATTCTGCAGCTGCTTTCTGTTCAGGAAAAGACCAAGACTGCTACCATCCTGATTCGTGGTGGCGCTCAACAATTCATTGATGAAGCCGCCCGATCTCTGAACGACTCCCTCATGACTCTCGTCATCGTTGTGATATGTTGTGATGTTAGAGTCAACCCCGGGACCCAGAGAACACAACGGAGCGTTTGAAGCAATTGTGTGACTTGAGAATCTTGAGATATTATGAGTCAATTATGACAAATGATTTAAGTCTAATATCACAATACAACGACATGGTGTAAGTTGATGTAAGTTGGTGTAAGTTGATGTAAGTCGTGTAAGTGTTCGAGGTATTTGAGGTGTTTTGGATTTTTTGGATTTTTCCTCGAGGATTGTGCGGCGAGCCATGAAAAATACGAAAGTCGTGGGTGGCGGCGGTGCCATTGAGATGGAGCTCAGCCGATACCTGCGCGAATATGCACGCACCATCAGCGGCAAACAGCAGCTGGTGATCAACTACTTTGCACGTGCCTTAGAGGCTGGCGGTATTTGGTGCTGTTGTGTTGTTTTATGACAACTTTATAACTTAGATATTTTTTGATATGTGATCTTACTTACCCTGAGTTGATGCTTCCAATGGTGAAACATAGCTTGCACCAGAAGGCATTTTCTGGTATATTTTCTGGTATGGACAGGGTATCGCACTTGGATTCAAATTGTAGCAAATTGGAAACAATGGGCAAGTGAAGAACCATCCATAGAGTTTTCACATGTCTTCTCAACATCCTGAAGATTTGCCATCATTCCAACAGCGTTCGCCCATGCGTCAGGTTATCCCCATGACCTTGGCGCAGAATAGTGGCGCAGATGGCACGAAGGTGTTGAATCAACTTCGACAAAAACACGCAGCGGCAGGGACTGAGGGTCGCTGGTGGGGCGTGGACTGCATGAATTGCACAGTTGCCCTGGCTTTGTTTGCAGACATCCAAGCGTTGCGAGCATGGATAATCAGAGACATACAAGGAAATACTCATTCTGATTTGAATTCGAAATGGTGAGACAGAGTAACAAGAAGGAAAATGAGGTAAAATGACTGGAAGTTTTAGAAAGTAAGTAGAATCATTCCAGGTTTGAAAGGCTGAAAGAAAAAGGATGACATCCGAAGCTCACAAAGCTCACATGCTCACGGATGCTCGGTCCATGAGTTGCCAGGTCTGTGATGCTTTCCAGAGCTACATTTGGGAGCCTGTTTTGGTCAAGGAGAGTGCTCTGAATGCTGCAACAGAGGCAGCATGCCTCATCCTCTCCATTGATGAGACTGTGAAGAATCCGCAGCTGAGCGCATTGGGATTGAGACACTTTGAGACGGTTGGACTCTTCGAGACGATAGTGACTATACATGACTATACTAGTTATTTGAGACATTTTGAGACTGACTTCATTCTCGTTTACTTCAGCAGACAGCAGAATGATGCCTCACCTGAAATCATGTTGTCATATGGTGTGAATCTTTCAGATTGCAAATGTCTGCACGTCGGAGCCACGGCCAAGGCAGAGCGAGAAACCTCAAGGGGGGCCAAAAGGGAAAGGCAAAGGGAAGGCCGGGGCAGGGCATCGCAGGGCTAATGAACTTCGGTGTTTGCCTCACTGTGCCAGAGAACTAGAGTATGAGTTTGCATGTGAACTGTGAAACTGCTCAACCATTTATGGATCTTTATGGTCTATTGATATCATGTCTTGGAAAGTTTTGGAACACATTGGCCACCAAACATCATCAAACATCACAATGCCACATCAATGCCACCATGTCTTTTTACATGTAAAAAAGCATTGTCAGGGCATGGGCATGCCGATGGGCAAGGGCCGTGGCCGTGGCGCTCGTGTGCTGAAGGGATGAACGGGATCAACGGGACGGGACGGGACGAACAGGCCGCAATACGGAGCCTGTTTTGAGACGTGTGCCGCAAAAGCGCAAAAAAAGTCCGAGAAATTGTCAAAGGGATACTCCACTTCTGACAGCAATGACAGACGAGCAGATAAACAATGATAAACATGTCTTTCAATCACGAACCTTTCTCTTTGACACATTCAGAAGGCAGAAGCATTTTTCGCAGCAAGGGTGTTTGCCTAGAGTGTAGCTGCTTCCGCAGAGCCTAAAGAACACCAAGTGGCTTGTGGTATCTCGTGTTCGTACTAGGCCCATCTTTATCATCTGTGCCGGTTGTGTAAGTTGTATATATATACATATTGATACATATTATACGTATTGATATATATATATATACATACATACATATATATATATACATATATATATATATACATATATATATATACATATATATATATACATATATATTGTGATTCGTACATTCCGATGCCCAGGATGACAAGCATCTCCACTTTCGAGTGTTCTTTCTCAAGGCGTGTTGGCTCAGGCGAGCATAGGTGCGGGCAGGGTGGGCTCATCGCCCTTGAAGCCATAGGGTTGCATAGTGGCCGGGACCACTTTCTTGGACCAGGGTGTCCTTTGCAGTTTTCAGAAGAGTGCGGCGAGCCCAGCCGAATCCTGTGCCTGTCGGTCCGTGACCTTGCACATCTCAGCTGGCATCGAAGGGAAAACAGCTGGTGAGCGTCTGGTGGTGCTTGGATTTACAAACCTTTTGGAACAGAGTTTTATTCAGTTTGCATCTGGTTTTGACAAACAAGCTGCCATTCACTTCATCAACTGGTGTTGCTGCCATTTACATTGGTAGCGGAGCCCCCCGCAAAGGGGGGTATCCAGGAAAACTATGTCATCGACTTCCGATGCTGGAGGTTCAGGTGTCAGCAATCAACTGTCGTCACTGGCTCCGACATTCGATCCTGCCACTGATGATCTTTTGATTTATCAGCAGAAGGTGGAATTGGTGGTCGCAGCATGGCCTAAAGGGAAGCTTCCAGAACTGATTACAAGACTGATTTTGGGGTGCAAAGGCACGGCATTCCAAAAGTTGCAGATACATCAGAGTGAGCTTCTCCGAGGAGATGAAGGTAGTATCAAGAAATTGATAGAATACCTGGGCGGACAGTGGGGCAAAATTGCCTTAGAGCGCCAATATGAAGATGCAGGATACAGAGCAGGCTCTGTATCACACGATACAGAAGCCAGACGAGGCAAACGACTCCTACTTGGCCAGAGCTGACGTGATGTGGAGCCGACTTTTGGCTCGACAGATGACGCTGGATCAAATCCAAGCGTACGTGGTTCTACGTGGATCCTTGCTGACAGCTGATGAAAAGAAACGTGTGATCATGGACAGCGAAGAGTCTGGAACTCTCACTATGAAGCGAGTGCATGAGGCCATCAGGGTCCTTGGGGCGAGTTTCTTCAATGAGATGACCGGCCGTAAGGCCACCCGAACGAAGATCTATGACAATACGACCTTCCTGACTGAGGCAACCACCGACCATGCCGCAGTTGCAGAAACAGACATGGGAACCAGTTTGAACGATGATCAAGCTGAAGCTGATTTCTTGGAAGTTTTGATTCAAGAAGGAGACCAAGATGCGTTGCTCATAGCTGATTTTGAGGCAGCTGCTCAGGAAACAGTTCAAGATGACCATGAGTTAGCAACGGCATTTTCAGCCTATCAGCAAGCTCGACATCGACTGGGTGAAAAGTTTCGCAACCGTGGATTTTTCCCTGCGAAGCCATTTGCTGGAAAAGGAAAGGGATATGGTGGGAAACAGTTTGGAAAAGGGAAGGGATATGATAATCGTCCCAAAAAGACTCTGCAAGAACGTATCATGTCCTCAACATGCAGACTGTGTGGAGTTCGCGGACATTGGAAGGCAGAATGTCCGTTGAAAAATCAAGGAAGTGCCAACTCATCCGAAGCCCAGACTGCCGCTCCGACATCCACTGTGATCACGACCACCAGCAGCGGTAGCTTGCCACTCGAGTTTCTTGATTTACCGGAGACCTCCATAGATGAGCCCAAGCCAAGTTTAGCCTTTTGTTTTACTTGTGAACCAAGTTTCGATAAGAACAGATATAGTTACAGGGGACGTATTCTTGGGGAATCACACAACGGGAACTATGATCTGAGTTTTGGTTTTAGCAGGTTCACAGCCAAAGAACGTTTGCGCAGCCATCTTGTCAGGAATGAAAGATGCCAGACGCCGACACACGATGCCCGAATGAGTGACACCCGAAAGTTTCAATCCGTGAGTGCCAGATCCGTCCCGTCCGATCGTGCCAAGGTCATTTTGACTAAGGTGAACTGTGACGTAGCTGCAGCTGAAAAAGTGAACAATGTGGCAACTCACCAATCAATACCAACTTTTCCAACTTGTTTTGCAACCCATGATGCCTACGGAGTACTTGACCTTGGCGCTTCAAAGACTGTTATAGGATCGGAACACGTGAAGGGTTTAATTCAAAGCCTGGATGAGGAAACCCGTTCTCAATTGACCCGGTGTCCCTGTGAAGTCACCTTTAAGTTTGGGAACCAAGGTACTCTGACTAGCAGCCAGGCCATTGTGGTACCCATAGGCAAACTCCGACTCAAGATAGCAATCGTGAACGGAGGAACACCTTTCCTCATCAGCAACACTTTCATGCGTGCCATTAGGGCCAAGATTGATTGCTTTTCGCACAGCCTGTCAAGTCCGATGCTGAATCATGCCATTCCATTGGAACTCACCGAAAGAGGATTGTTTCTACTCAATTTGAACGATGTTGTGAAGGCCGCCATGAATCAGCAGACATGCGGAAGTCCCGACACGAAGCCTGTCGAAGCGACCTTCCTGAGCACTGAAAAATCCACTGCCGCAGCCGCTGCTGAAACTTTGCCTTCCGACAAGCCATCAATCATAGATCTCAGCTTGCCATTACCAGAATCCGTGAGTGCCGAGGGTTTTCAAGAGGCCACAGGTATCCAAGATGCAACATCCGAAGCCCATGTTGACCATGAGATGAATGCTGAATACCGTGAGCCCACGGTCCAAGATCCCTGTGGAAAGCCTGATCGAACTCTGCTGTCCAGCCATGTCCCTTCTTGCCCGCCTGAAGGCCGTTCAGACCGAAGTGGAAGTGCCGCTGACCGACTTGTCTCAGCTGACCCTCTCAGAGCTGAAGACAGAGGTGGTCTCATTCGGTCAGAAACATGCCGGGGAGACATTCGAGACGGCATGGGAAGATCAAAGCTGGATCAACTTCATGGTGGCGAAGTATGGAACCAGCAAGGTTCTCAGTCATCGTCGCCTGATCCGGTTCGTGGAGTTGATGGTGGAGCAACACGAAAGAACCAGCACCCGAGTGCCTGTGCTGCCACCGCCGGAATCGGTGGCCGGAGGCTACGCTTTGATCGGCGAGCTTTCTGGACGCAGATCCATCCGAGCCAAGGCCAAGGCCATGAGCACAGTTCCATCTGGGGTCACAGAACCCATTCCACTGGACCAGGACGAAGAACAGGAGTTCGAGATGTTCAACCAGGGGACTACGGCGACGACTCCTCTCCATCAGGATCCGGATTTCACTGCTCTTCAGGATCGTATCCTGAACATGGAGAACGCTCTGGGCCGCGTGATCAATCACCTGGAGGACCAGATCGAGAAGCAGTAGACGTGAGTGATCCCGAAAGTGAGATGGTAGCCGAGTCATGTCTGGCCATGCATCAAGATGTTCAGGAACTGCATCAGATGATCCAAAAATTCACTCAGGAATTCGAAGGAGTGTTATCACACAGCAAGCCTTTAGGGAAACCTTTCATGATGGGTGAAGTGTTTTGCAGCGATGCATCACCTCTGACGCAGCAGGTTCTGAACATGGGACACCAGGCTTTTAGATTTGGCCTTGCACAGGGCGACCTCTCAACCACCGGTGGCCGACAGAAGTTGTTTCAGATGATGGCCACTCATAGACCGAAGCATTTATGGTACAGCCCTGTTTGTGGTCCATGGTCGTCTTGGTCTGCCCTGAATGCCAGTAGGTCTTTGGAATCGCAATGGGAATATCAACAACAACGTAGTGATTTGCGATATCAGATTGCTCTGGGTGTTGTCCTGTATCGATATCAAGTATCTAGGGGATCACACTTCAGTTGGGAACAGCCCCAAAAATCGTTGATGTTACTCCACCCAGGTCTTAATGAAATTCACCAGCATACTCAGGTAAGCCAATTCGACATGTGCGAAGCCGGTGCACTCAAAGACCCTGTCAATCAACTCCATATGAAGAAGGGAATGCAAGTGGTCACCACTCATGAACCCCTGTTTCGTGCACTTCATGGCCGAACATGCAAGAAGAATCATGATCACCAACACCTTGAGGGATCGACACAAATTCATGGTCATTCAGTCCTTCGAACCAAGTTTTCCGAGATTTATCCCCGAAAATTTGTGAGACTAGTTGCAAAAGTTCTGTGCCAACGTGGTCACCAATGGCCCTTTCAGTGGAAAACCGGCCTTGCCCTGTGTCAATGCGATTCTGGTGATCCAACACCAGTGCTTGCAGCCAGCCAGAAGCGTTCCACTTTGAAACTTTCAAGCTACCGAGGCCGTGACAGCTTTGCCCGATCTCAACTGTCGACTCCGGAAGAGAGTGATGAAGCAGGGGTGAAACGAAGAAGACTGGAAGGAAAACAAGGACCTATACCGACCATGAAGGACTGTCAAACTGTTTTTCAAGAGATTCAACAAATATTACCCCGAGTTGGCAAAAGAGAGATTCAAGATTCCAGCATTCTTCAACAACTTCAGGTAATATTCCCAGATCGTCAAGTGATCACAGCTGTTGCATGCAGAGGCACCGATCGAACCATTCCTCCCCCTGAACATTTACATAAGAGTCAAGCCCCTTTTCGTAAGACACTCATGATTCTTCGACCATCAGGGGATATCAGGTATGAAAAAGAATGGGAACGTTGGTCAGATCTTTCCAATCGACAAATGATCAGACCCGCTCACCCGTGCCGCATCAACATTACAGTGTTTGCCAAAGAGTTTGAATCTGAGATCACTCCAGGTCAATCCAGCACTCATCCGGCCCCGACAGTGAACCGTGAGACTGATGCCCTTGATGATCCGATGCCAGCCAATACCGATAGCTCAAGTTTGCAGCCCATGCACCCGTCACCACAGAATGGCGAAGCCCGTTCTCCACGTGCCACTACGACTCCGGACTCTGAAAGGTATGAGCAATCGGCCCATCGAGAAGTTTGCAGACATGATCAGGGTACCTATTTCCATGCACTCCCAAAATGGGAACAGAACCAACTGATACAGATTCATAAGAATCTCGGTCACCCTTCCAATGAACGACTTGCCAAGGCACTGCAATCAAATGGCCAGAGACCGGAGATGGTGAAAGCTGCACTCGAGCTTAAATGTGGCATTTGTGCCGCCAGTTCCGCTCCCAAGCATCAAAGACCAGGAAGATTGAAGCCACTTCTTGATTTCAACCATAGGGTCTATGTTGATGGAATCAAGTGGACGAACAAGAATGGACAAAGCTTTCAACTATATCATGTGGTGGATGCTGGGACACACTTTCATGTTGCCTTCACTGCCCCTGCGCACTCGACCAGAGATGTAATTGCCCTGCTGAACCAGCACTGGCTGAATTGGGCAGGAGCCCCACAGGAAATGAAAGTTGACTCTGGTACCGAACTGAATAGTGATGAATTCCAACAATTTCTTCAAAGGTTTTCCATTCGGTGTACAACAATAGCTCCCGAAGCACATTGGCAGAATGGCACCATAGAACGCCACGGAAGTTTTCTACAGCAAATGTTATCCAAGGTGGACCTTGAGATACCCATTGAAAATTATCATCAATTGCAATTGGCCCTGAACCAATGTTGTCAATCCAAAAATAGCATGATGGTAAGACATGGTTACAGCCCTGAAATCATGGTTTTCGGTAAGCAGAGCCGGCTCCCAGGTTCCGTGCTCAGTGATGAGTCATTGCCGGCCCATACAGCTGCCATCCAGGAAAATTCAGAGTTTACAGCCGCGGAGTTTCGCGATCAACTCAAGCTTCGAGAAGTGGCAAGACGGGCTTTTCACACTGCTGATAACAGCGATGCCTTACGAAGAGCACTACTCAAAAGATCATGTCCATCTAGGGGTGTATACCATAAGGGCCAATGGGTAATGGTGTGGAGAAATACGGGTCCCCAGAAACAAAACTGGATAGGTCCTCAAAGGGTCATAATTCAAGATGAAAGCCATACAATTTGGACTACTCAGGGAGGAAGACTTTATCGTAGTGCACCAGAGAACGTCAGACTGTCACTTCCTGAAGAAGGAGAACCCGGTGGACCTGACTTGCCCGAAGATTTGACTCAAATTCAACAGCAAATCAGTCGAATTTCCCAACACCCTGAAGCCATGCAATCAATTCCCGAAAATGAGCAACTTGAACCTGACATTGATGCCACTTTACAGATACCACAACCTTTTCCGGAAGACCATCCTGTAGCTGACTCCGAGTCAAGTCGTCAAGATAGCACTGCCAGTGAAACCACTATTCAGCCAGATCAAGAGCCGGAAGCATTAAGCCGCCAAGAGACTCATCACCCAGATGAATCTCCAATTGATCATGCCGAAACTTTCCTTACGTGTACTGAGGATAAATGCGTGCTGACAAACAGCAATGACAATCCTCTTGCCTGGAAGTGTGAATTCGACATCACAGTGCCAGAGACAGTCGTGAGACAAGACCCCACTCCAGAAGAAACATGGATTCTTGTAGCCACAACTCCAAAGAAACAACGATCAGAAGTCCGACTGGCCGAACTCACACCCAGTGAACGTGAGGAATTTGCTGCCGCCAAGCAAGTTGAAGTGAACAATTGGATCAAAACCGAGACCCTATCAGTAATGCTGCGTGACCAGATTCCCCCCGATCAAATCTTAAGATGTAGATGGGTACTAACATGGAAACCACTGGACGTAGCTGAAGGGGGTGTAGATAGCCAAAGCCTCAAGCAACATAAGGCCAAGGCTAGGATCGTGGTACTGGGATACTTAGACCCACATCTTGATGAAATTCCCCGTGATAGTCCCACCCTTGGTAGATCATCTAGGATGGTAATCCTTCAAACGATTGCTTCACATGGATGGCACTTGCAATCCTTCGACATCAAAGCAGCTTTTCTCCAAGGACAACCGCAGAAAGACCGTCGTATCATAATTGATCCTGTGAGTGAACTTCGAACAGCCATGAAAATGCAGCCTTCCGAAGTAGCCAGACTTCATAAGGGAGCCTACGGTCTCATCGATGCACCATATCTTTGGTATTGCGCATTGGTTCAAGAGTTGACCAGGCTAGGCATGGAATCTTGTCCGTTCGATCCATGTGTCTTTATACTTCGTGAAGATTCGTTCACTCCAAATGATGATCAACCGAGACCTTCCAACATTAATCCTGCCACTGGCCCGATTGTTGGAGTACTTGGAGTCCATCTGGACGATGGCATTTGCGGTGGAAATGAACAATTTCAACATGTGATTCAACTTTTGGAACGGAAGTATCCCTTTGGAGCCAAAAAGATGACTTCTTTCACCTTCACCGGTATTGAGGTAAACCAAGATCCCAGTTTTAACATCACCCTCAGCCAATCCAATTATGTTCGCAAAATCAGTCCAATCCCCATTGACATTAATCGTAGGTCCCACCCTGAACAACCTGTCAATGATGAAGAACGTGGACTTCTCAGAGGGTTAATTGGATCACTTCAATACGCTTCTACGAATACCCGACCAGATCTCTCTAACAGACTATCTACCTTGCAGTCACAGATCAACAATGCTCAGGTTGAAACAATCATGGAAGCCAACAAACTCCTTCATGAAGCAAAGAAATACCACGACACCACCATCACTATCAAATCCATTCCCCATGATGATCTTCGGTTTATGGTATTTTCAGACGCATCATTTGCCTCCAGTTCCAAACCCTACTCATATGCCGGTAGCATAATTGTGGGTACCCACCGAGACATATCCAAAAATGTTGAATGCCCCATCAGCCCTCTGATTTGGGGAAGCAAAAAGATCCAAAAAGTAGTAACTAGCACGCTTTCAGCAGAAACTGTTTCCATGGCATCCGCCTTGGATCAGTTGAGTTGGCTGCGGTTATACTGGAAATGGCTCCATGACCCCAAAACTCAATGGCATCGACCTGAAGATGCTCTTATGAAGGTTGAACCAGCCATCTCAGTTGCCACATTGCCTTCGACCGCAGATGTTGCAGTAACTGACTGCAAGAGCTTGCATGATCTCATTACTCGTACTGCTCCTCCGCAGTGCTCGGAGTTTCGTGTCCAGCTTGTTGCCAGGGCCATTAAGGAGACTTTAAGGGAAGGTATTAACTTGAGATGGGTCCACACAGGAGCCCAGCTTGCAGATGCATTGACCAAAGCAATGGAAGCCAGATTTCTCAGAAAGACCCTCAAACATGGTTCTTATCGACTTTGTGATGAAAATTCAATGTTGAAAGAACGTGCCAAAACTCGTGACAGAATCAAATGGCTCAAACAGCTCAAACAACAAGGATCCAATTCAGAAAACGATACTTTCAATGATCATTCCATCTCACATACCACTTCACTTGATACAACCAATTCACAATAAATTTTCCTTTACTTTCAAAAAAAAAAGAAATTTTGGGAGTGTGATTCGTACATTCCGATGCCCAGGATGACAAGCATCTCCACTTTCGAGTGTTCTTTCTCAAGGCGTGTTGGCTCAGGCGAGCATAGGTGCGGGCAGGGTGGGCTCATCGCCCTTGAAGCCATAGGGTTGCATAGTGGCCGGGACCACTTTCTTGGACCAGGGTGTCCTTTGCAGTTTTCAGAAGAGTGCGGCGAGCCCAGCCGAATCCTGTGCCTGTCGGTCCGTGACCTTGCACATCTCAGCTGGCATCGAAGGGAAAACAGCTGGTGAGCGTCTGGTGGTGCTTGGATTTACAAACCTTTTGGAACAGAGTTTTATTCAGTTTGCATCTGGTTTTGACAAACAAGCTGCCATTCACTTCATCAACTGGCGTTGCTGCCATTTACAATATATATATATACATATATATATATATACATATATATATATATATATTGATATGATGTTTGTCCAAGCTGTCCAAGCTGCTTGTCAATCCGTTGGGAAGCACTGCTTTCACACTTTTCAGCACGGGGCACTTCCCGCATCGCCAAGGTGAGCTTGGTGCATTTGGGAGGTTTGATGGCTGTGATGGCTGTGATGGCTCGGTGAATGCTCACAGCTTTGGGCAAACTTTCACTCGGAAGAACGACTCGGCTGGATCATTTCCTAATTAAGCTTTGCTTGCAACTGGCCCGCGGTGCGGGGAAAAAAAAAAACATGCACATGTGCGGAGGGTATTTTTGCATACTTTTGCCAGATGGGTTTTTAGAATCCTATCGAACAGCATGTGTCATTGATTCTTGTTCTTTGCTAATCGCGGTTTTGCCTTTGAAGCAGTTGTTTTCTTGCCCCAAAATCCCCCTCTGATTCTGATATCAAATGACATTAGCGGATGCATGGGGATACATTTGCAGCTGGCGCCAGGTGCTGGCCCGAGAACGCCTGTCCATGCTTGTGTCAGACTTCACATGGAAGGCTGAACCTGGAGAGCGTTCCACACCTGCATCACGCAAGTCGTCAGCATTTATAAATATTGAGTTATTTATAGTAATTTTATGTTTATGTTATGTTCTCACATCGCATTCTTTTGCCAATATTGATGTCAAAGATGGCGTTGGAAGGCACACCACCTCCGACTTGAGTTGGCTCGGGCGGAGCAGGCCCTATAGTGCTGTGTGATCGTGTGTGATCAGCTGACGCTTTGCAGATGGCTTTTCAGTACCCCCGGGATCCTCCGGGTACCCCCTGAACCACTTTCAACAAACATTCTGTTTGCAGCCGACAATCCATCAGTCCATGTTGATGGCATCCGGCATGGCATCCGGGATGGCGAGCACATCGCGAGGCAGCAGTGGATGTGCAGAGTTACTTCTCCACTACCGGATCCCCTCGAAAAGACAAGGAGATTGGAGAGGTTGACAGACGTGAGAACTGTCATGTGCGGGTGGCTGATGCCAAATTCTTTAACCAGATATGAATAATATTGAATAATAGTCAAATTGATATTGATAAGTCAGGAAAACATTCAGCAAGTAAGAATTAGATATCATAATACATCATATACTGTCATCATATTGTCATATCGTCATGGTAACATCGCTTTCCACAACATGGCATCCCGGCATCTTGGCAGGATGCGAGCCAGGCCAAGTGTCGGAAATCGCTTCTGGTTGTGGGTGAAGCATGTCATCAACTCCGGATGTTTCCAGTTGTTGAAATAACACATAGGCATCATACACACTATCACTAGACTCTGTAGACAGACAGATGGCACAATAGATGAAATGAATTGAAATGATGATATGATAGATGAATTGGATGAATTAGACGAATCGCAGCAGCGATAGCACTGGTGCTTTACATGCGCCGACCACCGATGTGGTTCCTGTCGCCGAAGCGTTGCCAGGCTGCCAAGCTCCAAAGAGTTCCCCCCGAACAGCCGCCGCTCCCAATGCGCTGAAACGATGCGTGAAACGATGCGAAGATGATAAGATGGACATGGAAAATACAAAAAAGCAGTGCACTGATTAAAGTGCTGAAAGTGACAATGTCAGTGGCAAAGAAATTGAGGTTCTTTGGGCACATCTCTGGTTTCCTTGACATGGTGAAGACCAGCTGGAACGAGATCGAAGCAAATCCAGCTCAACCCTCAAGATGCAACCACCAAAGTCCTTTCCAAATGCATCCACTCTTGCACGATGCATGGTAGTCCACTGTGGATTTGTTATGAGTTGTGTGTTCACCACAAACAAGCAAACAAACAATCCAACAAACTAACTAACTAATGTACAAGCAGTAGCATGTGCTATAAATGGCTGTTGACTGCCTTTGAACAGTATTGCTCCATTTGTTTCCTTGTGGTGGCTTAAGCACCTTAAGCTGGCTGCAGGGAAAGTGGCGGCAGTTCATGAGCTCTGCAGACCGCTGCAAGGTGCAGACAAATTCGATACTTAAATTGCCTCTACAAATCTCTACAAGTTCTGCTGAAATTGCTTAATTCAGTCGGTGTTTGGTGGGTGTTTGGTGGGTGTTTGTGTACTTTTCTTATGTCTGCGGTGTCAACTCGACTTCACTGCCACATCCAGGCTTCTGGAGCAAGCTTCGCAAGGCTTGGGATTCGCAGATGAATGGCATGTGTGTATATATATATTATATTATATATATATATATTATTATATATATACACATATCGATAGATAGATCTCACACGATATAACATTATGTGAGATATATGAGATACAAGATACATAATGTATCACATTGAGAATTCGTCCATAGCTGGGTCTTAATGCAGATGAAGTTTCTTCCGCTGCGCGACACCTCCAAAGGAGGATCCAAGATATGGAACCTGGCAAAGAGAAGACAGTCCGGGGCCCAGATGGGTTTTCTAGATGTTTCTAGGCACCAAGGCGTAGATGTACCACTTTGATATCACTTTGATGCATGGTGTTTGGATGATTTTGGGATGATTTTGGATGATTTCGGATCTTGGGTTTCAAGGCTGACATGTCACAGGTATCCTTCAATTCACCTGCCTAGGACAGCGAATCAGGCGCAACACCTCGTGTCAGAGGCAAGGGACGTAGGAAGGTGACGTCATTAGATGTCATTAGAACCAACACAAATCGATACCGCAGAACGACAGCCTTGCACTGGACGCTACATCAAGCCACACGAATTTCACAAGTGAACGGAGCACCAAGTATGCTATGTGGCTTCAGCAGAATGCACAATTATGTGGCAAATTTTGGAGAGGAACACTGATGGCTCGATGGCAGTTCGCTTCTGATTCCATTGGGTTGCTAATGCTTGCAGGTGGCACCGATAGCAGCCTGGGAGACATGCCAGTAGTGGCCTTGGACTTCAGAGAATGCCCCATGAGATCCAATGAAATCCCATGAAGTTACTAGGCAAGCGCCATCAGTGTGTGGTATTCCTGTGTATCATCGATTTGCACATTTATTCTGTTTAACTTGGTGTTTCACACTTGACTCAAGATATTGTATCGGGCTTAGTGTAGCATAAAACAGTGGTTGTACATGTTCATGCTAATGCAGAATAATACTGCGTAGATCTCTTGAGCATGAGGTGTCGCCACGCAAAACCGACAAAGTTGCTCACAAGGCAAGTGGCAAGTAGTCGTTGTATGGTGAGTTACACATTTCCACGTGAGGGTTTGAGTGAGTTGACATGAGCGCCGATCTTGATAATTTCAGACTGCCATGTCCCCATTCCATCAAGCAATGGCTGAACTACTTTGAAGTGTGTGAAGCAACTAGATATTATGATATATTATGATATATTATGATATATTATGATATATTATGATATATTATGATATAATACTTATAATTGGATGATCTTGGATGATTTACTACTGTGAGCAGTCCCTGCATTCAACTGTTTGTATGCCTCCAGGACAGTGAAAGACTCCTGTCTCCACGAAAAAGAGGCGCAAGGGGAACAGATATAGCAGCTGTGGCGAATGGTAAATTGATGTAAATTGTGTTGCTCAACAAGATAGCTTGGCCACATTGGGCATCGCATCAATAAGATTTAAAGCTAGCACCTAGTAACCTTAGTATCACCTGGTGTATCGTGGTGAATATCTGTATATCTCTGGCATGTTTAGCATGATTCACTAGTGACTGCGGGGACTACCGATTTGATGGTACGAAGGTTGAAAGCACATGACAAAGAGTTTGGTATGCCGAATTTCTATGCAGCGTTCTTGATTCAGGGAATGTTGGACGGCTGGTATGTTGTTGCAGATAGACAATAGATGACACATAGAGTGTTCACCACTGCAACTTCTGCAGGGTTTCCTGTCACCTGCAGTGATTCACTGATTCTAGAACTTGCTGAGTTTTGCTGCTTGATGATGCTTGCAGGTAGTGCTGATAACCTGGGAGACATGGTAGTGGCCTTAGACTTCAGAGAATGCTCCGTGAGAATCATGAAATTTTTCTGAAGTTACTGTGATGTTCTTTGAACACACTAGGTAAGCGCCATCAGTGTGTGGTATTCCTGTGTATCATCGATTTGCACATTTATTCTGTTTAACTTGGTGTTTCACACTTGACTCAAGATATTGTATCGGGCTTAGTGTAGCATAAAACAGTGGTTGTACATGTTCATGCTAATGCAGAAGAACGCCGCATAGATCTCTTGAGCATGAGGTGTCGCCACGCAACACCGACAAAGTTGCTCACAAGGCAAGTGGCAAGTAGTCGTTGTATGGTGAGTTGCACATTTCCACGTGAGGGTTTGAGTGAGTTGACATGAGCGCCGATCGTGATAATTTCAGACTGCCATGTCCCCATTCCGTCAAGCAATGGCTGAACTACTTTGAAGTGTGTGAAGCAACTAGATATTATGATATATTATGATATATTATGATATATTATGATATATTATGATATAATACTTATAATTGGATGATCTTGGATGATTTACTACTGTGAGCAGTCCCTGCATTCAACTGTTTGTATGCCTCCAGGACAGTGAAAGACTCCTGTCTCCACGAAAAAGAGGCGCAAGGGGAACAGATATAGCAGCTGTGGCGAATGGTAAATTGATGTAAATTGTGTTGCTCAACAAGATAGCTTGGCCACATTGGGCATCGCATCAATAAGATTTAAAGCTAGCACCTAGTAACCTTAGTATCACCTGGTGTATCGTGGTGAATATCTGTATATCTCTGGCATGTTTAGCATGATTCACTAGTGACTGCGGGGACTACCGATTTGATGGTACGAAGGTTGAAAGCACATGACAAAGAGTTTGGTATGTCGAATTTCTATGCAGCGTTCTTGATTCAGGGAATGTTGGACGGCTGGTATGTTGTTGCAGATAGACAATAGAGTGTTCACCACTGCAACTTCTACAGGGTTTCCTGTCACCTGCAGTGATTCACTGATTCTAGAACTTGCTGAGTTTTGCTGCTTGATGATGCTTGCAGGTAGTGCTGATAACCTGGGAGACATGGTAGTGGCCTTAGACTTCAGAGAATGCTCCGTGAGAATCATGAAATTTTTCTGAAGTTACTGTGATTTTCTTTGAACACACTAGGTAAGAGCCATCAGTGTATGGTATTCCATGGTATTCCTGTGTATCATCGATTTGCACATTTATTCTGTTTAACTTGGTGTGTCACATTTGACTCAAGATATTGTATCGGGCTTTGTTGGAGCATAAGACAGTGGTTGTACATGTTCAGACTGAAGCAGAATAATGCTGCATAGATCTCTTGAGCATGAGGTGTCGCCACGCAACACCGACAAAGTTGCTCACAAGGCAAGTGGCAAGTAGTCGTTGTATGGTGAGTTGCACATTTCCACGTGAGGGTTTGAGTGAGTTGACATGAGCGCCGATCTTGATAATTTCAGACTGCCATGTCCCCATTCCGTCAAGCAATGGTTGAACTACTTTGAAGTGTGTGAAGCAACTAGATATTATGATATATTATGATATATTATGATATAATACTTATAATTGGATGATCTTGGATGATTTACTACTGTGAGCAGTCCCTGCATTCAACTGTTTGTATGCCTCCAGGACAGTGAAAGACTCCTGTCTCCACGAAAAAGAGGCGCAAGGGGAACAGATATAGCAGCTGTGGCGAATGGTAAATTGATGTAAATTGTGTTGCTCAACAAGATAGCTTGGCCACATTGGGCATCGCATCAATAAGATTTAAAGCTAGCACCTAGTAACCTTAGTATCACCTGGTGTATCGTGGTGAATATCTGTATATCTCTGGCATGTTTAGCATGATTCACTAGTGACTGCGGGGACTACTGATTTGATGGTACGAAGGTTGAAAGGACACGACAAAGAGTTTGGTATGTCGAATTTCTATGCAGCGTTCTTGATTCATGGAATGGACAGCTGGTATGTTGTTGCAGATAGACAATGGAGTGTTCACCACTGCAACTTCTACAGGGTTTCCTGTTACCTGCAGTGGTTCACGTTTGATTCTAGAACTTGCTGAGTTTTGCTGCTTGACATTGATGATGCTTGCAGGTAGTGCTGATAACCTGGGAGACATGGTAGTGGCCTTAGACTTCAGAGAATGCTCCGTGAGAATCATGAAAATTTCTGAAGTTACTGTGATTTTCTTTGAACACACTAGGTAAGAGCCATCAGTGTATGGTATTCCATGGTATTCCTGTGTATCATCGATTTGCACATTTATTCTGTTTAACTTGGTGTGTCACATTTGACTCAAGATATTGTATCGGGCTTTGTTGGAGCATAAGACAGTGGTTGTACATGTTCATACTAAAGCAGAATAATGCTGCATAGATCTCTTGAGCATGAGGTGTCACCACGCAAAACCGACAAAGTTGCTCACAAGGCAAGTGGCAAGTAGTCGTTGTATGGTGAGTTACACATTTCCACGTGAGGGTTTGAGTGAGTTGACATGAGCGCCGATCTTGATAATTTCAGACTGCCATGTCCCCATTCCGTCAAGCAATGGTTGAACTACTTTGAAGTGTGTGAAGCAACTAGATATTTATGATATATTATGATATATTATGATATAATACTTATAATTGGATGATCTTGGATGATTTACTACTGTGAGCAGTCCCTGCATTCAACTGTTTGTATGCCTCCAGGACAGTGAAAGACTCCTGTCTCCACGAAAAAGAGGCGCAAGGGGAACAGATATAGCAGCTGTGGCGAATGGTAAATTGATGTAAATTGTGTTGCTCAACAAGATAGCTTGGCCACATTGGGCATCGCATCAATAAGATTTAAAGCTAGCACCTAGTAACCTTAGTATCACCTGGTGTATCGTGGTGAATATCTGTATATCTCTGGCATGTTTAGCATGATTCACTAGTGACTGCGGGGACTACCGATTTGATGGTACGAAGGTTGAAAGGACACGACAAAGAGTTTGGTATGTCGAATTTCTATGCAGCGTTCTTGATTCAGGGAATGTTGGACGGCTGGTATGTTGTTGCAGATAGACAATAGAGTGTTCACCACAGCAACTTCTACAGGGTTTCCTGTCACCTGCAGTGGTTCACGTTTGATTCTAGAACTTGCTGAGTTTTGCTGCTTGATGATGCTTGCAGGTAGTGCTGATAACCTGGGAGACATGGTAGTGGCCTTAGACTTCAGAGAATGCTCCGTGAGAATCATGAAATTTTCTGAAGTTACTGTGATTTTCTTTGAACACACTAGGTAAGAGCCATCAGTGTATGGTATTCCATGGTATTCCTGTGTATCATCGATTTGCACATTTATTCTGTTTAACTTGTTTTTGGCTTTGTTGAAGCATAAGGCATTGGAATGAACTAAAGTGGTGCATGAATATTTTTTGAGCACCAGATGTCGCTCTGTCATGGGTGTGCTGATGTGTCAGCTTGGCCTGAGGTCTCTGCTTCGCCAGAAAGCCCTCGAGGTTCGCTGGTACCACTTGGAATCGCATCGTTTATCAAACCAGTTCCCTTTGCAGCTGAAGCATTTGAATATACCCCCTGGTAAATTAACAGTTGGACCCTGAAAATCACCCATTTTTAATGGAAACTAGTCTTCCAACCCCGATGACTGCCAGGTTCCAAGGCTGACCAGGCCACGGGTCGCACAGCAACGGACCACGGAGCAACTGATGTGTTTTTTTGGCATTGCCAAGGCGATGCATTCTCCAAGGCATCAAGGCCGGATACGGAGACCATTGGATATACATTGGATATATGGTGTACACCCCGGGCATCGGCCATTCCAGGGAAAATCATCGACTTAGGAACTTGGGGCGCCCTATTTCGATCCAACTGCAGATTGTTCTCCTATGTTTGCAGTAGAAATCAGCAGAACGACTAAGACAGTTGAGACAGTTGCAACTGTTGCGATCTCTACTGTGGTTTGTTGGAAGTTGATTTATGTAATAGTCTATTAATAGCCTTTATGAATTTTCACTCTGAGGCAAGTCCGACGCAGCAACCTTAGCTGATCCACACACTGACAGATGTTCTGAGACATGGCTTCGGAGCAAAAATTCCTTCAACGGAAGAGATGGAGGATGCACTTTACAGCGTGCAAAGGAACAGAGCTATCCTAGACCATGAAAGCATGGAAATAGATGGAAATAGTAGTTGCGCAGGAACACAAAGCTCCCAAGACGTGCTGAGCAAAGGTCTTGGCCAGCCCACGCTCCAAGATGGAGGCAAGAAGCAGCCAAGATTTGAATGATGTTGATACAACTGATTTGAATGATGTTGATACAACTGATGTATCAATTTCAGACTGCAAACACAGTTGACATCAACCAGTCAAGCGTGTAAGCGTGCTACACGGTGTTTCAAGGCCGGTCCGAAGCCTGCCTTAAAGAAGGCCATGGGAGCATCAACATTTTCTGTGAAACTTGTGCAAATATAGCAGATAGCCTCAAGAGGATCACATATCACCACAATCATGGAGAAACTAGGCCATCCTCAGCAGCATTCAGCACCTTTGGTTTGCTTAAGATATCTGAAGAGATCGCTCACAGGCTCCAGTGGTGCCCAAGCTCAACTTGAAAATGTGGCCTGGCTGAATTTGTAGAGCTGGTAGCGTAAGGAAGCCAATAGCATAGAATAATTCTAATAGCTAAATTATGCTAAATATATCTAAATATGCTAAATTAAAGAGCTAGAGAAAGTTGAGTTTTAGATCAAGCAAAATCAAGTAGAGTCGCTTGGTCCGCCCTCTCTTTAGATGTCCTGACCTGTCCACATTGTCGTCCAGAAACCATGAAGCGCCCAGGAATAAGACAAGATCATCACCACGTGCAAGAAAAAGCTTGGAAGCCGCGCAAAGTACAGAGGATTCCACAGCTATACAGAGCTACAGCTTCACAAACAATGCTAAATAAAATGTTTAGTCTTTGTGTTCCCAGAAGTCTGAGGGCCAGTGTGAAGAGGTTGAGACACGGTGTGATGCTATTGGTTCTTTTTCTAATCAGTGCGTGCCATATGTGCCCGTATATGCAGGAGCATTCCATGCGAACCTTCATCGCAAATCTTCCTTCTCTAGACAGCTCTGTGGGAAACTTATTGCGTTTTTGTATGTTTTTGTGACTTGAAGTGGAAACTGTGGCTATCTGTGGCTCTTTTGTGCATTTTTTCACTGGCGTCCAACATGAGTTGGGTCCTATCGAGCCGAACTCTGAGGCTTCTGCAGCTTTTGAGGCCATCGAAGATCGAAGCGATCTGTGTTGATCTGTGACCAACTCATAGGTCTTGACCGCAGACAGCTTTAATTGGATGTTTGATGCCTGTCCAGTTGCGAGAGAAGTAGAGATAGTAGAGCATAGTAGAGCTAAGAGCTACAAAGCAGCTACAAAGCAGCTACAAGGATGCAGCAGGTTGACTTTGGTCTTGGTCAATTTGACAGATTTGAAGACCATACGACCATATACTACCGTTGGGAGGTGCTGGAAGATCCTTCCTCGGAGAGTGGTCAGGCACAAGCCAAGGGTTTGGGTGGTAGCATAAGGCCAAGCATAGAAAACATGGAAGAACCGTAAGAGCTGGACGGAAAGTTGCAAAGCCATTGCATTGGTAGAGTGGTGTTACAATGTTTGCAAAACGTTCCAAAGGACACAGTCAGACACAGTCAAAGGGCACGCCGAAGCGTACGAAGCGTACGGGTTCATGTTCTGTTCGTAGAGTTTCCAGCTGGAACTTTGGGCCGCCGTGACATGATTTCAGCGGCAACTGCAGGGCTCGCAGACACGTGCGTCGTGTGTGGTACCAAAGCTGGCACTTCAGGTGGAAAAAGCCGCCAAATCAACTGCAAAACGCACAGAAAAGTTTGAAACACGTGGAATCACGTGGAAAAGGGAAGCATTGCATAGAAGTATAGCAGAATGTCCACTTTGTCCTTGAGTTTCCCAAGTACCGAAAACTGACTTGCGTCACTGATGTCACCTCATTTCTTTGAGATAAATGGCTATTTTAGTGTAACAGCTTTAAGAAGCGCTGTCAAGATTGTCAAGATATGATGTCTTTTAACGTCGTGATGCTTTGACTGCCTTTTTGGAAACGATTTTTCATCGTGCAAGGAGTTGCCATCAGGAAGCCGCGTCCCAAGGATACATTTTGGGGCAAGGGCAGAACTTGTAGAAGGATATTGCAGGGCTTGGGATGCGAAAGGCCAAGGCAGCTGGGAGGTATTTTCGAAGCAAATCTAAGATGGATTTGTTCGTGTCAAAGAGATTTCATTTGTATGATTTGATTGAAGAATATTGAAGAATATCATTTGAGACCTTGTGAAAAAAGTCATTGATCCAAAGCTGTGGGGACCCTGTGGGGAGGTTTTTTGTGGTTGAGCGTCCTAGGTACATCTTCATCTTCAGCATCCACCTACTCCAAGGACAAGGCTGAACACATACGCCAAGTGATTGATGTGTTTGAAATGTATTTGGATGATTTGACAAAATTTAACAAAATTTGACAAGTTACCGTCACGTCTGTGAGAGCCACAAGACCAGAAGATCTTCCATGGTGCAGATGCTTCTTCGAAAGATGTTTCTTCGAAAGCGTTACCACATCAAGAACGACATACTTTACATGAGTTCCCAACACACTGATGTATTGTCACCGTGTGTCACCTCCAAGATGTGCTTACATCGGAAGTCAGGAAGAAGGTGAGGACAGTAGCACAAGCAGTTCTGCAGAGGAAGGTGGAGGGCTAAGAACACCTGAAAGAAAGCCAGGTTCATCAAAATGGTATGAAGGTTATAGACAACCATAATCAATTATAGATGACCAGCGCTGATCAATTGCAACTGAATAGTGCTTGGAGATGCTTGGCGGATCAAAATGTGTTGTGACTGAACAGACAAATCACATTTGCCAAGGCCCAGCAGGGCAAGTTGGGCACTGAACAGACGGTAGTGATTCTTTTGCTGTCGACCATGTCTCTTAGCCATCTGCACGGCTAGACCCTGGTTGTTTCTGGTTGTTTAGCAGCAGGTGCGGGTGGCTTTCGTTTGGGTATCGGCTTGTCCTTCTGCATCTGCATCATCCACCAAGGCCAATGACGGATACTGCTCTTGCAGCTCCGAAGGACAGGGACAGGGTGGGATGTCCTGTCCTGTGTGGCAGCTGCATCAAGCGGCGTCAAGCTGCCTGTGGTTTTTCTGTCACTCCTTGACAGTTTGGGATTCTGTTCATGTTTTTCCTGACAAAACGATATAAAAGTGCGATGTTGAAGCAGAGTTCCCTGGACAATAATTAAATTATTGGGAATCTGCACATTGCTTGTCCATCCTTATCCATCCTTGCATGCGCACACTGCCACACTTACTGTCCGGCCAGCTGTACAGCTGGCGCCCCGAAGATTCCGACTTTTTCATGGCAGGCTTTGGCCGTGAATCTCCTGCAGGGAACCTGAGTGCTGAAGGTTTTATCTACCACAGTTGAATGGTGATAATTAGTGATAATTAATGATAATTTACCAATTCTTGTTTCAAATCAAACTGGTCGAAATCTAGCGCGTTTCAAAAAGCAGAACGACAAGAGGAGTGCCACGAGACAGGAACATCAGCGGGCCAGTCTTCTAGACTTCCGTAGAGGATTTTGATGGATCCCCATGATTCATCAATCACACAGATAACACTAGACTTCATGTCAGTTTCATGTCAGGTTCATGTCAGTTTCATGTCGACAATTTTGTTGTCGACCTCATGTCCTACCTGTGATACCTTTGGCATCCAGCTGAGGTGTCAACTGGCAGCCCATCCTTTGCTCCACTTCAAGGTGCTTTGTTTATTGCACAGAAACGAAGTGAAATCAACATACTTGACCAAGCAAGCCCAAAGATACACCTAAAAGGGGATGAGCGCGGGAGTGGCTTGAAGAACTTTCTGTACCTGACTCAATGCTCTGCGAGTTCTGTAGCTTGCAATGTGGTGGATCGTATGTGGGCGACGTACTTGATGCTTCGATTCGTTGGATAGTGCTGATGCTGATTGCAAAGCAAATGCAAAGCAAACAACCTCCATTTCAGTCCAGAGGACCTGCAACACTCTCTTCCAATCCCTCAATGTCTCAGCTCTGTTGTGTTTGCTATCTTTTTGCTATCTTTTTGCTATCTTTTTGCTATCTTTTATCATCTTTTCATGTGTCGGTCTGTGCGTGCCTATGATCTTGTCTTGACACTTCAAACAAGATTTTCAAGTTTCAATTTGAACCTTTGAAGCAGGACAAACCAAAGAAACTTAGATAAACCAAGACATGCGTTTCATAAAGTGCTGTAGTTTGGTGTAGTTTGGGTGCAGGGGCTGCAAAAGTGCCACCCATCAAGATGGCAAATGTCTTTGGCCAAAGAGGCAGGATTCAGCTGAGCGTGTGGAGCATTCGGTTCCATTTTGAGAGCATTTCAAGCAGGGGCTTCACTGTTTTACTACACCATATGCCTATAATAGATTGGATTAAATTGGGTTAGGTTAGGTTAGATAGAGAGATAGACAGATAGAGAGATGGTTTTATTATATTGATTATGTATATAGTCATGTATTTATCTATTTATCTATCCGTATTTAATCGTTGGAGGAGTTGCAGCATACTCCCCCAGTATTAAGATGTATGAAGACCAGTGCAAGTTGAGCCAAGAGCCGTAAGAGATCTGACAGATTGAAGAGTCTGAACTTCATGAAGTGTGATATGTCATGACATGTCTATGCCTGACAGTTTTTTCAAAAGTTCTACGAGCTGCAATACAAAACGTTCAAATGGGGAAAAAAGAGAGATTTTTATGAATTTGGAATCAATCCTCAAGGCGGATCAAGGCGGTTTTGTTGATTTCAAAGCTGTGGATTCATCACTTTGTAGCGGAATCTCTGTGGCGCAACTTGCCAGGCATCACTCCTTCCTTTGGGGTAAAAACGGAGGTGAAGCCAGGTGAGTTCATGGCCAAGTGACTCATGGTTTTGTTTTTTCCGGAAATCATCAAGGTAGAGATAACACATGTTTTCTTTCTGATTGTGATCTGACAGCATGACATGCTCCATGCACCTGAATGTAATGTTGGCACTTCAACTGATGTGTTGCGTATAGAGTCGTATAGCTTTCGACGCATTGAAATGTGATGGTTGATTACTACATCCAGCTACATTCATACGTAATGTCATATCATGTCATGTTATGTTCTGCAAGTATGTATATGATACATATTGATACATTATGTATATGTTATGTATATGTTATGTGTATGTTGTTTGTATGTAACGTGATGTTGACGCTTCAGCGCCGTGAAATCTCCAGGAAAACAAAGTCCCCGACGTCTTCTGAGCGCACGCTCCGGCGAGGACACGGGCGCCGAGCTCAGCGCTGGACGTGCTCAGCGGCAGTTTTTACGCGCGCGGAACCGACGCTCCGAGGAACGGCCCGAAAGACACTGATCTCACAACGGTCTGACGAAAGGAATAGACCGGTCACTGACTTGTCGCAGACTTGTCACTCGCCGCGGATGGGATCACAAGCACAATGCGGAAAGTGACCCTTCAACCATTTGGGTATATGTTGGTTCATTTGATCATTTTTGGAGCTGACTTCAGATGACTTCTCATGGCGTTTGAAAGCGATTGAATGCTCTTCCACATAGCCCCTGACCCTTTCAAGTTTGTCACCTTTGTCCTATTGTTACTATTGTCGCTACGGGAAATCGGGAATAATGTTTGTTTAGTCGGTTTCTTTCACCAGACGGGAATGTCGCAGGCGAGTTTCATCAGATGAATGATAGTACAGACTGCGAGTATCACAAGT